TGCATACGAGGTAGTTTGGGGACGGATGGCACAAATTATATAACTGTAGTGCGACCACACCCCCTGGGGGAGGAGTTATCTTCATTTGAATGGGTGTGGCTTTGAAAACTATCGCATTCGATAGATCTTTGAAAGCTAACCCAAATTCATATAAGTTACACCAACGTACGACTCTCCAGAGCCAAGTTATCGGCCTCCAAACATCGAAATGTTGCATTCTGCGCCAACTTTGCGACCTTGTGGCGCAGTGCGCGACCGCATTCATGGGTTCGTAGCTATCTCAAGCGACGCTACCAATGTTGGGCTGTCACACCAAGAAAGAGAATTGATGATTACACGCCCCGTTTCGCAGCAGAAATTTTTTCAAAAACGTCAAAAATATAGCCAAAATAGCCTAAATTTCCACACTAAAAAATAATTAACATTATTTAATCATTTTCAAAAATGCGAAAATGACGTTTATTTTTTTCTTCAGCCCATCCCATCACTAAAAAGGGTTTATTTTAATTTCTTAATACATTTTAATTTCTAATATAACAATTTCGCATTTTTTAAAATGATTAAATAATGTTAATTATTTTTTAGTGTGGAAATTTAGGCTATTTTGGCTATATTTTTGACGTTTTTGAAAAAATTCCTGCTGCGAAACGGGGTGTGTAATCATCAATTCTCTTTCTTGGGGTGACAGCCCAACATTGGTAGCGTCGTTTGAGATAGCTACGAACCCATGAATGCGGTCGCGCACTGCGCCACGAGGTCGCAAAGTTGGCGCAGAATGCAACATTTCGATGTTTGGAGGCCGATAACTTGGCTCTGGAGAGTCGTACGTTGGTGTAACTTATATGAATTTGGGTTAGCTTTCAAAGATCTATCGAATGCGATAGTTTTCAAAGCCACACCCATTCAAATGAAGATAACTCCTCCCCCAGGGGGTGTGGTCGTACTACAGTTATATAATTTGTGCCATCCGTCCCCAAACTACCTCGTATGCATAAATAGCTCAAAAAAGTCATAAAATAATTTCTGATATTTCCTACCATAAGGCGGCCCCATTGTGCATAACTCTCAGTTACAACTTTTTAGGGTATAGTTTCACCTTACTTGCTTTCTCACATTGTTAAATATTATGTACGACATTGAAACTGAACATGCTAAAAAATAAGATGGATCTGTGGCCCAATCTTTCATCTGCTCTTCAGCTTCAACAATTCACTTCATCATCATTAACAGGACAAAGAAATTTTTCAAAAATCTCAAACTTCTTGGTCGAGCCGACTCTTGATGGTCATGATAAAATATCGTTTCTTCTTTGCCCAATGGCTACTCAGCTCAAGAAAAAGAAAGATCGCTTGCTTGCACCTTGGATAATTGTTAATTTGTTACATCCACACTTTCCTCCACACAAGAAGATATTTCAGATTATTTTATTTCAATTTTGATAATGATATCAGGAATACGTAAAATGATCCACATACTCAACAAGGTTACATTAATGGAATGTATAGGGACATATTTTACTGTTTTAAACATGTATAATTCCCACATGACACATCATTTCCTTGAGCAAAATTCCTCCAATTAATAAACCTTTTGAGTAATTATTGCTCACAACAACAATTCCAATTATTCGTCCCTGGTCCCATCCCACTTTAAGTTTTTCACCCCACGAGAACAATTGAATTTTGCGCACTGCTCTCTTTCAATACCATATATTTCATGTGGAATGAATACCTTGTAATTAATTACCGAAAGTGAGATGGAGAAAGATAAGTGACTTGCGTCGCTCAGTTAGTCTGTCAGTCTCTGACTGACTGAGTAGATAAGATCGTTCAATTTCCTAATGACATTTAATACTTCTTCTTCTTCATGCTTTCACTTTGACCAAGCACCGAATATGTAAAAATCCATGCTGCAGGGCTATCATGCTAATTGCTTTGTGTGCAAAAATCTATCAAAACCGTTTTCATTCAATTACTCAAAAAATTCCAATCACCAAGTTGGTTGGTTGGTGATAGATAAGCATAAATTGCAAAGTGTCTTACGGCTACCAAATTAATTGTAATATTTGATCGCAATCTTGTAAACCCAAGGCAAAGTCTGATTCGATTGACACACATACACATCAACACCTTGAATTTCATTACCTTGGAAGAGTTATTCCGTCGGTCTGAACGGTGAATACTTATGCGTATGAATCTCTTTTTTTCGAATTTCTTCGACAAATCAAGCGCAAATTGAACAGTCAACTCTTTTGAGGTCGTCTTTTTGAGAAATGAGAATGCATTTACAATATTGTAACAACGCATTCTGCAAATCGGCATGTGGCATCGGACAGTGTTCAATTGAACGGAGCAATAAAATAGAAATCTCTTCAAATTGTACAACTACTGAGGAGCGAGCAGGTGAAATGAAATGAATAAATGTGCTATGCGTTCTCCTCTCGTCGTTCTTTTTCCGACAAGAAACAAGGCTCATGCTGAGACTTCCTTGGAAGAATTTATGTTCATCGGGTCAAAGTTCGATTCCAAGAGTTCCCGTGTTAAGTGGGTGGGATGTCTCCCTTCTCATTTTCCATTTAGTTTTTCATTCGATTTTTTTTCTTAGGAGAGAAACTTCTCCGGAACAAAAAATGAAACATTTTAAATAAGATTACAGGACAGGACTAGATTTCATTTGGTTATTACATTCACAGATCATTTAATGCAACTTTCATCGCAAATCGTTGGACGAAGACATTATTGGGTCGAGCATTATGTACATCGAAATGGTGCTGATGGGCAAATAAATTGGGAAAAGTTGAGAATTTCATCTCATTTTTATAGTCTCGGAGGACATAATTATTACGATTTGTGCATACACTTTTCAGCGACGGACAGGGTAATAATTTTGGAGAAGAGGTATTAGATATTTGATATCTTGTATTTCCCTAATCATCAGACGATATATTTAGTATAGTCATCTTATTCCATGTATCAGACTCGGTCTACAAATAGTAAGCTACGAATGTACGAAAATTATAGCATTTTAATACAAAAAATCTGATTTGTTACTTTTCAAAATTAATTTTAAAAGAGGTTAAAACTTTATTTAAAGACCTCCTTGAAAGCCACACAATTTTATCATCGTCAATTATCAATGATGCATAGAAGCTATAAATGTCATTTGACTGGATTGGATTTCACGACTCTTAATTTCGCTCGACATAACGACCTTTTTATCGTCGTTATTAATTTTATGAATCACGACCAGGAAAAAAATCGATATGTCAAGTTAAACGATTCATCTCGCGGTGCAGTTTACCATTGGAAAGTTTTGAACCAATAAACCTGTATTTTTGAGCTGAAAATCGAAGTTATTATTTTTGAAATACCGCTATATTATTGTATCGATTACATAAAACCGTTCTTTGACATTCTCAAGGAACACGGTTGACAAAATTTCCTATTTCCGGTGGAACCGAGCAAGAAAACAATGACAACAATTTATCACAAGCAGGCACCGCGATTGTGAGAATAATATTCTCAGAATATATTGTTTCAAATTGCTCTGTACACAAAAACTTAATGGCTTTCAGACTAGGAGCAAACAACCACGTCTCAAATTGGGAAATAAAACCGCAGCCTGCAGTTTCCTTTTACGACAAGTACGCACATAATATGTAAAGAAAAATACGAATTTCACTATTTAGAAATGTACAGTGCGTATGCATTTGATGGATTTTTTAGAGCCTAAAACGGAATCAAACCTAATAAAAAATACAAAGGTTTAATGTTTTAATTGGTTATGTCCAAACAGACCGATGCTCGTAAACTCGTAAATCCTCACCCTTGTCAATGGACATCTTGATAACTCTCTTGCAGTAGAAAATAAGAAACTAAATAAATCTCTACACAAACAAACCCGCAGCAGCAACACACAGAATTTATAGATTATCCAAAACCGAAAAATCGAAAGGAAGGAGTGTAATAAATTATTTTTAAAGACCTTGTTGATGCACCTCGAAGTAAAAATTAACGGCCAATTTAAGTTGACATATTTATACATCCTGATTTCACTGATATATTGATTAATTCAGGTTTTCATATATTGACAGAAGCTATTTCATTTCAACAGAATCGCCTCCTTGTGCAGTAGTCACCTTTTAAGAGCAAGGGGCAATTAGCCCTTGAGCTGAACAAGTGTAATTTTATCCTCTTTATCATTCCAAAATAAACGATACGGGTATAAACGGACGGCTACAAGGGGGCTGGATTTTCAATCACCCAATTAATATTTATGTAATGTAAAAATTGTGCGCATCCCTAAAGACATATGCATGAAGAAGTTGTTTCTCATATAAAGTAGTTCGTGTCTGGCTGACCAAACCAAAAATCTGGTCAGAATTTACAAGAGTCCATGCCAAATTTTTACTGACCGGTCATAATGCCAACGAAACGATCAACTTTTCATGTTGACGTGATTCTTGTTAGCGCAGTGTTGCAATGAATTTATAATGCGCTTTTTCATCAAATGTAAAAACCTCTCATCTCATCCAATTCAGAATTTAACAACCACGCACAACATGTCCAGTCGACGAGTGAGATTTAGAATTTTCTCCTGCCTTCTCCAACTCTCAACAAGCATCATCATCATCATCATAATCATCAAGTCATTATCATCAGCCTCATCATCGTCATTATCATTTCTTCTAATAAACCATCCACGTCGTCTAATGTAATCTAAACTTTACTAACATAAACGCACGTATGACCACTCAACAAGGCAAATATAAAATCTCAATGTACGTACATACACTCGTAAATATGTACGTGGCACATTTTACTTTGGTAAGATTGAGAAATTTTTGAATAATCTGCATTATAAATGACGAAGATTTAAAGGATTTAAATGTTTTTATAAAATTTCACAAATATGAAAAAATGAGTTATAATGCCATAATTATTAACAAATATAAGTTTTGACCTGCAAGCATGTGAAATAAATTATACTCAAACGGGGTATAAATAAAATGAAATAAAAACAGTATATTCAGTCAATTGTATTATATTTAATACATTATTCGTCAAATTCTATTGACTTGCAATAGATTAAAATCAAAGAATGCCTTAGTTTGTCAATTTAAAGGAGCTCTCTTCTATAGAGAGAAAATGATCTCAGCTTGTCAACCCTGATCTTCCTATCTTTGGATTCCAAAGCGCATTTTGAAACAGTTTTTTCTCCTCTTCGTATGCGAATATCTCTGCCAAACCTGAGCATTGGCAGGTAATGCCATTTGCAAATTTCATCAATTGACACTAGTTTAACAAAAATCTGAGAGCATACCCTGGGGGACCTCACCCCCATCGTCAGAGCCCAGCAACATGTCCAAAGGGCATCAAAATCTGGCGTTCACAACTTCTGACCTTAAACTCTGAAGGCACAATACATTACAATATTGCTATCACATATTAAACAATCTTATTGATTAACCTAATCAACATAAATTTTAACACATTACAAAACATTTAGTTACTTAATTATCACAATTAAAACTATTTATAACAACACAGATACCAAAACCAAAGTATATTATGAACTTGAGAATTGAGGTGCTTGTGAGTCGCAAGGAGGGACGTGACTAGGATATGAATATGTAGAAGGCGTTTTCATTAAAGAAGGTAATAGCTTCGAAGCATTATCCGGATCGTATGGACGTCCGAGTACTTCATCAGCTATTCGTCCAGCTTCTCGCAGACCACTTAATAACGCTCCGTGTACAGTAGCCGGGTAGTTGCGAATGGTGTGCTCCCCTGAATACAGACAAATTTATTATTAGAAAGGAATAACTGCAAAGTGTTAACATACGCATGATGATCGCATACAACATGCATACCTGCAAAATAAAGTCGATGAGGTTCATCTTTAGGTTTAAGAGCATCATTGATAACAGCTTCCCCAGGAGATTTTGAGTTTGCAGGGGACACGGGGGCAGCAAGCAAGTCGTAATCGTTACCACTTGCTCCTACTGCCACAAATGAATAGGACCCTTTTGACCACGGATCATTCTTCCATCGAGTAACTATGAATTCTCTGGGCTAGGTAATACATAAGAAACAACTTAAATGAGCGAGGTGCTGTAGGAAATTTACATTTTAAACACAACCTGTGGCACGATTCCCCCAAAAATAGCTTTCAGGACCGCAAGACAACGTCCAACTACAACATCATCTGAAACTTCTTCCATGACAGCAGCAGCGTCGCCAGCCACTAATGCTAGTAGTACAGGAGCTCGGTACAAATTCCAAAACAAGAATAATTCACCTAATAAAAACTAAACAGAGTTAAGACGCTGACATTTGAGTTATAAAACCTACATAGACTCCATTTACTCCGAGTCAGAGCCCACTTCTATTTTTTCTGAATTGACCGACATAATATGTGACTGTCTACATGAAAAGGGACCTTATTCACCAAATATCTAGTTTAGCGACTTTAATTTGTTAGGAAAGTTCTTGCCTCAGGCTTTAATTTACCATTTATATCAGCTCAATCTGTCAACTACAAGTAAATTATTTAAATTCAAAGTGCTGCATCGACAATATGGCAAAACGACCTTTTGGCAAAAATTTTCATACGGATTAAATTTAGAACAATGTTTTAAAATTTAATATTGTAGCTCATATGGCGCAAATATTAGATTTGCATAGGCCAATACAGGCTTGAATGACCATACGTTTAAATTTGAGGTTTATCCCCCGAGGTTAAGTGTCTAGGTCACGTTAAGGTCCTGAAAAAGGTCAAGGCGCAAATTTTGTATTTTTATAAGCTAAAGCAAGCCTGCACAACCTTAAGTTTTAAACTTGAGGTGGAATGTTTAACATTAATGTTTATTTCGCCAATTCAGATATTTGACGAAATGGGTTTCGCTGAAAGCTTTCTGCTTTGGTATTTTGCCGTTTGTAGAAAATGAGCGAAGTATGAATAAACCCTCCAAACGAATGTAAATAAGTAGCGTCAGACCGATTCAAGTTTCCTTTATGACCCCGTATATGACCTCGTCCTAACGGTCATGAGGTCAAAAATATTAACATCCTTGAAATCACAGTCAAATTTCCTTTAAAATGACTCCCCTTATGACAGTTATGAATTTTTTGACCTTTGACCTCGTCCTCAAGGTCATAAGGTCAAAAATATTAACGTCCTTGAAATCGCAGTCAAATTTCCTTCAAAATGATACCCCATATGACAGTTATGTATTTTTTGACCTTTGACCTCGTCGTTAAGGTCACAAATTTTATTTCCATTGAATTCGTGGTGAAATTTCCTTTAAAATGACACCCCATATGAAAATTAAAGTTAAATTTAATTTGGACCACACCCCTGGCGCTGTGGGGTGTGGTCCGATTGACCCCAATTTCGAACTCGACCGAGAACTAAAAATTAGAAGCAAAATGGCGAAAACGGGGTTTGATTATGTTGACTCGTTCTGGAGATATCCTGCTTACGGACGGACGGACAGACGGACGGACGGACAAAACGATCACAATAAGTAGCTGACGCTACTTAATAAGGTCCCTTTTCATGGAGACAGTCACATATTACCAACTCCGTGGTCGTGGGTTAAATGTTTGTTAGATATGAGCAAATTTTACAAGTATTTTCAAATCTTTTCCCTCAACTACCAGGACCAGTGGGGTTTCTTTAGAACTTGAACACTTCCAAAGCTATATGTGCTATCCAGAAGTGGCTTTTAGCCTCTATACCAAATTTCAGCTGAAAATATCTTTTAAACACGGTACGGGTCACTCTCCAGGATCCCCGTGGCTGCACTTTGCTCAGTTTTAACTTCATATTCATTCAACGTGCAAATTTCATGTTTTTACAGGAATTTCTAAAAATCGGTATGGGACACCTCATAGATACAATAGCTCTAGATAAAAATTTTACCAATTTCACTTCTTGTTCTTCCATTAAGACCCATAAGCAACCTCTCTACCAAATTTAAGCTCGATAATTAAAAAAATCAGTATAGATCGCCCCATAGGGTCACTGAGGATGAAAATTTTTCGAATCTGAATTCGTCTTCTTCCATTAGGAGCCATTAGCAAACTCTGTACCAATTTTCAGCTTTCTACTACAATTTTGAAATTTTGGTGCATAATACCCACTACCCCCACCGGTCAATCACTTGACAGATTTCCCATCTTCAAACTCGATTACAAACTTTTTCTAATATGAATATGGTAAAAATTTCAAGTCAATCGGTTCAGCCGTTTTGGCTGAACCATATATCGTGCCAGACATACGGACGGACATGACGGTTCCATAAGCCCTGACTCGGGCTAAAGATTAAAATTACCTCGAGAAGCCGTCGTTGACCCAACGTGCCCAAATAAGTTACAACTCGGGTCCCAGAAGATACTATCGAAGCACAGGACAACCTTGTTTAAATTTCCGAATCCTAATCGATTGACGGCCTCAGTCTAGCAAACAGTATGGTAAGATACAACAATCATCTTATCAATTAAACATATGATCATTTGGATTGTTGGTAAATCGTCGTCAACATTTGGTAGCGGACAAGTCGATGGAAGAACAACTCGTTGACGGACAAGTAAATGAAGAGGACAAGTTGAAGAACAATGTTTGGTTGAAAATCTAGAAAATAATACTCCGCGTTCGATAATTCTTCCTTTACTTGATGTAGTTTTCTCAAGAGTGTGCCAATTACGTTTATATTTTACTAGCGTATAAGCCCGTCTCCCGCCGGGCAAGAGCTTATTTGATTTTCATGACAATGGAATGGAATTTTGCAAAACTTCAACCAATTAAATATCCGTGGTCAAGAGGAAAGTCCCTAACGTGGGGTTTTACTTGCGTGGACACTTTCGCCCCTAGTTATCTTCCGAACACATTGCGCTACCAGAAACGCAGAGATAAAAAGAACAAAAAAACTTCAAGCCTTTCTCTTGGACCGTTTCATTTTTACGCCTGTTGCAATTGAGACTACTGGTGTATGGGGGGATATCTTTCATCAATGACATTGGACAACGAATTGCTACTGCAACTGGAGAGCCACGCTCCACAACTTTTCTCATTCAACGACTCAGTATTGCAGTTCAGCGTGGAAATGTTGCTTCAATTTTGGGAACCCTCCCACGAGGAAAGAAGTTTAATGAAATCTTTTATATTTGAAACTACGGTGCAGATTACAAATAGTGAATTGCTAACAAACTGTTTAGTAACTTTTTAATACAAGTATAAGTTCGTGTAAGTAGTTGTTATGTAGTCAACCATAATAAATATTTATTAAATTTTATTAAATATTTCAATTGTATTATAAGCTGAAATCCTCTGTCGCTAATGGAGGTCAAAGCAGCCGATGGTTGTTTTGACTTCCATTTGGTCACACCCAACACTGGAGGTGTAACCAATTTCAAAAGGAAAATTTCCATGTTAATTCCCGGCATACCCAACCCACCCACTCTCCCAACATCGATGACCATATATCAAAGAGCATACCCTCCCCCTCCTCCCAGCAGAGCGATAACTTATCGACTTTCCAACCGCTTGCTACAACGCAGTTGATATGCAAATCACTTTCTCCAATTTCACTTCCGTTGCCGACAAACATTTCCAGCTTATAATATAGATTTTGTCTTCATTTCTCTGCTTTTTTCCAGTTGTCGCTATTTATCAACCTTACTAAATCTGTGTAGTGTAAACTAAGCCCATAAAACTGGATTCGACGAGAATGTCCTTCTACGACACTCTTCACTCCCTCGAGTTATCCGACTGCGACTTGTCCAACTACCACCTTACCCGCCTACGAGTTACCCAACGACGATTTACCCGATCATTTACATACCTTCCAACCAGGTAGCGGAGGTGTAAATTGTACTACATTATGTGCGCAAATCTGTTTGAAATTTATTTGGCTCGATGGAACAACAACTCCATTGAAGAAGTCAATTGAATGGCGCAGTACCCCAAGTGGTAATGTACAAAGAACAGTGTCCGCTGAAAAAGCAACAAACTTTTTAAACTAGAATGAAACATCATTTTACATGGTATTCAATAGGTAATAAATACTGACCATTGTAAATTGTCTTATCCAGTGATTCCCCACTAGCCTCTGTTGTAACAATTTGAACTCCTCGGGGACCGTTGGTTATAATTTCGCGGACAGCTCTGTTAAACTTTATTTCAATACCGTCGGATAGAGCAACAGGAACACTGGAATATCCGTTTCGAACTGTTTTGAGGAAGGAAAAATATTTAACAACTTTTCGATGATAATCAAGTCTACATATTTTGCAGACCACTACATACTAAAGGGCGCTTGTCCTGCTGGTGACGAATTTGTCGTTGAATAACCCCGGAACGGTTTGTCGTAGCGGGTCAAAATTTTTAACAGACGAGCATGTTATCCTAGGCTGGTGTTGTGCAAAAAACCAACTCACTGCTTTCAAAAATACCTCCCCCAACACTCCCAGAAGTTGAGACAGTCATAAAAAATCTTTCCAAGGAATAAGAATGAATTTTTGGCGACATTTGACGAAGCACTAATTTCTCTACAAGTTACTAATTGGGGTCGAAGAGCTTATTACGCGACAAATGCCGAAACAAATTCACGCAAATTGGTGCTTCCCCCGTAAGGAGAAGTTTTGCAACAAGTTTATGGTTTTGGGTGCAATGTTGGGTCGTGGTGTCCTCCCACCTATCAAGGTCCCCATGTATGTATGTATGTATTTTGGGAGGAGGACTCCTATCGGAGGAGCCCACTGTTGAGATCATCCATTAGATCTATTGCATATCCTCTTACTTTACACCGTATGACAGTGGCTATCCAGTTGCTCAGGTATAAATCCCCATATGCACTCACGGGGCCAGTCCCACTCCGCCCATCCTCTACCCACCACTGCCTCATGGATGACTGATTGTATAGATGGCTACTTGCATAAGGAAGTTTCTCGTGGGTCGTACGACCGGCAACTCATATAGCATAAGGATTATTTCCCCATAGAGTTTTGTTTCCCCTTCCAGTTAGATATTGGTATTTCATGCCACTGCCTATTCAATATTACTGTATGCCCCTTTGGACGGGAGGAAAGGTAGTATGCTCAGTCCACTCTATTGAGTGTCCAGCTAAAATACAGGGAGGGCTGCCCCAGCTGCCGAGCTATGAGGGATCGAACCATAGACCTTCCGAGTGCTGAAAGCCACCGGTTCTAACCCTCAAGCCAAACAGCCAGGGCTTATCAAGGTCCCCAAAAACTGTACTAAAAATTTTGACCCGATACGAAAAACCGTTCCGTGGTAATTCAACGACAAATTCGTCACTATTGTGCTGAAAATAATTAAGTGTAATGGAATTTCTGCCCGCCAAAAACGCGTGCCCATTGCGGGCTGAAATTCAAATAAAATCCTTCACGCTTAATCAATTAATCCTAATCAATAGCAGGCAAAGCGCCCTTTAGTACTACTCACAATGGGGAGGTTTGAGGTGGTTATCGCCGATATGGACCGGACTAATTTTAAATTGTTCACGCTCAAAAATAAGTGGAATTTTTGCGTATTTTTTTCCGTATTTTTGCGTTTTCCTGAATGGGCATTTTTACGCCCGTGGCGGAATTTTCGAAAAAAATTCAGCCAAAATCCGGATTTTTTAAAACTTTTCGAATTTAATCCGATGTCAAAAATTAAACATAATTTTTTATCAGAATTAGTTCCCTGAGATTATAAAAATTCATTTTTAGCCCGAACCAGGGCTTATGTAATTGTCATGTCCGTCTGTCTGTCTGTCTGTCCGTCTGTCTTTCGATAACTCTCGAACGAGTTGACCGATTGACTTGAAATTTTTACCATATTGGACAAAGTTAGGAAACGAGTTCGAAGATGGGTGACATTGGTCCAGTGGTTGACCGGTGGGGGTCATCGGAGTGGGTGGGGTATTATGCACCAAAATTTCAAAATCGTCATAGAAAGCTCAAATTGCAAAATTGGTGCAAAGGTTGCTAATGGCTTCTAATGAAAGAATATGAAGTGAAATTGGAAAATTTTTCAACCGGAGGTACCCGAGGGGGTGACCCATACCGATTTTTCAAAATCATCCAATCGAGCTGAAATTTGGTATAGAGGCTGCTAAAGGCCCCTAATGGAAGAATATGAAGTGAAATCGGTAAAATTTTCATCTAGAGGGACCCTATGGGGTGATCCCCACCGATTTTCAGAAATTAACATAGAAAGCTGAAATTTGGACCAGAGATCCATACTGCTTTTTCACGAAATAACATGAAGTTAAATATGAACAAAAATTAACCAGGGGGCTATAGAGACAACCTCAACTAGGAAATAGTCAAGGGAAGGGATAGTAAATATTTTTTAGAATTTGGAGCGTAGTAATACGAAGGATTGATGGAAGAATTAGTGCAAAATAGTAGCACATAATTTCATAGAAAACTACTGACAAACATGGGTTTACTAATCATTCCTGGTTCGGGCTAAGCAAAGCTGTACTGATAGGTTATTTTATTTAAAAAATTAACATTTTCATGCCATTTAAAAATTGGGTTTAATTTTTGAAATCGGGTTAAAATTCGAAAAGTTACAGCGTTTTTTAAAATTCGGATTTTGGCTGGAATTTTGTTCGTTTGTTAAAAATGCCCATTCATGAGAACGCAAAAATACGGGTTCACTTATTTCTGAGTGTGAACAATTTAAAATTAGTCCGGCGATAACCACCTCACCCCGTGAGTACTCCGCAGATCTGGACAAATTACTAATCGATAGTTACAAATTCCAATTACAGATTGGTAATTGTAGTCCAATTTATTCTAAAAATGTAATTTGTAATTGGAATTTGTCGCTTGAACAAAGGGGTCAAAGTAAAAGATTAACAAATAGCTTCCCGGCTAGTGGAATCGATCGTGGGACTGCGTAGGGACAGGCATACCCCGTATCCACTAAGCCAAACAGACTTGCTTAACAAAATTGCAGTACCAACATTTAAACCCACAATTTGTGGGCATAATTTTGACAAAATCGGGGCGTAGAAACAAGTTGCTTACTTGTGAGATGTTTTCCAGTGAACTCGAAATCGTCATCCTGGTCCCAGTTTTTCAAGGACAAATTAGACAGAGGCGCAGCGTTAGCAAACTCCAGATTCGCAAAATGCCAATCCAAAATTTGACGATCTCTTGGTGAGAGATAAACATCGCTAAACAAACATGAGAATGAGATTTACATGGTTAAACGCTTGGTTGCAGTGGCTTCGGAAGCATGGGGACACAGGGACAAAGTCCATAAGGACATTTTTCCGTGGGACATGCAGTGCACTTGTTCCCACCGAAGTCCAAAAACATCGACCTTATACGAACAATAAAAGAGTAAACCGTTGTAACGTTAGAAGTAGCTCGCCCTGTAATACTTGAGTGACAGAATAAGTTAGTAGATAAAACTTTGCACCAATGGTGCAGAATAAGCGGACAAAATACATAATCTTGATGTAATTTCCTAAAAATGGACATGTTCCTGTTGAATTAGCATAAAAGACGGACAACAGGAATTCAATAGCTCTCTTGCTACGCATAGCGAGCTAATAATTCAAAAATCGTATGGCAATAGGGTAAAATGTTGCCGTCTCAATCCAATTTCAAGATAATTGATTAAATTTATAACTATTGCCATTCAAATATGCAATTTATTTTGCAACTATCAGCTAGATTTCGATTTTCACAAATTACTTTTTATCGTATATATCCCAGATTATTGTTTCATCGTACCCAACATTAACATTTTCTTCAAATGCTATATTTTTTTTTAATTTCTCGAGCTTGAAAATAAGCAAAGAAAGTTTTCTCAAGTACCGTAGGCGCTATATGCACTAATCTTATATACATCCAAGGTCAAATTATCTTCTGCGGCCACTGCACTGTTCAGTGCTCAAGTGTTTATCGATGCGAGTACAATATAATTACAAGTAAAATATACTTGCTATCAATCAACCTAGTATCAAATATGAGGCAAACAGCCCTAGTATCAAATATGAGGCAAACAGCCCTAGTATCAAATATGAGGCAAACAGCCCTAGTATCAAATATGAGGCAAACAGCCCTAGTATCAAATATGAGGCAAACAGCCCTAGTATCAAATATGAGGCAAACAGCCCTAGTATCAAATATGAGGCAAACAGCTTTCTATGAATTTTAAATTTAAAATACTTGAAACACATTTGCTGTTAAAATACGATAAACAATCTTCGTATCCGATATTAAGCTGATAATAACATCTACGAGGGGTGTTCCATATTCACGTGGATTCGCCTTGAAGGGGCAATAAATTTGGGGTACTTATCACTATTCATTATAATCTTCTGCGAGGTCAACACACTTGGTCCGATTGAATTTCAAGGATTCTATCCCGGTTTTACGAATGGTTTTAGAAAAAAGACAAAAACCTTGCTTTCTCAGTCGAAATTTCCTCCGCCAGAGGTTTTTTTAATGTTGAAAGGTGTGGACTGTAAGGGGGATGAAATAATTATGTCATCTTTTGGATTAAAATGACACCCTTCGAAACTTTGGGTTTTGAACTGAAAAGTTGTCGACTAAGCGACGCGATTTTTGTCCTCATCTTTTCTCTACAATGGGTGGGCTTGATTTTTCAAAATTGCGGTATAATAAGCACCAGGGGATCATTTCACCACTCCGCACTCCAGCTTTGCAATTTTGCATCGTGTTCGTAGCCAAAAGGTCCACGAGCAGGACTCCTTTGGAGCCCCAGAAAACGGTTGCCATACCTTGAAAGCTGTTTTTGCACTTGGGCGGATGCTTCCACTATAATGCTCACTGGCTTACTATCAGGGCCATAACAATGAACCCAGGTTTACTCCCCCCTTGAAGGTTTAAATCTACGTAGGAAACCTGTGCTCAATTTTAGCGATTTGGTTTGTCTCGCCGTTTTTGGTCACATCTGACGACCTCGACCTTGACCGTAAATTTGTAAGCAATTAAACCTGAGATAAACATATCTTTCACACCAACTAAAAAAGTGAGGGAAAATCACCCCCCTTCAAGTCGAGGCCATTTAAATATGGAATACCCATCGTATTATACTTTGATATGGGAATAATCTCAATAATCATAAATAACAGATTCTTACGGTGGTGGATCTGACTCTAATACGAGAAGTTTGTCTTCAGTGTCTTTCAGGTCGTTCTCAAATACGTCGTATTTCTACAAATTCAAAATAATAGTCTCATTGGTATAGTCAATTATGTCACATTGACCTTCTCAGTTTTTTTACCTCGACTAGCTCTTTGAGATCATTGTCAGTTGCTAGCTGAGCAAATTCTTGGGTTGCGTCGCGTCTCCTATTGCCTACTTTGGATTTAATTTCACTAAGGGAGTTTTTCAGATTTTCAATAGCTCGTTTTTGTAGAAGCATCTATTATCAAGTGAGAAGTTGGATAAAAAACAAGACAATATTTACATGACTTTTTCGTATTACAACCTTTGTCACTAGTTCTTTTTGAGTATCCAGTAAGTTTTGAACTTTACTATAATAAGTCAATTGCTGTTCCTTCACACGCTTTTCTTGTAACCTGTACATATAAAACAAATTCTGATATTTAACTGTACACTACATTTATTGGTGTATTAGAAAAACGAACTTGATAACCCATTCTAACGCTTGACCCAGAGACACTGCTTTCCCATTAACATAATTGAAGTCCAGGTGGTGGGATATATAGCTTGATGCTTCGAGAAGGCGGTTAAACTCCATTTCGATTTTTTCATCTTTTTCTTTGGGAACCTATGCAATGTAATAAATTCAAGATATTTTATCAACTGCACAGGTTATTTGGTATTGATCACCAGACTGATCCCCCCTTGTACCAATTAGTCCTGCTACATAGCAAGAAGTGTGTCAAGCTGAGACAATGACTACATAAGAGATAATTCCTCATGGCGTATGTTACATCATTGAAACGCATCATTTGCTACCAAAGCTAAAAATTCAGCATCTTGCCAAATGACCTCATTTACACTGGGTCAATGTGGCCAAAATGATTGCCATTTTTAAGATCAAAAACTGCAATTCAACGTGGCAATATATTTGTAACTTAAATTTTGAGAACGCTCTCACCAGGAAAAAGTTTAATCAAATCTATTTAAAAACTACCACGCATTTTTATAACATTGTTAACTAATGAGTTTGCAATTAATAAAACAAGTAATTTTTTATTAAAATTTCTGAACTTGAAATTTAAACCATTAGCGGGGGCGAAACGGTTTTAATGAAATTTGAAAGTTATTAAAATCCGGATTTATTGTGAACGGACTTTACGTGAAGCACATGAAATCCGAAAAATTTATCACTTCATTCAGCTTAGAAAATCAGGTTGGAAGTTGCGGTAATAATGTTCCTTACTTTGTGTTCACAATGGACCGATTAACTGTAATTCACTTACTGTTTCACCATCCGCTTCATACAAGGGACACTTTTGCTTAATTTTATGGAGATCCATTTTTATTTGTTTCGATAGGATTGATAATGGGTTTCCTCCAAGCCCCGTTACTACCATGGCCCCCAAGTCTGCTATATATTGAGCTTTCCTGAAGGTAACGACACGACCTCCAACACGATCTCGAGATTCTACAACTGTGACATCCAGACCAAAGCGTTTCAGTTGTCTTGCAGCCGCCAGCCCAGACACTCCTGCTCCGATTACAACCACTTTTCTGCCTGTAGGTTTTACAGGAGGCTATAAAAAAGATTTTCTTTATTAAATCTTAGTATAAAGTGTATCGCAGAGTATGTGTGAAAAAAATATGTATCACAAAAAGTATCGAAAAATCTGACTACGCAGCAGTCGCACAAATAAGTCCCTAAACTTAAAAAAACGCAGAAATCGCAGAAAAATATAAAAAAGATGTAAATATCAAGGTTTATACCTCCATACGCGGAAACAATTCAAGCCCGGCCAAACCCGAAGACGATGAAAAAGAAAGACGTATGCATTACTTTAAATTAATCAACTGTTACAACGTTTGTAAACAAGGGATGAAACCAGCGTGTCATAGGAATATCAGATTATTTTTTGTCCGTGGAAAATCTGTTAAAATTGGTCTGGCGTATTTTCGACATTTGTGACCTTTGACCTCATGCAACGGTCACCGGGGTGTCGCAAGTCAAAACGGGTATCACATTCGTGATCTAAAAATCTATTCAAATTGACACATCTGACTGTTTTCTCATTCTGCCTCACGGGCTACATGAATGTCTGCACAGTTGACACTAGTTGACAGTGCACTGTGCAGAGTGCAAGCAGACTGCGCTATAGGTTTTTTTAAAGAAAGAACTCATGGTGTGACCCGGCATATTATTTTGAATTTCACTTACAGATACTGTTTCAAAAATTCCAAAATTGATGTATCCGTGTCGGTTCAAAAATATATACACCCGGGCAGCAAGTAACTGATCCGAGTTATATGGAGATTCAAGTCCGTCCCACAAAGTTCTAAAAGTTAATTCCTTCCTAGGATTTTGTAGCCAACATTGCAGCTGTAAAAGAATAAGTAAGCATGATCATTATAACATTCCTACAACTACATGCAATAATTGAAGTCATTTCACAAGCATATTTGACACTTTATCACTCGTGTTGCTGTTACAGTATAGACCGTGTGGGTGTGGGAACAGGAAGCTCAAGCAAATTTCAAGTGGATAACTGCCAGGATCGATAAGAGCAACAGGTAATTAAATCTTTCCTTACCGTTCTATTTCGGAGGTGTAAATACATCTTTTGAGTCTGGATTGGAGCTTGGGCAATATCGTAGAAAGCCATAGCTTCCGCCGTCGATAGCCGGTCAAATGGAAACCGACTTTGAAACGCAGCACCTTCAAGGCCTGCAATTAAAAATAACACCTCGATATCAAAGCCATTTGGATTTACAACAAATATAACACATGCCTTCCTGCATGCATTATTTAAGGGGAAAAGGATTTTTAAGCTGATTTGATAATGAGTTACATATTGAATCATAATTTGAGTATCTTCATGGTACCTTATCCTGTACTTTGCCTGCCCTTATCTGCTCTTATTTTTAACGTACACTCACAATTAATATATTTGTTCCTTATAATACCTTTTGGGTCATCTTGTTCTGACTCGTCGTCAAATTTCCATCCCACGTCACTTTCCAATTCTTCGTCGTCTAAAGCTGGTGGAGTCCCAATATCCTCATTGTCTTCGCGTAAGATAAACAAGCCATCTGTTGGGTAGCATATTAATAAAGCAATTGATAAACTATAACCCCAAAACATCATCTATAAGCATTCACCATCGATGTCGTCTTCGTCAAGGGGGGCGTCTTCATCTTCATCCAGATCATCTGGTGGAATAAGAACACAAATTCATATCAGATCAGTATGGGTGACTTCGAAGCAATTTTTTATGTAATCAAATCAGAATTTTTCACTCTTATGTTAATTCCCCAGTGATATTTCAAATCATTATTGGATATCAATTTCCACATATATTTGATAAAATTTGTGGTCCCCCAGAAAAACCCTAGTAGTGGTGTAGATTTTTAATATTTTTAAAATGACTCAACTACACTCATATCCATGTGCAATCGTTGATATCATTTCATCAAGTTAACATTATCGATATGCCCAATTCAGGCCAATTCAGTGGTTCGTTCAATGTATAAACGTTAAGGGACTTTTCATCGAAGTGATCTTAAATATTAAGGTTGCAAGTTAGGGACCGTACATAAAGCATGCATAATAATAATTTGGTACCCTTTCAATGGATCACATGCATTACCAATATGTACGGTCCCTTTATAACATTCTATTCTGTTCTAGTTTGAAGGAGACAGCATGCGAATTCTGAGGACATGGTATTTATTGTGTGGTAGATTTGTGCCCTTATCGGGGTCAGATATTAAATATTACTGTCAGAAATCCGGTATAGTCACGCGGGTATTGATTTCTCGGTATTAAAGTTGCTACCGCTTGGTATTAAAATTATACCGGTCCGTAAAAATTTGATACCAATATTGTAAAACTTTAATATCGGGTTATTACTACACGGTATTATTTATCAATACCACGTTGGTAGAGTCATATATGAATACCGCCTGGTATTATTATACTGGATTTCTAAGAGTGTATGATATTAAATTTCTCATGCATTTTGCATTACATTTTCCCTACAATAAAGGGAAGATTTCATTATGCAATAATTTGTCATACCATCATCGGAAACTTTCCTCTCTCTCAATACCCTTCCTGATCCTGTGAAGAATTTTTCTTTCTTGACGTTGACAATTGGGGACATAATGGACAGCTTAGAAATGGGCTTGGACGACGCTTGACTTTGCGGTATGAAACTAACTCCACTGCTACTTTCACTACTACTGCTGGGACAACGTTCATGATGAACGTGATGTCGTCGTCGTGGGGGTGTGAAGTGGTTGTTAGTTCCATTGTCCTCGGGGTCGCTAAGAATTATAACGGATGATTCAGGTGAAGGTGTTTTATTGGGGTTGGGATTATTCTCGTTATTTATTATTTGACGTCCTCTTCTTCTAGTTTTGCTGCGATCTTGGTCGAAAAGGTTCCTATTTTGGCTCATCTTTGGATAATTATTGAGGTAGATTTAGATTTGATGGTTTATGTGAAGTGTTCTAATGTTTTAATATTTGTTAAATTGTGTTTGAGTAACGCCGAATATGTTTATTATTTTTTAACGGGTTTATTGTTGTTTTATTTAGATTCCCACTTGCAAGAGGTTTTCTCATCACCCCGCTGATGCTCCACTCTGAAACTTGCACTTATTGTCGGCACAGGCTTAGTTGATTCATACCCGAAAAAAGACCAAAAGTAAGAATGTTAATCAACTTTTTGAACAAAATATAAGACTGGTGACTGGGTTATTTTATTAATTTTTTCACAGGAATTAAAGAACAAATACTTGAAAATAAGAAACTCCTTGTCCTACCTGTGAATAACTGTGAATGAACTGGGAGCTGACAGAAGATGGACTGAAGAGTAATAAGTTATACGTCAAAAAGCGGCTGCGGGAAACAAGTTTCAACGTGTTTCAACGTGACCAGAACAGAATTGGACCTGGACCTATCCATACATTTTCTATGTAAATAATCCATTCTGGACCAAATGCAATAATGAAGGTTGTTTTAATACTATCTAATAAGTATCTATATAAGATGTTAAAACTCAAATTTTTGAAGGGGCATTGTCCCTTGACAATTGACATAATGAACACTCCAATTACAATTGACTATAAGAGCATATAAGAGCATATAAGAACTATTCACTGAATATACATAACTCCAACTATATCTGTACTATAGTCTTTGGAACTATTTAAAAGCATCTAATTGTAAGCTGTATTAACTTTATTTTTAACTTAAAATTAAAAATTAGTTTAGTTCATTAATAACCTATCAGTACAGCTTTGCTAAGCCCGAACCAGGATTTATTAGAAACCTCATGTTTCTCAGAATTTTCTATTTAAAAATTTAAAAATTCAACCCTCTTAAATTTTAATCCTAACTTACTTTTCAACTCCACACTAAATTTTAGCTGAATATATAAACTCTTAGAAATCGGAATGGGTACTATTGGGTACCCCTTAGTCCCCCTCTGGTTACTTTTTGTTCATCTTTGACTTCATATTATTTCATGAGAATCCATTAACTATCACCCTGCCGAATTTTAGCTTCTTACGACGATTTCTAAAAATCGGTGTGGGTCACCCCTTTGGGTCCCTATACACAAAATATTTATCACTTTCACTTCATATTCCTCCATTAGGAGCCATTAGCAACCTCTATGCCAAATTTCAGCTCCATTGGATGGTTTTGAAAAATCGGTATGGGTCACCCCCTCGGGTACCTCCGGTTGAAAAATTTTCCAATTTCACTTCATATTCTTTAGTTAGGAGCCATTAGCAACCTCTTTGCCAAATTTCAGCTTTCTAACACAATTTTGAAATTTTGGTGCACAACACTCCACCCACTCCGATGACCCCCACCGGTCCAAAACTTTTATGATCGAACCCATCTTCGAACTCGGTCGTTGCATTGTCCAGATACATGTCTGTACCAAATTAGGTCCAAATCGGTCAACTCGTTCGAGAGTTATCGAAAGACAGACGGACAGATGGACGGACATGACGATTACATAAGCCCTGGTTCGGGCTAAAACTAAACATTTACCATAAGAAGACATTTACTAAACTTTTAATTTTAATTTATTAGCTTTATTTTTCATTTATTTTTATTTTTGAATAAATCAAGTTATTCTCCTTATCCTTATAATACTGCTGTAAATATAGTTGACATTTATTTTTCATGTTGAAGTACAATTTGTCATGTTAATAAATTAGACCCCAACTGGAATTATTATTATCATGTCCGTCTGTACTGTGTATACTGGCTTCAATCTTTACCGATTTTTGATGATAATTTAAAAATACCATAAAGCATTAACCTAGTTGTGAATTCGCTTCTTGAGATGATAACCAGCATTATTAATTAAATTAAAAACAAGCATTTTGAGGTCCGCATCCCTTGGGTCACTCATAGTGATGGTAATCCGTAACCGATCCTATCCTAGGATCGTAAAAACTCGGATAGGATCGGATTTTCACACGGATCGGATAGAGGATCCGAGGATCAGACAATCTGATCCGATCCGAACCGATGAAATCCTAGGATCGCACAGGATCCTCGGATCATCCGATGTAAACTCGTTTCACATTTGGTGCGTTCATCACATGGCGTACATTACCCGAATGAGCCGAATTATTTTATTATTTTACGCCAGTTATTTTTATTTTGGCGTTGAAATCATACGAAATTGAATAATTTAAACGCCGAAATAAAAATAACTGGCGTAAAATAATAAAATAATTCGGCTCATTCGGATAATGTACGCCATGTGATGAACTCGAAATAAAGAAAAGCAGCTGGTAAAGTTTTTCCATAGTTAGACACAAGGTGTCTCACACATATCAAGTGAATCTTGGATCATCCGCGGATATCCTACCATCCTAGGATCGGATCGCATCGGATTTCGTGTAGAACCGGGAGCCGATCCGATCCTAAAGCGAGCAAATCCGATCCGATCCGATCCTGTATTTATCCGATCCTATCCTACGGATCGGTTAATTTAGGATACGGATTACCATCCCTAGTCACTCATTTTCGAGCACCTCATAATTTTTCGAGTTATGCAAAGATTTATTCAAATTAGTAATTATAAATATAAAATAATTAGTTGGTTGTTTTCAATTTGGCTTCACACTTGATGAAAATCTTGACGCGATTTTGTTTAATAATTATTAACACGGATCCTTTATCCTGCCTTACTTTCATAAAGCGAAAATAAACTCCACACATTCTTTATATTCTATGCTCCACACTTGATCCATCTCATAAAACTAAACCAGAGTTTGATTAAAAACTATGACTCAGGAGGAGAGACCCTCCACATGTCCGTCTCAGATCTTGATGCCCTTTGCATATGTTGGAGTCAGGAGTACCCTTATGACTAAAACCCTGAAGTGTTAGATTCTATGGCCCCATTTGCGCTCGCCACACCCCTTGAAAGGTGTAAAAGACACAAAAAAAGCCTTTTTTCATGTACTTCAACTGTCACCAAAAATCGAATTTTACTCGGATTTTGATAAAATTTACATTTTTGTGATCCCAGATGCTTGTGTGATCATATCCAGTAAATATCTCAATTTTTTTGAATTTTTGAATTTTTCGAATAACTCATCAGAATGTCCAAAAATTTAGAAAATTTCATTCTCCTGTAGCCATGTATGTGGATCGATTGGTTGACCAAAACAATAACAACACGACTCACGTACACCAAAATGCATGGGAATTCATACTATTTCCCATCACCCGTTACTAAATATGTCTTTTACAAAACAAAACACTTCACCAATTACACACGTATCCACTGTAGAAAAATTTCCTGTTATTGTTTCATTTACTAAATAGCAGACAAAAATATTAATGAAATACGTGATCACAACTTTGTAACCGAAATTATCTATCCAATGAGTAATCATATAAACTCTTGTTATAGTTTGACTAAAAGATACAAATTATATGATTCTAGTTACATCAATGATCATTTATTACGCTAAAAATTATGAATTTCATGTTATTGAAATATTTACATCGTTTCATGTAATCTCATGCAATGTAATCTCATGCAATTTCATATTTACTAAATTCCTTGACTAAAATTAAATTCAAGATTAAATGTTTGATTTGGCACTTAACTTAAACAAAAAATAAATGAACAAAAAATATTTGTACTGCTAACTTGAATCTGCCGTCATTTTGGCACAAACTGTATTTTCGCCATCATAACATTTATAAGTGTTTTTGAGCCAGAATTTAAATTATTTATCCCCAATATTGTTTCTGAGAAAAAATGAATCAACTTTTCATTGCCAAGTGCAAATTTTTATTATTCACAATTTCCATAAAATATTCATGCTACTTTTAGTAGGTGACTAGCTTTCACAATTGTTGAAATTCAACACAATCATTAACATTAATTACACACAAAATGGGTTATACATTCCACCGGTCCCTGTGACTAATTCACATTCAAATTATTACTTGAATGCCAATAAATAATTTAGTCTAAATGAATCAGAGAAACGATAAATTTGCTAAATAAAATTTTAAAAATATGTGCAAAGAATCGTGCCATAAAAATACGCAAATCTATGAACTTTTGTAGATATTCAATATTCATCAAATTTTATTAGTTCTGAGAACTTTCATACTTCCAAAAATCTTTCTGCTGCTTTAACTTCCGGTACCATGTGTTTATAATGTGTCATCAATTTTGTCAATTTTGTGTCAATTTTGTGTCGTCAAATTTTCTAACTTTCCTCACGAGCAGCCTACCTCCGAACTGGAACAAGTTAATAATTTTTAATGTTAGTATTTTAAACTGCAACTATAAAACTGCAACTAATTATACGTCACAAGATAATTTGTACCTGTACCAAATCTTGCCGTTATAAAAGATGGATTTCTAAAAACCAAAAGTGGCGTATCAGCACTACAAACCATAATATTTAGTTGCATAACCCAGAATAGTAATACACACTGAGGAGGGGAGCTTGCGAGGTTGATAATAACAGATCTTGATGCCCTTTGGATATGTGGTAGGGTCCTATGAGTGTACTAAAACCCTGAAGTGGTTTGACTCCATGGCCACATTTGCGCCCGCCACACCCACTCAAAAATGCCCAAAAAACGCTTCCACTCCAGTTTTCACTCACTCAAATCCACGTCAAAAATCCAATTTTACTCGGATTTTGAAATTTCTTTCATCATTACACTCCCAGATAGTTGCTTTCTTCAATCCAATATCAAACCCAATTTTTTCGAAATTTTTAGTATTTTTAAAATTTGAAATTCTGAATGAGGATTGTTGTAGTAATCAACAACTCAAATTACGCCTGCGAAATAATCATCAGCAAAATTGAATTTGATATGGAATTGAAGAAAGCAACTATCTGGGAGCGTAATGGTGAAAGAAATTTCAAAATCCGAGTAAAATTGGATTTCTGGCGTGGATTTGAGTGAGTGAAAACTGGAGTGGAAGCGTTTTTTGGGCATTTTTGAGTGGGTGTGGCGGGCGCAAATGTGGCCATGGAGTCAAACCACTTCAGGGTTTTAGTACACTCATGAGACCCTATCACATATCCAAAGGGCATCAAGATCTGTTATTATCAACCTCGCAAGCTCCCCTCTTGAGAAAAAGTGTACGTACGTACCATGAAACTTTCCATGAATATCTGGAGGAAACCCGGAGTGAGTCACGTTTCCAGAAACTCTGGCAGCATTCACATAGATACGTAACCGTTGATCAGAAATACTGGACTTTCTCTACATAAGCTTTGCGCATAAGAGGATACATGACATGGAGCAGAAAGTACGAGAGCATTCTGAAAATATTGTACGTGGATCGAGTTGGTTGACCAAAACAATAACAACACGACTCACGTACACCAAAATGCATGGGAATTCATTACTATTTCCCATCACCCGTTACTAAATATATGCCTTTTACAAAACAAAACACTTCTCCAATTACACACGTATCCATTGTAGAAAAATTTCCTGTTATTGTTTCATTTACTAAATAGCAGACAAAAATATTAATGAAATATGTACGTGATCACGTTTTTTAATCGAAATAATCCAATAAGTAATCAAATCATATAAACTCTTGTTATACTTTGACTAAAAAATACAAATGATATGACTCAAAGAATCAATTCTTGAAATTACTTTCTTGTATAAACGACAATTTATTACGCTAAAAATTATGAATTTCATGTTACTAAAATATTTACATCTTTTCATGTAATCTCATGTAAATTCCGTGTGTACTAAAATTAAATGTTTGATTTGGAACTGAACAGAAAATAAATGAAACTAAATAATAAAATATTTGCACTACTAACTTGAATCTTCCGTCATTTTGGCACAAATTGCACTTTCGTCATCATAACATAACATTTATAAGTGTTTTTGAGCCGGAACGTACGTAAACATTGTGGATGTTACTCGTAAAGGGTAGCGGAGTTGAGAATACGTGCGATTACGTGAGAAGTTGCTCGTATGTTCTAGAGCATGCGAGATACCGGCCAACTTTCATATATAAAGCCACACGATGACTGCCCAGCATCAACATTCACAAGTTGAAACTTACAAAGCGAACAAGAGAAAAAGCTCAGTTTTGAGACAAAGTGCATAAGCAGATACTCCTACTCGTATATACTAAAGTGAAATACAACCGATTTACGACACAGTTTCAAAAAGATTTTCAAAAAGTGATTTTCGAAAAACTACAAACACACGATAAACTTCAAATTTTCTGCATTTTTTGGATCATTTATAACTGGTAAGTTTGTGCTTTGTATACAATATTTCACATTTTACATATTTAGTATGGAGAAAACTGGAGAAAGTGCCCGTGAAAATTTTAAGGGTTCGTTATACTAACAAAATTTCTACTTTCATCCTTTCAGAATTCACAACAACCTATAAAAATGGTGCAAAAACGAGCCATCGGAATCGACCTGGGTACCACCTACTCCTGCGTTGGTGTCTGGCAGAATGGAAAAGTTGAGATCATCGCCAACGACCAGGGGAACAGGACGACGCCTTCGTACGTCGCCTTCAACGATACAGAACGACTTGTCGGAGACGCTGCCAAAAATCAAGTCGCCATGAACCCACAAAACACCATCTTTGACGCGAAACGTCTCATTGGAAGAAAATTTGACGACCAGAATGCCCAAGCAGACATGAAACATTGGCCATTCAAAGTAGTCAACTGCGGAGGCAAACCACAATTCGAAGTCGAATTCAAGGGAGAAACGAAGCGATTCATGCCGGAAGAAATCAGTTCCATGGTTCTCACCAAGATGAAGGAGACGGCGGAAGCTTATCTTGGGACGAAGGTCACCGACGCGGTTGTCACTGTGCCAGCCTATTTCAACGACTCGCAACGCCAAGCCACCAAAGATGCCGGGGTCATTGCGGGATTAAATGTGCTTCGAATTATTAATGAACCTACGGCAGCCGCGTTGGCGTATGGATTGGATAAGAACTTGAAGGGGGAGCGAAACGTCCTCATCTTTGACCTGGGTGGGGGCACTTTTGACGTATCGGTGCTCACGATTGATGAAGGAAGCTTGTTCGAAGTTAAATCAACGGTAAGAATTAGGATTTTTTTGTCAGTATAATTTAAAATTGGAGAGTTTGTAGAAAATCAAAACTTATTTTTTTGTGCATTTTATTACAGAACGGAGACACCCACTTGGGCGGTGAGGACTTTGACAACAGAATGGTCACCCACTTCTGTGACGAGTTTAAGCGCAAATTCAAGAAGGATTTGACCACCAATTCCCGAGCCATGCGACGACTTCGAACCGCTTGCGAGAGGGCGAAACGAACTCTTTCCTCCTCCACGGAGGCATCCATCGAAGTGGACTCGTTACACGACGGGATCGATTTTTACAGCAAGATCTCCCGAGCCCGATTTGAAGAGCTTTGCATGGACATGTTCCGTAACACCATGGAACCAGTGGCAAAGGCGTTGATCGATGCAAAAATGGATAAGTCCCAAATCCATGACGTCGTTCTGGTCGGAGGATCCACTCGAATTCCCAAGATTCAAAAAATGCTTCAAGATTTCTTCAACGGGAAGGAACTCAACAAGTCAATCAACCCGGATGAAGCTGTCGCTTACGGTGCCGCAGTCCAGGCCGCGATTCTGTCTGGGGATCAGAGTTCACAAATCCAAGACGTACTTTTGGTCGACGTAGCTCCACTCTCCCTCGGAATCGAAACTGCTGGAGGAGTCATGACGAAAATCATTGAGCGAAATTCTAGAATTCCATGCAAGCAAGCCCAAACTTTCACCACTTACTCGGACAACCAACCAGCCGTCTCGATCCAAGTCTTTGAAGGTGAAAGAGCCATGACGAAAGATAACCATCTCTTGGGCACCTTCAACCTCGGCGGAATTGCTCCAGCACCACGTGGCGTTCCCCAAGTCGAGGTCACCTTCGACATTGACGCCAATGGGATCATGAACGTGTCCGCTGCTGACAAGGGGAGTGGAAAGACGGAAAAGATTACCATCAAAAACGACAAGGGTCGTTTGTCCAAGGAAGAGATCGACAGAATGCTATCCGATGCGGAAAAATATGCGCAAGAAGACGCCAAGCAAAGGGAGAAAGTTCAGGCTCGCAACCAACTGGAGAACTACGTCTTTGGAGTCAAACAAGCCGTGGAGGAAGCATCTCCCGACAAACTCCCGCCCTCTGATAAGCAACAAGTTCTCGCCAAATGTCAGGAAACGATGAGATGGTTGGACAACAACTTGCTGGCAGAGAAGGAAGAGTACGAGTTCAAGTTGAAGGAAGTTGAGGGTGAATTCAAACCGATCATGATGAAAATGCATGGCGGTGGGGGTGCTACTGGTCCTTCTGGGGCTGGTGGGATGCCTGGTGGGTGTGGTCAACAGGCTCGCAGAGAAGCTGGTGGACACCATGGTGGCCCAACGGTTGAGGAAGTGGATTAGAGTTTAAGGAATTTTTATGTTTTGTTTAATTTTCATATTTATTTAAAAAGCTTAAAAAGTAGATCTCACTTGATTGTTGACTTTTCCAGTAGCGTTGCTACTTAATATATTATTGTAAGTACATAATTGTAAGTGATAATAATGATAATATTTAGTAATTAGTAATATGTACTGTAAATAAAATTGTAAATATCTGTAAATACTCAATAAGTATTTGAACTGAATAAAGTTATGTTAAAAAGTGAATAAATTTTGGAAAGTATTCATTGCTTTGCATCATCAACCTATGTGCATATTTATGTATACAAATGTATGCATAGTACCATTGCTTAAGAATTTAGGAATTTTTACTAGAGTCTCATGCATCTTTCTAAACTGATAATGATGATAAATAGCATATAACACATCCCGTTTCATTGTTCACCCTATCACCCACATAATGCATCTAGTTCTTGCAAATAATAATGGTAATTTATTGTCAGATCTTGTACAAAATATTAATAAAATGAAATTAATTAGTGGGTGCACATTTTGAACCAGACTGTAGATAAATATGTTTTATTATTACGAGACAATAAACCCATGGGAAATTCAGCTTGCTAGATCTGCTAACAAATTAATGCCCATTATTCCTTTATCAAGCGATTAAAAGTATTAAAATAACTCCGACTCGACATTTTTTGCAAGGATGATTTTTAATGTCAATTTCACAAGGAAATATGCATATTAAGGGTCATTATTCTTGTACCTAAACAAACCATCGCAATAAATAATGGTGTGAGCGATTTTTGTTGTTTATTTATATTTTGTTATCAGTTATCGATATGAAAGTTTATACGGAAATCAGTGATATTGATAGGTTTGATTTGTTTATATTCAGAGATTCATTAGTCATCTCATAAAAAATACACTGTATTCTTAAAAGTTATAAGAATCACAATGATAACCTACAGGTCGTCAATATTGTTTGACCTTTTTCATTAATTCAGCGAATTTTAATATAATACTTTTATTTACTTACAGATAAGCTTGAATGATTGAACTGTCAACTATCAAAGAGCTTAGCTTCCATATTTAATTTATTTTAAAAATGCATCGCCCTGCGTCTGGTGTAATTTCAATCAATTATTAATTTTAACAGGTTTAAGGAAATGATACATAAATGAAAATCCATGATGACGAGTTTACACAAAATAATACGGCAAGTTGTCACTTTAAGTTGTCACTTTTATCGTAGCTAAATCCTAAACTTATTCAAATTAAATCGAATCCTAAGCCGTCTATCATTTTTTTAATTCAATTGTGTCCGTCCGATACTGCGGATTAATCATAGCATAGTTTCATACGTATCAATGTAAATAGGATTAAGCGTGGTGATGATGCCATCGATATTCCCCTGAACTTCTAGTTGTCATTTCATGTACATGACGATGACATGTTACATGAAGATATAAAGGGTGTTAATAAAGTCCGATCCCAGCATTTTTTGGAGCGTGGTTGTTACAAATTCAGCTGGAACTTTTGAACCAGTGAAGTTATTTATTTCAAATTTTTACCATGGGAGGAACAACTAAACGTGTAAGTCATGAGCATCTTAGAGTTGAGATACAAACATTGCATCAGCAGGGGCTTAAACCTACAGAAATTGTGCAAAAATTGGGCTGCAGCCGCAGAACTGTTTGGAAATGGAAGAATAAAAATTTTGTCCACGACAAAAAGCGACCAGGGCGACCCAGAAAGGTGTCACCTACCACAAAAAGAATGATTAAAAACAGACTTTGCAAGAAAACCGGTAGTTCATTACGTAATTGAGCAAGGGAGTTAAATGACTCAAAACGCTATAAAGAGAAGAAGAAGCAAATTAACTGTGTGACCGTGCAAAAATTTGTGAAAACTACGAAGTGGGGTCACACAGCTTACAAACTAACCAAAAAAACCTCTCATGTCACAAAAATATATCGATGACCGTCTGAAATTTGAAGAACTCCTTCAGAAAAGTGCCCATTTGAGTGAAAAAAGACTTGGTGAAGAATTGCGCAGTCACATCCTTTGGACTGACGAATCTATTATTGAACTATATCCAAAATTGAACCAACAAAATGTTCGTTACAGGACAGAAAACAAATCGGATGTACCATCAAGAGCGATCCCAAAATTCGGGCTTAAAGTTATGGTAGCGGGTGGATTTTGTGCACGTTGCGTGACCCCTCTACATATCATACCAAAAGGCCAATCAGTCAATGCAAAGCATTATATGGAAAAAATATTACCTATCTATTTCGATAGCATGGGGAACAAGGAAATATTTCCGAATGAAAGAAAAATAGTTTTCATGCAGGATGGTGCTATAGCCCATACAGCAAAAGCGAGTTTGAGTCTCATCAAGACGCAAGTTTCAACGGTCTGGAGCAAGGGGGTGTGGGCCGCTAACGGCCCAGATTTGAATCCCCTGAAGAACCAGTGGTCCATACTTAAGGAAAATGTATACAAAGAGCCACAACCCCGGACGAGGGAAGAGCTAGTAAAAAAAAGTTCAAGATGTATGGAATTCGATTTCCAGAGGCACATTGGAAAAATTAGCACAGAGCCTTAAACAAAGAGTTGAGGGCATGGTTAAAGTAAATGGTAACAAGACCAAATACTAAGGTAAATATGTCGAACATTTTTTGTAAGTATCACGGGTAGTTTTTTTTTATACTAGCCTTCACTTTTTTACAGGAAAAATGGGATCGGACTTTATTAACACCCTGTATTTCATGTTATGTGTCACCTACTTCTGTACAGTGGGTGTTCCCATCGCTGGTACTTGTTACCACCTGCGTCCAGACACTTGAAAAATGTATCTGAAATATTAATATGGAGCCTCTCACTGCCTAATTATATTAATTAATCATTGGAAATCCCTATATAATAAACCTGTCCAGTGTTTTCACATTGTGTAGCATCGTGCTTGGGTACATACAATGAATCACTTTGTATTTTAGATAAGTTGTAACATTTTGTTCTCCACATTTTATATATTTGTAATAATAATTGAAAGAATGCGTAGTAAAATAATGTTGACATTTATTATTTGAATCGAGCGTGATAAGAATTAAGTTTTATTCTCCAGTGTCAGTCAGTCAGTTGTCTGCGTCACATTTGCAATTTGATAATTGACGGAATCTTCTAAATATCAGCAGCAGCATGATGCCTTTTTTATTGCACGCTTAATCCCACCACCTTTGTCGCTTGCTGCTGGGGATAATCTCATCTTTATTATAATATGATGAATTATGATGAAATTACTGCACCAAGTTAATTTACTACGGCCAATACATGCATAAGTTTCATAAAAAAACTGCGAATCTCTAACTACACAATTGTGAAAATTGATGTTGGGTAATGCAAACAATGCAATGTTGGTTGGATGGATGGATTTCAGTTTAATATGATGCAGTATAATGAGCAATTATAATATTGACTTATATTGCATATGTGTATACTTTAGTTTGCATACTTACCCAAGCAAATTTACTTTTCAAACATGTTTGATGTAGGAAGTTGATTAAAAACAAGTCAGTTGTTCCCATAATTAGCTTGGAACAACATTGGCTGGCCTGGCCGTGATCTTGACTTTGAATTTTATCGCCATTCAGATAGTATAGGCAAAAAGTATTTTGTTCAAAATGTCTACTACGATAGATTCTATTTTGACAAGTACGGGAGCCCCTGGTCGGGCGGCTCTCATAATTCCTGATTTTGGATGGGAAGAATGGCTCGTTTTCGGATCTGTGTTAGCAATTTCCGTCGCAATAGGCATATTTTTTGGGTGTTTTGGAAAAAAGAATCAGACCAATGAGGAATATCTTCTTGGAGGAAGAACAATGAATCCAGTGCCGGTGGCATTGTCACTTCTTTGCTCTTATGTGTCCTCCATCACATTATTGGGGACGCCGGTGGAGATTTATATGTATGGAATCCAATTGTCAATGGTTCTGATTGCGTACATTCCACTCACCATCAGCTTGGCGTTTGTCTATGTGCCAATCTATTTTCAGTTACAGTACATATCAATTTATGAGGTTTGTAATATAGAAATTTATTAAATGATGTGAGTATTTTATTTTATTTTCGAAATCTTTACAGTACCTTGAAGACCGATACAGTCGATTTTTGCGGATTGTCTGTTCAGTTATCAACATCATTTATGGGGTAAGTGTGTTATTCAGGGTAAAATAATAAGCCTAAACGTGACTTTATCGACGTGAGACTTTTTTTACAGATATTTTTCATGAGCTTGGTAGTTTATGCGCCAGCTCTTGCACTTAAATTGGTCACAGGGATTGACCACAGGATAATGGTGGCCGTCATTTTCCTAGTTTGTATATTTTACTCTTCGATTGGAGGTTTTAAAGCAGGTAATAAGTTTAAATCAATTTGAATTAGAATTTAATTACATGGAAGGACGAGGATGCTTATATAAATATTTTCCTTAGTGCTGTGGACTGACTCACTCCAAGCAGTTATCATGGTTGTTTCAACGGCTATTGTGGTAATTGTGGGGACATCAAAGTTGGGAGGAGTTAGCGAAGTTTGGAAAATGGCAGATTCGACGAACCGATTAAATTTTTTCAAGTACTAAATAGAACATAATTTTGAAATGAAAATCTTCCACTGTTTTTCTTAAATTATTTAAATTATTTATTGTAACTCTTAAAGTTTTGATGTCGATCCACGTACGAGACATACATTTTGGACAGCGGTTGTCGGTGGTTATTTCCAATGGTTGCCGATGTATGCCAACCAGGCGCAAATTCAAAGATATGTGTCGCTCCCAAATTACAGATCTGTTTACATGTAAGTATTTAACCATAATATATATGATGTTGGTGCTATATCTGAATTATTACTTATGTAATTTTTTACACAGCGCATTGGGGATTAACCTACTTGGTCTCTTCGTCCTTATGGGGATGACATATTTTTGCGGATTGGTCATTTTTGCCACGTATTTTACATGCGATCCTATATTAACCAAAGTAAATCTTCCACACATATTCGCATACTTATTGTAATCTTTTATCGGTATACAATACGTATGTATTCTGCAGGATATAGCTGCTGCTGATCAAATTCTGCCACTTTTCGTGGCTCAAACTCTGGAAGAATATCCAGGTCTTCCCGGCCTATTTGTGGCAGGTATTTTAATTATTATTAATATTACAATATTAATTATATAACAATACTTGTTGCCGGTTACAGGTATAACCTGCGCTGCGCTTAGGTATGTGGAATATGCAAATTACATACTTTGTACATAATGACACCAATATATTTTTAATCACATGCTCATTTGCCAATCTCATATGACCGGTGACTAGGTTGGAATGTGGACTTTAAACAATTTAAATCTAGATATAAGATTTTATGACTTTATTTCAGTACGGTTTCAAGTGGCGTGAATGCCCTGGCCGCCTCTGTCGTGGAAGATTACGTCAAAAAATGGCGACCTACATGGAACGACACAAAGCTGGCTTGGGTCTCAAAGGGGATTGCCACAGCCACGGGGTTCTTATCTTTTGGCTTTGTCTTTATTGCCGAACAAATGGGAAATATTTTCACGGTGAGTGTGTGGAGCAATACTCAGTAGAAATTTAGATATGGAAATCTTTTTATTGATGGATTACCATTGAATTGTGGTACAATTTGATATATTTTTTTCATTATCAGGCAGCAACCTCGCTCTTCGGAATTTTTGGGGGTACTTTAGAATAAAACTTACTTTTTGATGTTCATGAGACGACCTTATGCAATTTTATTTTTAGGCCCCACTTTTGGCGTCTTCATATGCGGAATGTTTTTTCCCTGGACGAACAATCTGGTTTGTACTTACATTTGGACTAATTTTTCAATTTCTATTATGCATATTATTCTTAGGGAGTGTCGCTAGCCTTGCTCATCTCAGTGGCATTTATGAGCTTCCTTGGAGTGGGTCAAACTGTGTACAACAATCGGGGAGACCTTCCACTTCAATTTAAAGATCTCGATATGTCATGTCCTGCTGACCCGAACAATGGAACATTTGCTGGGTTCATCGAGCGCGAGTACGATTGGAAAAATAAAGATTGGGATGCGCTAACGCAAATATTTTCAATTTCTCCATTGTGGTATCCGTGTTATGGAATAATCAGTTCGGTAGTTCTGGGGCTAATATTTAGCTTCATTTTCCACAAACCATCAAAAGTGAGACCAATGGAGAGCAGACTTTTTATCCCAATTGTTTTGAAGTTATGGAAGAAAATATGTCCCGGAAAATTGGTTGGGTTTGTGAAATTCACAAAAGAGGAATTATTAGGTATGGAAATTAAATGTTAAAAAAATGAACAATAAGGGAACAAAAAATACGAATTTTGGTAACGATTACAGAAAATCCAGAACTTGGAGGCAGCTCGAATTCTAATGAAGGATTTGATGGGTCATACAGTCCGAAAAAGCAGTCAGTGATATCAGCTCCACATTTAATAAATGACCACGTAAATAATAACGGGAAAAATGAAGGATAGAATCTTATTATGTAATCATTATAGCGTTATATAAAGCAATATAAATTTTTATGACATTTAATAAACAAGTGATAAATTAATTGCACTTTCTGGTTCAACTTTACATTTTAATGATATCTTCTCTGAACTGATTTCCATATTCGGCATTGTAACAGTACTCGTAAAGAGCCCGATAAGCTTCGGCAGATGCGTGAAATTGGAATTTACAATAGTTGAGTATCTGTTGAGCTTCGTCTAATTTTGCAATCACATTGCCTGGGAATTTACGAAAAAACATGTATGCATGTAAGTACAAGATAGATACTTTCACTTTTATATAATTTGTTCAAGTTAGTAGCCAAATATTGAAGTGTATGTATGTACCTGCTTCTTCAATTGGAATGCTATCCTCACTCCCAAAAAGTTGAAACTTTGGTTGATATTTGGATATTGTTGAGATGAGAGTTGCCTTCGTGGTATTCGAGATTGATTTCAGTTTAAAGTTGAGTAAATCTTGAAAATTTGTGTTATATTTCCCTTTCTGTAAGTGTACAACAAATTAATTATACATGGTTTCTATCAAAATTTGCAATATTTAAGGCTTACCAGACCATCCACTTCATGTACACAGGCGACTTGACACTGGAAAATTATATAGAAAATTAAATACTTATAACAATCAATTAATTCATAAGATTGTGCATACCATTGTAAATGGCTTATCATTAGCGGAGGCTATTGGATGATTTAATTCTTTTAGTTTGTTCTTCATATTCTCAGAACACGCGACGACAGAAGGTGCAATGTCAAAGCGATCAAAGTCCATGAAAATGTCAAACAATGGGTATGGAAGCTCTTCTCCTTTGCAGCAGGGTTGGGCGAATGTCTCAAATGCATGATTAGGCTTTGATAAGGACTCAATTGGTTGACAAACTCTCTATGAAAATGTAACAGCATTGAATTAATTTAGCATTTTTATAATTACCACTGTAATTAAAATTATTGTTTAATTAATTACACTTACGTCATTTTCAACTGGGGGAGAAGGAATTATCTTCACGCCGGCCATGGTTAGACAAACTTCTTCCTCAGCTTTCAAAAAGCATGTCAAAAAAGTTTGCAACTTTTTCGTTATTGTGGAATTACTCGAGACTAAATTATGGAGACCGAATTTAGTTGTAAAATTGCTAAACAAAAGTGATGAAATAGGTGAAAAATTACAAACCTTCGCACTGCATGTCCTTCGCCACAATTTTATCTTTCACAAGTGCAGGGTAATTTTTCATGAAGAATGCTTCGAATTTCTTGTAGGTTAGAGAATCTTCAGAAATCTTGAAAAATGTAATTTTATAAGCCAAAATAGTAGATTATTATTTAAACTCAATTAATAGCTACTTACTGCTCCCTCAGATGCACTAGATAATTCACACATGTAAGTATCCCACTGTAGGTAGGTACATGGATAAATAGTTAAAATCCATGCAAGTCTGTATAATTATTAATTTCATATGCAGTTTTGTACCAAAGATGCAGGAATATCCGTGTCTTGATTTCCTTGTTGCATGCTCATGCACTTTCTCCAGTGCTCGCTTTTTGGTCGCATTGGATGGTCCATTAAAATATTGTTGCAACATGTAAACGCATTTCCAATGAAATATGGATTCTTCGCCATCTCAGAACCTTTGTTCCAACATTGCCTAAAGTCCTCAGACTGCACGCTAATGATTGGCAAAAACTGAGACAAGAAAAATATTTTTGATACACCTTAACCAAAATTTTTTCAGTACTTCTGTATTTTACAATTTTTTTTAAATCACTTACATAATAAAGTATGAAAACTGCTATTTTGTAATGTTCCATTATGGCAATTTTTTATATTTATCTAAATAAAATTAAGCTTTACAAGTTTAGCACAACAACCAACTCTCCCAGAGACTTTAAAACACTCGATGAACTGAACACCCAGTAAGCAACGTGTGATTTATTTGTACCTGTAAATATCGTCATTTGAAATAGGTCACTTCTTGGAAAAACCTTGGGCATCCCATTTATTGTGGGTTTACTGTTTTTTGCTTTTTAATAGTGTTACATACTTATTTGCATATATTGTACATATTTATTTGCCTTTGCCACCGTCAACCAACTGTATCGCAATTTACTATATCCGTGCATATCGGGATGATGCGTACTACGGTTTGTTACGAATCGTACCAACTTGCCTCATAATTAAACAAAGCTATGATGACATTGATGATCTAGACAATAGCAAACCGGATGGGAAGTTGTCATTAATTGAGATCGTATCTCATATGTCATTGAGATCACGTCAAATCATGGTCAAAATGGAGAGTAACCATAATTAAGCCGTGACAGAGAATGGGTTGAAATAATAGGCCACAGTAATTTAGGATTATCCTTTCCGTTGTTTATTTAAAGTGACCATAACCCCAGCAAATCCATTGTTTGGAAAAAATACTTCCATGAAATAACTCGATTTAACTTTTTTTTAGAAATGAATATATCGCATTTTACAAGAAGTTTGTTTTGTCATACGCAATTGAATTTTGTGAATGTTTATCAGCAAAACATTAAATTTATGTCTATGCAGTTACAGCATTAGTAAGCACACCATTTTCCTCAGAAGTGGTGATGACGGGGGCGATGTTTTCAGCGTTTTCAGCCGCTACAGAGGTCGGAATACACACAAAGAGTTTCCCCTTCCCTTCCGGCGAATATATTTTCATGCCCACACAATTTTGCCCTTCGAACAAAATAGTTTTGTCGTCATCGCCTTCAAATTCAGTCTCTCCATGTACTTTCAATTTGGTCGTGGATCTCAAAACAGTGATGCCTTTGATCCCCTTGGGTGAAAGTTGCACAATCATTGGACTGGATCGAATGTCGAGCGACGTGATTTTTAGACGTCGACTTGGATCGCTATCCGTTGTGATTTTGTAGTTGTTCAAGTTGATCGTACTGTAAATCCATTAAATATAACGTGCTTATGTAAATATGCATAAATTAATTTAAACACTGACGCATTTATGTAACTTACCCCTCATATTTTGAAGACAGTTTGGCCAAAGATTTAATAAACTGGGAAGCATCCGGGTTCCCATTTTTGTCCAGGGGCATTTCCATCTTTGCCAGCTTATCCCGACCACAGTTGGTTTTGAAAGACTCCATTTTTGTAGTGGGGTTGTAATTGTATATAAATGTTGCCGTAAAGTCTGGTCGATACTTGAAGCTTGCTGATATGTCGACTGTGTGGCTGCATATTAACAATTAATTAGTACTTTGAGTTAATTGTTACAAAATAGAAATAGCATGCTGTACTCACTTATTTTCAACGATTGCCCCGTCTCCCAATACTTCATTTAATATATCTCGGCTGCTCATCGTTTTCAGCAATTTCTTTGTCTTGGATTTGCTCTTGGTCAAACTTTTTGTAGAAGTTGATCCAACAGCATTTCCAATTTCAGCTTCCGACTTTGGTGGACATATTTTGCGAAACGGAGATTTTGAAGATGGTTCAGGTTTTCGGGTCTTGGACTGCTTCTCTGCTATCTCTTTTTGAGCATTATTATTTAGACGGTTGTTTTTCACTTGTTCAGATTGATTTGACCTACGAAACGAAATAGAACCGGAAGTTGACGCTGTCTGCTTTTTCGAAAGTTCGACAGATATTCCTTGCTTGGGTTGCAACTGTTTCTGGCTTTTGGTCGAAAAAACTTTTTCGATTTCATTTGAGATTAGTTCCAAGGGTTTTAAGCTGTCGAGATTTAATCCGTGAGACAAGGGATGCAGGTCCGAGTTCGAACCGGAAATTGACCGTGTTGACAAAGGTTCAAACGGTGCTGATGAAAATGATTTGAGTGAAGCTGAGTTTCCCTGTTGTTCAGATTTTTGACGTATCATTTCATATGCAATGTTCCGAATTGAATCTTCGGGCGTGAGGTGAGTGAGTAATAAGCCCATTTTAAGTGCGGTGGCTTTCTTCTAGTATCTTATGTATAATTATGCTTGAAATGCTTGCAAATCTTGACTTGAATGATTTTATTTTATTTGTAATTTATCATGATTGTGCAGTATTGGTAGAGTTGTCAAGCAACTTTGGATAATGATTTAATTGACATATTGTTCAGTGATTTACTGGATTTTTTGGGTACATCTGACATCTTGGTTGACTTTTGTTCACACAACCACATTGATAAGATGATATAAAGAAAGTACACTTTAATGTAGAGGAAATAACCCAATGGGAAAACCTCAACTTGATTCGGCAGAGATCCAATAATTTGCATTTAATTTGTGATTTGCATACATATGTATTAGCAACAAGTGGCAGGAGGAGCAGGAGAGAGCACGTCCCTTTTTTGCTCTCGTAGAATATTTTTTCGTGTTAAAGTTTTAGAGGTTCCTGACCACCCCCACCTCTAGAAAGTTGATTGCCACTTCCCCATTAAGCCCTCTGGAGTAGTGATAGTGGAAGTTGGGGGATTTTGCTCGCCTTGGTGACCTTTTAGGCCTCGTCGGATTTAGTACTTTTTTGACTGGACTTACACCCCTATGTTCTCGAGTGGACTCGTTTCTCTCTCTACTAGTCTTACCACGGAGGATACCACTACTCAGTAGTGGAGGAGTGTGGTCCCTGCACCCCCAGGGCACGGCGCGGAGTTCTGAGTGACCGTGACCTGCGGGGTTGGCCATACTCATGCACTTTATGTGCCTGAATCAGGCAAGAAAGTTTTTTCATTCTTTCTTTTTCGGGGACAACGGAAAAAAATGCGTCCAAATAAATACTGATATTTTTCTTGTCCTTGTGTGAGTCCAATTGGCCTCTCTTCGCGCGCAGGGCCCGGTACAGGTCGCCATGTCGTCACGTGATGGAATTTTTGGTGATCCTCCCGACAATGAATCACAACCACCGGGGGACACGTCGTCAGCGCCACCACGACCTAAGGGCCGCCACCGAAAATCGCTCATGGACCGCGACTTCTCAGCGATTAGTTCTGTAGAGGAGGAAACTTCTACGAATGAAGTTGTTTCCCCCGTCCCTCAAGTTCATGCAATCGGTTCTACTCAGTTCGACACGTCATCCCTCTCCGTCCCGACTCGCCGCCGAACGTCAGTGTCACCATCTTCCCCTGGTGTGACCAAGAAGGATACATTTCTCTCAGCTCGCCGGTGGATTCAGCAGTCCCTAATCCCAGATACGAACTCGCGAATAAGGAAGGCGGATGTTTTCTCCCGCTATGCAGTTTTTGTTGACGAATCGGGAGAGGGTGGAGTCGCCGAGACCACCCTTGGAAAATATATCAAGGAGTTGTTGCCCGACGTTGTCAGTCGTCGAACAACTGGAGCAGATGCCCATACATTTTATGAAGGCATGCGGTGGGTCGACTCACCACAATCTGGGGAGGCAGTGCCACGATTGGGGGGAAGTCTTAAGTCGACTCAAAATGACCACACCCACACTGCGACGAGTTCCAAAAGGGGCGAGAATGGAAGTTGCTCGTGCCCTAACGAAGGTTTTGGAGGAGGTGACCACAACCAAAACCGAAGAATCATGGGGCAAACTATTTCTATTCCCTTACGTAAGCCTTCCCGTTCCCCAGAAGACCGACAAGGTCAAGAATTTGACGACGTGGGTCAAGTCAGGAGTTGCCCGGTGGTTGTTGGAGCAGGCAGCCCCAACGCCACGACTCCCACGACCTCCCGCCAAGCCCCCTCGAGAGATGGAAAATGTGACAAAGAAAGTGGAGGCGAAACTGGCGGATGGTGATATCCGGGGGGCAATTAGACTTGCCTGTTCCGACGACACGATAGCCCCAAGGAGCCAAGAGACAGTTGATGCGCTTTTCAGTAAGCATCCGCCACACCCGGAACCAACCGCATATCCCGAACCACTAAATAATTCGGAACCACCAACGGTGGACCCTATAGAAATCACCACCGCGATATCAAGCTTTCCGCCTGGGTCAGCGGGGGGCCTTGATTCCCTTCGCCCGCAAATTTTGAAAGACCTTGTCGCCACTGGGCAGGGGGAAGTGGGGGAAAAATTACTTGAGGCTATCGTAAATTTTATAAATGTTGTTCTCAGCGGGAATGTTCCAGTCCCTTTCTGCCCGATTTTCTACGGAGCTTCCCTCACCGCTCTAAAGAAGAAAACTGGCGGGATTCGGCCCGTTGCGGTTGGAAATGTATGGCGCCGCCTTTCCGCTAAAATCGCACTGAAAAGAATGTCCCCCGACCTTGTGGAGTACCTAGCACCCCATCAACTGGGGGTGGGGATAAGGGGGGGTGCCGAAGCGGCGGCACATGCGGCCCACATCTATTGGGGACACGCCCATACGACATCTAAAGCCTTTTTGAAAGTCGACTTTAACAACGCCTTCAACGAGATTCGGCGGGATACAATTCTCTACATTATTCATGAAAGGTTCCCCTCAATGTTCAGTTTTTTATCGCAGGCTTATTCTTTTCCGTCTCAATTATACTATGGCGACACTCCCATCTCCTCCCGCTGCGGGGCCCAACAAGGGGACCCGTTAGGTCCCGCCCTTTTTGCGCTCGTCGTTCAACCCATCATCCTCGCCGTCGAAACGGAGCTAAACCTGTGGTATTTGGACGATGCCACTATAGCGGACACCCCAGAAAAAGTGTTAGTCGCGCTGGACACCATTATCCGCATGGGCGAGGAAGTTGGTCTTCGCCTGAACACCGCCAAGTGTGAAGTGGGTGTGCTAGGGGCGGACGAACATTCCCGCCTTGAAATTTTGGAGCGTTTTCGTCGGGCAGCACCGGGAATACAGGAGATTTCCCCCGAAGCCGCCGTACTCCTGGGTGCTCCTCTCACCGACGAGTCGATCGAGGCTGTACTGGGGGCGAAGGCCGAACAATTAGCTACACTTGGGGCCCGACTTCTTCACCTCTCCTCCCACTCCGCCTTTTTCCTTCTTCGAGCTTCGGTCTCTACACCGCGTCTCATTTACTTTTTGCGGTGGGCCCCCACTTGGCGGAGATTTGACTCCCTCACCCTCTACGACGCCAAACTTAAGGAGTCCATGGAGGGGATTCTCAACTGTTTCCTTTCCCCGCAATCTTGGCTTCAGTCCTCCCTTCCGGTCAGTGAAGGTGGCCAGGGGGTCAGGCGTGCTGTAGACGTGGCGATTCCGTGTTTCCTAGCGTCCGCCTACAGCGCCCTGCCCCTCGTTGAGCGCCTACTTCCGCCATACCTACATGGCACCGACACCGCACAGCAGGAAGGAGAAGAGAGGTGGAACCCCATGGGACCGGCGGAACTCCCCCCGCTCGAAGTTAGGGGTATTCAGGCCGCATGGGAGAAGCCTCAACAGGAGGCCGCCATCAAGCACCTCAAGAATAGTGCACCTACACCGGAGGATAAAGCCCGACTCCTTGCTATGGGACAGCCACATGTGGGGGCGTGGCTAAATGTCATCCCTTCGCCACAACTTGGGACGCTTCTCCCCAACGAGACGTTCCGAGTCGCTTGCGCGCTTCGCCTTGGATGCGACGTGTGCCACTCTCATAAATGCCCATGTGGAGCGGAGGTCACAACAAAAGGCTATCATGGCCTAAAGTGTAAGAGGAGCGCGGGTCGTTATTCGCGGCAAATGACGTTATTTGGAGAGCGCTCCGATCTGCTGGAGCACCAGCTATCAAAGAGCCACCAGGTTGTTCTCGACAAGACGGGAAGAGGCCGGACGGCCTAACGTTAGTCCCATGGGCGAGAGGGAGGCCCTTGGTTTGGGACTTTACATGTTCGGACACCTTCGCACCATCTTACCTCCCTCAAACCTGCGTTCATCCTGGTGCGGCAGCCGAAAGAGCGGAGGACGCCAAGATTAAGAAATATGAATTCCTTCAGGACAGATTCCTCTTTGTTCCTGTAGCCATTGAAACGATAGGAGTGTGGGGCAAAGAGGGCCTGTCCCTTATCAAGGAAATCGGATCAAGGATCACGATCGTTACGGAGGAGAAGAGGGCAACATCATTTCTCCTCCAGAGGATGAGTATTGCAGTGCAGCGTGGAAATGTGGCTGCTATTTTGGGATCTCTTCCAGCCGGACGAGAGTTGGATGAGATTTTTTACCTTTAGGACAACTACAATTAAAAGAGTTTTTTAAATATTCAGATAGGGACACTTATGTACGGCGCTGGTCGTTTAGCTTTTTCGAAATACATATATGTAAAATGATTTCATGGATATGTGCAAAAATGCAATAAAGTATGTAGTACACAAGTAGCTGAACCATAATTAAAATTATAATTTTATTTTCGTCCGTGTATAAAATTGTACATACATATATGCATAATGGATGAATAGACTAGAATAATAAGCGTAATACAATTGTCACATTATAAAATAGTTGATATCTGTCTATTGTTCAAAGAGCTGGTCAAGGTCATCAAATTAAACAGTTTTGTCAAGTATTATCATCATTTAAAATGCGTTCAATTTCTAAATCTGGTCAAATGCCATAAATTTCTGAATTCTCAAACAATTAGTCAATTTCGGAATTCTGGGTTAATACTTGTTTCAACTCAATGTCTTGACATTGATAACTATCTTGTTTATCAGAAGCTCCGTCGTCGACTCTTGGATTCTGTATCATTGTCCGAAACGACCTTAAAAATTAAAGTTCCTCTGTAATTGTGTTTCATGCATACAAAAGTACAACCGATTTTAGTTGTTTGACTTACAAAGTTTCCAGTAAATGCTGATTCACAAGAACATTCATTTGCATCCAGTCACGACTTATATTTCGCCTAACAATCGCATTAAAAATATGAAATGTGAACAAATAATTTGATAAAACTAAACAGATTTATGATAAGTTTGCTTACTTTTTGCGCATCAAGGCGTCGTAAAAAATTTTATTGCATTTTTCTATATTTTCATCAATAACAGATATATCCAATTTATACATTGAAGTATGGGAATTATAATTATTTTCTTTATTATTTTCACTTTCGACGTCGCTCATTTTGCAATAGTTTTTGTTACCAATAATCCTTCCTTATTACTACAAAATTCACATATACCAAAAATGTTTTATGTACAATTTAACCATCGATTATGTAATTAAATAAGATTTGTTAATATATTTTATATGTACAGATGAAGAATTATGTGTAACACAAATCTTTGTGTTGTCAACTGTACAGATTTTTTTTATTAACGAAAGTGCAAGTATGAAATGAAGTGTTTCTTTCTTTGAAGGACGATGTAAACACCGCGAGTTGTAGTATATAAGTGGAAATGAATGAAACCATATTCTGTATTAAATTGAAAAAATATATATGAAATAAATAAATTGATAGAAAATAAATGAGATTTTAATTCTAATAAAATTGTAGCTAACATTTAATTATTAAATACAATTCTTATATTTGCGACTTCCGAAACAAAATTATTAATTAATGAATTAACACTTGATTTGTGTTTTACAAAAATTGTGATTTGCGATTTAAAAATTATTAAGAATGAAAATTAAGAAGGATTTTAAGAAGGAAAAGAATAAACCAAAGTGTAAAGAGTGGGAGCGACGGCGAAGAGAAAAGCTAAATGAAGCTTTTAACATTCTCGCACAACTTTTACCAAGTTACGATCCAGCTAAAAACTTACCAAAGATTGACATACTTGAAAGGTGCAAATGTGGTTTTACATAAATGTAATAAAATTATGTATCTAATTTACTCAAATTTTTCCATTTGAATCTAACAGAGCCACCGACTTTGTCAAAGACTTACGCTTATCAAACTCTCGGTTGGTAAGCCATCAAGTTGAAACGGATGAAAAATGTATGAATATTATTAATGATGCAAGATAGGGAACCTAATGAAATTATATTCTAATATTTATTTATATTTCCATTAAAGGCAAACTAATCAAACAACTGCAGGATGAAGTTAACAAACTGATTTTAAGAGTAAAACAACTCACAAGCTTACTGAAAACTGCAAATATTCCAATTCCATTGGGTCCGTCAATAGAATGCCTGGGCAAAAGAAAACTAAAGTGGAGTGGAAAATGCACAGAAGAAAATTCATCTGCAGAGAAAGTCTCTGACGAAGAAAATTCAGTTACAAATGTTGAAATTGAAGATGCTGGTGCTAATGGTAAATTTTTGGCTAGTTTAACATTTACTAACGAATAAATGAATGGATTAATTGGTGTAATTATAGAATGCAGGCCTAATGACACTACCACGACAAGCTCTTCATCTTCAACCCCTCTCAAAGAAATTAATGGACCTGCACAAGACTCCTCTGCAAGCCCTGCTAAGAAATCAGACGACAATAAAAGTACTCCTCCCACACCCAAAAAATTAAAACCGTCCACAAAGTTGAAAACGCCTAATAAATCAATTCCAACTAAAACAAAAGTACCGGGGTCGTCACCAAAGAAAGCAGTGACTGCACCAAATAATGTCGAACAACTTAATGTTTCTTCCCCAAACAAGTCTCCACCTCAGCAACAGCCAGTAGTGACGAACGCTTGCCTTCTCCCAAACGGAACCATGATACCTTTGATGACGAATTCTCCAATTACCGCAGTTTTCACTGAACCTCCAAAGTCAACGACCGCGACAATGCTTCCTTTACAAACGATATTCGTCACTTCGAATGTAATGCAAAATGTCCATCAACCTGTGATAACAAGAATAGCTTTAGGTCAAAATCATTCCTTCATGTCTTCTGGTTTGGAGGCAAATAGTATTCCTGGATTTGTACACAAGATTCCGATTACCATGATTAGGAAACCAGTTCCCAAGATTAAGTTTAAAAGGAGACATAAAAAGAAGATTTTGCAAGCAGAAACTGTGACACCGGCCGTTGACAGCGTAATTTCTGTTGAAAATAGTACAAAGGATAATGCAGTCATCCCGAGCGTGGAAGTAGAGGAAACAACACCTATGGTAGAAATTCAAGAAAAGGAAAAGTCATCTAGTGAAAAAGAAATTGCCGAAAGCGAGGCGACAGCTAATAAAAATGTACAAAATTCTGAACCCGTTATGGAGAAAGTTGTGGAATCGGAGACGATGACGCCATCAACAACAACAATTATTCAACCCAATTTACCTCTGATGGAGAAATCTTGTAGTACAAACTCTAGCGAATTGATGCAAATTCAACTTTTTGCACATGAGCCTGACCAAGAAATTATGGAGGTTGACCAATCAACCTCTTTGGTAGACGCTCCTAGTCCTGCCAGTGTACTCTGTGAACTTAAGTCCAGGACGGAACAGAGCGATTCTGCTGAATGTTCAGATAAATCTAACGAAAACCTGAATGAACCCCCCACGATAGATGGAAAGATTTCAAACACTGCTAGTCATGAAAATATTAGCCATGAAATAAATAAAGAAGACTCTTCTGTATCGACCACTGATATTTCAACATCTCACAAAGTTACATCAAAAGTGAGATTTGACCAAGCTCTAGTAGACATGAATAGAGATCCGTCTCCTACGAATCACCAAGAAACCATCTCGCCCCCTAATGAAACAGTTTCCGGTGATAAAATTAGTGAATGTATTTCCCGAAGTATGGACCTTATCGATGCTCCCGATGGCGAGTTGATGGAATTAGGAGATAACTGGGGAGACCCTACAAATTCACCAAAATCGCCAATTTCCCCAACACAAATGTTTCTCAGCATGTTTCCACTTCTCCCGAAAGACAACGTCGTTTCTACTTCTGAAGGTCACAACATAATGACAAATAATCCACGACATGGATACAACTCACAAACACAGCACCGTTCTTTCTATATTGATTCTATGCTCCCTGAAGATAACTCGGTCCCAGTCTCACAAATTGGCCAGAACAATCGACACTCTGCTCAAACTTTTGGATACAGAACGCTTGCAATGGAAGCAGTAGAAAAGCCTTACAGCAAACCACCCAAAAGTACTCCCGAAATCCTCACATCATCATCCACAATTTCGAAAGTTTCTGCTAGCAATGTTCAACCTGTCTCTGCACCAATGACCGTACCACAACGATCATCGGAGATTATCACAACCAAGACGACAAAACCAGTTGTGACTGAGAAACCATGTGAAATGCCTACGACGCCAAAATCTCTGCAAGAGAGTGGAAGTAGAAGGTCTCACTCCTACTCTGGTGGACAACAAAGCTTTAAGGAGTTTAATATATTTAGCGACTCTCTAGATTTTAGTGCTCTTCATCATTCCTTGCCATTTTCTGGAATGACTGATCAGGATTTGTTCCGAGGAGGAGAAAATTCGCGGAGCCGAGGATTATTTGATGCAGTGTTTCCATTAAACATTGACCATTCGAATGCGGTGCCCTCATCAACGGCAGACCAACATTATAATATTCAGCAGCATTTTGATGTTCAAGAGAATATTCAGAACATTCAATTTCAGTTAAATCGTGATCGTCATCACGGAACGATTGGTGGTGGTGAAAGTACAGCCAGACTTGAAAATCTTCCCCCTGTTGGAGAAAGTTACAGCAATAATTTCACATACCCAACAATTCCTCGGGCAAATCTTATGTCAAAGTTGCCATCCACTTCTTCGCAAATAACTTCAACGTCTCAACACAATAATTCTGCAATAACAAGCCAAGGAAATTCTACAAGTTTTAGTTATTCAGCCACAATTTCTACCCCACCAAAGGCAACTGCTGCTAAAATTTCTCCAACGACTCCAAGTCATTCCACTAGACAACTTTTCCGTCCTCAAGTTCATGATATGATGGGAAATCATCAATCCTCGTCCACAGCAAATACTACTAGTACACAGCCGTTTGGTTCGAAACGTTCGACAGCAAGCACAATTCAAAGTTCAATAGACAAAGTTGCCAATAATTCTTCACAAGCTCCACGAAATGTGGATTACTTTTTATTTCAAAAGAGTTCTCAACAACCTCCAACTACGATAAAACCGTCGTTATCATCTTCTGAAAAGCGAAAGAGTTCTGCAGCAAGTCAGAGAAAGTCCCGTAACACCACTTCCACCGCTAGAGATGCAAATTCTTTTGAGGGTCCATCCAATTCATCATCAACTTCTAGAAAAGAACGCAATCAGAAGGATCGTTCAACTTCAAAGGAAACCAATAAGAAATCTACTGCAAGTGGTGCTAAGCAGATCCCTGCTCCAATATGCGAACCCATACAAAACTTTAACCAATTCCCCCCACAAAATTCTCACCTTCAGCCCAATCAAACTCTTCAGACATCTCCTCGTCGAAATATTGCCACCTCATCCCACACCCAGGATATTTTTGCCCCACTTCCGCCAACTAATTTATTCGGACATTCTACTTCAAACCAACAAGCTTTTGATCATAATAACGTGAATCTGAACATATTTGCCGAGTTTCCACTTCCGGTTGACTGCAATCCGCATTATGACCATTACAGTATGGACTTTAGTAATTTTTCTACTGCAAGTGGATCCAACAATTCAAGTCAAATTCAGCAATTTCAACAGCCGCAGATAAATTCTAACCCCACTACCAGCACTGGAACACTCCATGAACCCCACAACAATATACCGCACCAACAACAACACCATCACAACCAGCAGCAGCAGCAACAACCTTTGATTACACACCCCCATAATAATACTTCCCAAGTACAACATACCCCCTCAAATTCTCGCTCGTCCAGACCTACCCCATTTTATCTGCAAGATGTTAACTGTGACAATTACAATAGCTTTGAAATGCCATCCAATAATCCTCCTTCCCATTCACAGCAGTCACATCAAATGCATACGTCCTCTAATCCTCCACCAAGCGCAAACCCCCAAACGCAACCTGCCCCCAGTATTCATAGTGGTCACCACCACTATGGCAATGTTCCCACCGTGCCACCACCTCGGAGTCAGCCACCCCCTCAACAAACAGTCTCTAATTTGAACCACCAAAATCAACAATATTTTCAGACCCCTTTGCAACAACAATCCCAGGCTCAGCAATGTCAGCAGCAAGTTTCGAACTATCCAACCAATAATAACCTTCGCCAAGGTCAATCTGCTGCCCCTAATCAGCAAATTAACAATAATAGTAATAATAATAGCACTGGAGTATTACCAAATTCACGAAATGTCCAAATTCAGCAACAACAAGCCCAAAATAATTCTAGTACAGAGCACCAGCAAATAATGCAGCATTCACATCATTACACACATTCTTCACAAACGCAAGTAAAGCCGACAAAGCAATCTTCTTCATCTATTGTTACTTCATCTGTGGTCTCAAATAATAATAATAACAATAACCAGTCAAGCCTTGCACAACAACAACCTGTATATTCCAGCACTAACACCAACGCCAGAGTCCTGCCCCCTCCAAATGTTACTTCATCTCATCGTCCTGTTAATTGGATGACAGATAACAACCAAACTGCTTCTTCCACCACACCATCACACAATCCATTCACCATCGGAAGTAATTCTAAGCCCAACAACAACAATACTCCAACTGCGATAACCAATCCATTTTCTGTTAGCAAGTTGGTAGGGTCGTCGTCATCCAATAGTCCCAGCAGCATTAAACCGCAACCTCATCCACACACTTTAAGCAGACAAACTAGTAGCAGCAATTACTGTGCGGAGGCATTAATTCGAAAAAATCCAATAACGTCATCAACACCAAATTTAAGCAGCTCGACACAGCCAGGATGGGGATCATCATCTTCTTCGCTGCATAAAACACAGCATAATTACAATTTCTTCCAACCATCATCATCTTCGTCTGCGTCTTCTTCTGCAAATGTCCATCAATTTAATGCACAACATCAAACACAGACTTCTCAGCAACACTCCAATCCATACACAACTAACTTTAATGACAACTTTTCCAGTGCAACATCGGGATATAGTTTTCATACTAATCCAACGCCACATTCTCACCCGCACGCACAAAATTATGAACAATTGTTCGAAAATAGTACTCCATCTAGAAATACTCATCAACAGCAGCAGAATGTACATAATTTTCAGCACCCCCAAACCCATCAAAGTCACCATATTCATCATCTCCATAATAATAATTCGGCGCAGCAAGGACTTTCCCACAGTCAGCAAGGAACTTCTTCCGTCTCGAATTTCAATTTAAGTACTATTTTCCCAGAAATTAATGACAAAAGACAGCATCAAGTTCAACAACAAAGAAATTCTTCTATCGCCAGCTCTGGGACGACGGGGTCACTCAGCAACTCGACTCCAGTTGGGGTCACTTCCAATAACAGTCAGAATCGAGCCAGTACAAATAGTAGCGGGGGCAGCAATAATATGGCAAATTTGGCCAGAGGAACATCTTCGAACAATAATAACAGTAATTGTGGGTATTATACTCAACAACAACCCACTGGTCAAGGTCGCACCAAATGATTTCTTTTCAACTGATTTCATACTAAATTTACGTTCTAAAAATAAATTTCTGAAACTAAAAAAACTCTCATAAAATAATAACATGTCCATTTTATTGCTCATCATCCGTCTGGATTTAAACTTGTTTTTATGCAATGATTATTTGCCTTATTCCTGGTTTACCGGTAACCGGATTTTGCATTGGTACAAGTATTTGATTACTGCAATTCCTTACAATTAGGAGTCAAGAACCTCACATTGGGCATTTAATAATATTGGACTGATGGCAAAGGTGTCGGAAGATGAAAGTAAGGTGGATCTGGCACAAGATGAAATCGAAAACTGGTCCTGGCTGGCATCTTCATGATCTTCATCTTTCCGCTTATCCCAATTTTTTGCAACTTTGTACCTATGTACCTATTACTTTGCTTTGAACATATGTATGTATACGCGTATAGAAGTCAAAAACCTGTAAAGTTCGGTTCATCGATCCATATTGTGATGGTTATGCATTTGGTCTCAAAGTACCATTGCCTAAGAGTCCAGTCATTGTTGGACTTCGAAACCTGAATCACATAAGCAATTTCGGTTCGTTTTTAAAAAAATAAATTTTCTTTACACTATTAGATTGCAAACGGTCAAAAATCTTATCATATTTTTATTTTGTCCTATATTACACAGAAAATGAAGTTATTAGCCCTCTTCGTTCTCTTCTCCGTTTTGGGGGTCATTACTCCAGCCCCACGAGCCTCACTTTCCCCAAAAGTTGTCTTCCGGATGGAGGACGAATCAGGGGAATCAGATGAAGCGGATATAGCAGATGACGAACCTTTAGGAGATTCTTCAGAAGAAGTTCCACAATGGTCATTTCGAGAAGTAGATACAAGTGAATATCAGCAGCGTCCAGAAAATCAATATCAGCCCGAAGGAGCCTTCCGAAGACCGCAAAATCAACTTCAAACTCAACATGGACCAAATACTCCCCCTCCAATCCGTCGATTCCGAGATGACGATAGTGACGAAGAGGAGGATGACGAAGATGAAGACGATGAAGATTACAATGACGATGTCGTCCATTCCGATATCCAATATGGCGATGGCCAAACTTCATCAGGTATATGGATACAAATTATTATTTCCATATAGAAGTATGTATACGTAGCTATTTTTAACCACTGTTAAACTTTTTAGTTTCGCGAGAAGGAGGATTCCGTTCCGCCATTCCCGGTGCTCAGGTAGTTCGTCGACCTATGGGCTCATACACGGTGGTCAGGTACCCAGTGTCGTCCAATAACCGAATGCAAATGCCAGTCTCTAACAGAATCCATGTCATGTCCAACCCCCGTCCATCATCTTTTGGAGGAAATAACCGTCGTGTCATGGCCGTCCAAATGTCACAATACCCACAGCGTGCAACTACTTACCCGATGCGACGAGTGACCCCAATGATGAATAGTCAGTACACAATGATGACCAGACCAATGATGTACAATAGATATCAAACCCCATCCGTAACTTACGTCCCCAATAATTACGTGAGAACTAGGCGACCAGTAATGGCGACAAAACCTTTGCAGTATTATTACCAAGAACGAGCAGTAAACCGAAGAAACCGAAATGGACAGTTCTGGTAGAACAATTGTGGTGTTAATTCGCTATACTTTTTAAACCATCAATTTAACTAATTATAATAAAACTTGAAAGAGGGGTAATCAATAAAATAATCTCAAAGAGCTGCATGTTACGTAACTTTTCTACTTTATTGACTGCATACGCAAGGCTATTGTAAATCTGGCAAAACTGGATTTTTTTGGACCTGTTGTTTTTTATTATCCTGCAATCCCACCATCCTCATCATTTCAATTCAATTCATTAACCTCAAAGTTTTCTAGCGAAATAAAAATCCTGCTTGCTCCTGCATGAAAATTACATGAGATTTCATGCGTTTCCAATCTTTATGAAAAATCACTTTTTAAGGCATCTACATATTCGCATCAGTGAACAGGATCAGTTAATAAATTGAAGATTTGTATTTACATTGTGTAGAGATTGCAAAGCTCGTGTGCGTTGCGTTGCAGAGCTTGTTGCGGAATGATGTAAATGATAATTCTCCAAAATGAGATTTCTTTACGAACTCTCGTTAGTGACAATAACTGTGATTCTTTGTACCATCGGAGAAGAAATACATCCAATAGTTTTCGATGGGATACCAATTCACACATATCAAACATTTATTAACAGACCACCGGAAAATGAAGATGTTAATAACGACAAGTTTGTCCCTCCAAATAAATTATACCCTGTTTACCTGAAATTAGTGAGAAATGTGACAATTGATGGGAAGAAAATCAGAAATCGTGACGATTTTACGCTCAGCATTGGAAGTAAGTTATATAAAATTACAACTACACGCAATTAATTATTGTAGATAAATCAAAATCTTTAAATATCATGCAAATTTCCATTATGCATTGTGAGATTTGTACATATTAAATAAATAATATAAAGTTTCAAAACGCCAAAGTAGGGCCCGCAAAATCAAGGACCAAGATGTCCGAAGAAGAAATTCTACCAAGCCCTCGAAACCTGAACAGCATAAATCAGTGACATCAGTCTCGCCACAAATGAAAAATTCTTCCAAGAAATTTATAAAATCTGAACAAAAACCATCTAATAAAAATGCTACACAAAAACAGACGTCTACACGTCCGACAAAATTACCACGACGCTCTTCACTCAACAAACTGACGACAAGAACAACGACAACGAGAGCGACGAGAACCACCACGTCAAGACCTTACAAATTCAGAAGTTCATTCTTAAATTCCACCCAACTCCTCCACTTACCCTTACCATTACCTTCGCGAAATTTTTCTCAGCCTCACGTGTACAGTGTGACCGTAATCAGAAGAAAGAGTATCACGACTCCAGCGCCTGAATCCTTGATTATGGTGCGAGACACAGCACAACAATCAAACAAGACGAAGGGTCCGTTTGTTCTTAATTTATGAAATTAACAAATCCAGCAACAAATCCATCCGCATATTAATTAATTCATCAAATATGAAGCAGAGATTGAAAATACTTGCCAATTAATTACTTAATTATGCTTCATTTATTTTCATATAGATGAAAAGCCACCTAACATCGTTTACCCCCCAACTGGGGACACTTCAGAGTTGGAGGACTATGACGATGACGAGGAGGAAGATGAGGATGATGTTAATACGGAGGATGACAAAACTAAAGGTATTGATAGCACTTTTATGTTATTGCACAAATAAATTGAGAGCAGTTATAATTATGAATCCATAGACTCCTCTGAAGAAGCTGCTGATGAAGACCAAGAAGTAATCAACGCCTCTAAATCCAAAGAAAATGCAAGCTCTGATGTCAGCAGCAAGGTTTCACAAGAAGTCAAAGTAATTCCTACCCCCACAACCCCAGCAGGAGACAAAGGAGATAAGGCGACCATTGCTGTCCAGGCTGACGCTTGTTAGTATTTTTTATTATATTTTCTTATTACGAGCCAAATAAAACAATTGATCTCCAATAATTTCTAATCATATTTTTTCTAATTAGCGAAAAAGAAACGAAAAAAGAAAAAGAAGAAAAAACGAAGGAAAAAGCCAGAATTCCACTTTGTCCCTGCTCCGCTTGGTCCCAAAGCAGATTTGATGATTCGTCTGGATAAAGTTCATCATAATGTGAAAAACATTGTTTCCGTTGTTAAAGGAGGTAATGATAAGTTGCTTATCATTCATCTGTTCATTGATTACGAAAAAGTTTAACAAGTCCGTCCATTTTTTCCAGTATTCACGGATTACGTCGTAAATCGTCCCTACGTCAATGTCGAGCTTTACAAAGGAATTCATGCTTACACCTACAAAATGGGATTAACTCCTCCCGTGAACATTAAATATGAGCGTTCTAATATCCAACCACTATCTCAAACGCATACCGTTCCCTACTTAAATCCGTTCAGGAATAATAATGCTGAACTATTTTCATGGCCAAGCAAATATCCCGGAGCGGATTTGAGAACAAAAAGTCATCAGCAACCGTTGGAAGGGAGCTCGGTCGAAAATAGTTATCAAATAAGCAAACGAATCTTGGAAGAAGATTGTGCAGATGACATAACCTGCGAGGGAGAAGTTCGTCGCGTAGTGCCAAAAAAATTAAAGCGGCCAAAATCAAAACCGAGGCCGACTGGTCGACATGGTCATAATCAGGTCAAGAAGAATAGTCCGTTGACATTACCGTACCCAATTTACATTGAGTCCATGTATGATGACTCGAATGAAAATGATCCATTTAAACACTTGCCTCCAATGCGACCCAACCAATTTATGAAAGCTGAAAAAAATTGGGTGAAAACTTGGGACAAGAAAACAGGACTGCCCCCAATTGCGGGGGCCAATGAAGCGTCAATGCATTCGAAAAGAAGAAAGGGTAGCAAAAAAAGTCGAAGGAAGAAGAAGAAGAGGGGTAAAGAACAATAGAATATTAAGAAGACTACAAATGTGTGGAAGATAATGGGAAATAATCTTTTGAAATTATTGATTTTCCAATGCATGTAAAAAATATTTATGCTCCATGTGAGTGATTAAGTGAGTATTTAATGTTAAACTGTGGTATTGATGTGAGACAATTATTGAAACTATTAACAAATAAATACTTTACATCTAAACATGTACATACATATGCGAGTATCCTCGAGATTTTTTTAGACCTCTGATATGCTATTGCATAAACATGAGATCTAAACGGTAACAGTTTACATAATTACATAAATAAGCGCCTACGCCTAAAACAGGATATCGACAATAATAATAATAATAATAATAATAGCCTTTATTACCCTCATTTACTAATACTAGGGAATGCACAAAATGAAATTTTAGCATAGCACACTAGCCTATTTTCGTGAGCTTACAAACAGAAATAACTTACTTTAAATGATTAAATAACAATAACTAAGGGCTAAATTACTATATTTAACTTAACAATATATATGTACGTAAGATATTATCTACTCTTAGTTTGTATAAAGTTAGCTATAATCTATCAAATTTGTTAGAGCTTCAAATGACAAGCCAAAAACCGTGGATTTTGATTTCCATTCGTCATTGATTTTGCTGATTATCATATTAATGGGGGAATTTTTAAATTTTGACGACTTAATTACCGGTTGAAATAGTAAATCCTTGTTTGACCTCAATGACACACCACTGCACGAAGCACGCTGGAATTGCGGCAAAAAGTGCCTATACCTACCAAAAAATAATTTGTAAGCAAATTTATTAAGAGCCAATTCTCTCCTTTCATTTAAAGTTATCAACTCAGCTTCCTGCATGCATTCAACATAATTTAAATGATCAACTCGTTTTCGGAAAATTATACTTAAAGCTTTTTTCTGAACACTTTCAATTTTGTAAACTAATTTCTGGTTCAAGCCAGAGCCAAACACAACTGAACAATACTCAAGATTACACCGAATATATGCACCGTAAGCTATTAATAATTCTTTACTGGAGAAGCCAGCATTGAATAATTTTCTTAACTGAAATAATTTAGAGTTTGCTTTCGCAACAATGTTTTTTATATGACTATCCCAACTAAAATTTGGGCAAAAAGTCACCCCTAAAATTTTTAAGCTCTTTACAACGGGTATAGGAACTGAATCAATACAAAAGGACTTAGTAGGAAAATTAACTCTTCTTCCACCAAAATTAACTACCAATATTTCACATTTACGAGGATTGGGCGTTATTTTAACTGCCTTACACTCTTCACTCAAAATATTGAGTGCAGATTGCAATTTGGGTGCATTACCAATAACTCTTTCAGCAATAACCAAATCATCAATGTATCCAGCTATACAAAAATTGGGGTTAATATCAAGTAATTTGATTTTTAATGCATTCAGAATCGGATTAATTAAGATAATAAACAGAAGAGCAGCTAGTTTGGTACCGGCTGGTGTACCGCATGTTAATCTCTTGGGATTTGAAAACGACTTTTCAAACTTAACAATCTGCTTACGAAATTTTAAGAAGGATAATAACCATAAAATATCAATGTCGTGTACACCAAGATCAACAAGAAGTGCGGCCAACAACGAGTGGTCAACTAAATCGAATGCTTTGAGACTATCAATAGCAGCAATTAAAACTGTAGCGCCAGGAATTTCGATTGATTTTAAAATAAAATGGTTAATTTGAATTAAATAATGCGCAGTAGACGATTTTTTTAAAGCACCAAATTGGTTAACGTTGATTTTATCAATTATTTGAGAATAAATCCTGTCAAACATAAAACTCTCTGCAATTTTTGAAAATACGTCAGTTTGAGTTATCGCACGGACGTCATCAAGTGATGAACAAGTTACTTTCTTGAGTAAGGGGGTGACGAAACCGATTTTCCAACAATCAGGGACAGTAAAAGTTGCAAAAGATTCATTGAGGATAATGGCTATTAAAGGGCCCAAGCATCAGGTTGAGACAACTTACGTAGCAGGCTGTCAACTGAGTAGGGTGGTGACCAACAGGTCCCACAGTATCCAAGAAATTCGAAGCGTACTTTATAAGCTCAGTAGGGACTAAATTCGGACAGTTGGACTTTTTCTTATTTAGTTTTCTAATTACTCTCGCTACCTCATGAGCACTGACTTTAATAGGGGAAGAGTCTAGAGGGAGTGGACACAGCGAAATAGACTCACATTCATCAAAAGTGTTACAAATTAGTGAGAAATGTGAATTTACAACATCGGCTAGCTCTTTATCAGTTAGCTGACTAAATTTCAGATCTATTAATTTAATTTTGTCGATGGCAGACACGGGATTTAGACCACAAACTTTACGAATTAAATGATACCATTCGGATGAATTCATACCAGGTATCTTATCTTTGAATTTTTACGCACTTCAGACTGAGCAAAGGAAATTTGCGTTTTAATTTCGCTTTGTAACTCGAAAACTAGCTTGACATTATTACTCTTTTTTGCTTTGCGCTTAGCTTTGAATAACCTTTTCAATGTAATATTCATCCAAATGGGTTCACCATCGTTTATAACCTTGTCATAAGGACACGATACTTTAGTTTGTATTGAGAGTAATAAAGAATTTAACTCATTGACTTTGGTATTGATTGGTAACGATTCAAATTTTTGGATATCAACATCTAAATTATTTAATTCTTCGACAAAGCGAATAGCTAATTGATTAAGTTGGGGTTTACATTTAATGATTTTTAAAGGCTTACGTAATTCAAACCATGGACAAGGTGAAAAGGAGATACAAGCATGTACTCTATTTCTTGCCGTTCCTTTAACAGGGGGTTCCTTTGACAATACTTTAAACATCATATGAATTAGATTCATAATTGTCAAGTTCTTTCAAAATGTGAGCCAACAACGCTCCCACTTCCGCATCACTGGCAAGCGTTCCTTTATCCGCTTGAATTTTGAGTTTCCAACCCTTGTTATAATTTAAGGCTAGAAATTGAATCCCTGCAAAAGAATCCCACATATAAATAAATATGGATTTTTTTTCAAAATGCTAGTCAAATTTAATTACATACCAATTCCGGGGCTATCATGTCCTCCAGTGAAGTATGTGTCCATTACTGCCCCACAAGGCCCCATGGACTCTTCTCGTGGGCAAGGAAAGCTGGAAAATATTCCTGTGGATTTCGACATCGCAAATTCCATACAATACTTAACCATCCAATGATAAAGACCACCGAAAATTGGCTGCATCGCGAAACTTGAGAGAGCCAGAGTCGAATGCTTAATCTCATGAAGTTGTCTTTCCACATCTTTAAGTCTGAGCAATGGGTCAGAAATTCCGATGGGGAAATTTACATAACAGTCGGACCTGTAGATTACAAAAATTAGAATTTGTAGCAAAAATGGGTTAATATTAAACCCATGAAAATACAAAATGTATCAACTTACACATAATTTCCTAAAGTATCGGGATGACCCTGAACAGGAAATGGTGCCAGGCACGTGAACATAGATTTTGGCTCGACTTTCTCCCCACGCTCGAGCATATACCGTCGAATGCCTCCAGAAATTGCAGCCACGACCACTCCAGTAAAACTTGCACAATTCGCTTTGGCAATGGATTTGATTTTTTGAGTCGGAATACGTTGCGATGTTGCAGAGTTTATAATATTGGTCACTCTTTCTCTGGTGAGATACCAAGGATTTGTGTCATGTTCCATCATGCAATCTGACACCGTGTCATAAGGGCCTTTAAATATAAGGACCAAATTGATCAGCAGAGTCCGTAGGAGGCTTCTCTTGGGGAAACTTGGCATCGATAGCTGGCCTTCCGGAACGTCGACAAACTCTCTCATAATCAAGTTGAGAATAGAAAAACCATCCACGAAGCTGTGGTGTACTGAAATTGAGCACCATTTTCGTGATTAAAATTTGCATATTTAAATAAAGTTATGTACGTAAGTAATTGATTTCTAAGTTGTCTCACCTTTGAACAAAGCCACGGAATATTGCTCCACATTTGAGGAATCAACACTTACAAAGTTTTTATTGGCGTCTTGAACACCTTGCGTGAATTCTTGAGGGACATAATTTTGTAAAATGTTGATACACCACGGACTCCTTTTTTCTAGGTATGGTTCCTGAACTAATCGCTTTTCAATTTCTGACAAAACTTTTTCATCTAAAATTTCCCCTTTAAATTGAGTTGTGTCGACGTATTTAATATGATTTTCGGAAGAGAATTCATTGTCCTCTTTCCAAAAGACAAAGCCAAGCCATTTCACCAAATATCTGAAAAATTCATGGCACATTTTTTTTACTATGCATGTTACTCATTTTCATAACGCAATTCTCACCTCTTTAGTTCTGGATACATCAAAGCCTTCGTTTTAGGAAGTTGTTTTGTCACACTTTTCTCAAAACACTTGATCATCATTTCCTTTTTTAGCTGCCCTTTGAAAACCAATGTTACGACGATTGAAGATTTTGGACATGTTGTAATATCGTCAATCGCGTAAAACATGTCACGCACACCGAGTATTTTGACTAAATCTGGACGCACCAATTTACTCAGAGCAATCACAACAAATCTCGATAGATAAACAGGACATATCAATAAAACAAAAATTGGTAAGAGTATGATAATTAATAAAACTTTAAGACAAAAAGTTGACACGGAACTCAGAAAATTAAATGATGTCAATAATTTAACTTTTGTGACGCTACGTTTGAGGAAATGCTTAAAATTACAGGAATCCGACATTTTTATGCACAATGTTTTTCACACCTCCTTAATTTTTAAAGTTTAAATAAGTTTTTAAAAGTTTGTATGTAATGGTTGAGTTTTCAGCTCCAGCGGTGAATTAGTCTTCGTCTTGTCATCTAATAAAATTTGTAATAAATATATAGTCAGTCATCCACTCGAATCATTCTTCGTCTCTCGAATATAAAAAACCCAGGAGTAATTGGTGGGCGAAAACGACTACGAAAATACGTCATCGACACATATTATCCACACCTGTAGTAATCTAAAGTATGTACATATCATAACTATTTAAATGCGACCAAGTTTTCCTTCCAGATTCGACGAAGTTATGATGTCTTCATTAGAATTGATTACGTGCAGACATTTGCGTGCACTTGGCTGACCATTTTGATTGAACTCTATTTCACCTTATTGTATAAATTCCTGCATAACTGATGGTCAAGGTAGTGACCATCAACTTTACCTGTTCAATATGTTCGCTCTCATAGGGTCGTGCAAATAATGGTTTGAATTTGATTTGTTCCAATTACTAATGGATTTATCAAGACGGTGCAATTTGCTCATTATCAGTGTACGTGTAAATGTGAAACATACGCCGTTTCGTTTGCAGACATGCACAGTGACAGCGCATTTCGGGTGGTTTATTATTTTCTGACTTACATTTCACGCAATAAACTTCAATTACTTATCATTAAAGTAGATATCGTTTTCAATAATTTTGTATATATTTTATACTTTGTATGCAAAATGACTGAAAAATACGGCAGTTTAGATGCATATTCCATCCAATTAAAGATTTCTATTGATGGGATAGTGTCAAATAAACTGTCATCTTTTCTTACCCTAAACTGACTATAAGTGAACTGGAATTGTAAATTATAGTCATTTGTGCTTTTAATAACTACTTGAGACCAAAGATCTATTTACTTCGGAAATCCCCACGCGATGCACTTTAACTTGTTATTAATTATTGCCTCTTATCTATCACTTACCTCTTTAGCGAATCCTTGCATATTGATATTTCCCAATATTCATTATAATTAATGTAATTAATGTATTTAACTACTTATTATTTCTGAAATATGTGACGAATTACTTATCCTTTGGACGGTTTGCCACTGAAAGATCAACCAACCCCCTGCGTACCTATACTCATGGCTTTTACGGCGTACATATCATAAAAAATACCCATTTTATGTAAGAGCTGGAAATACATGTCTAAATATGTAAATACATGAGCGTGGCTATGATAAGAAGAGCGTGTAACTTGCTCCGCATGAAAATATTCGTAATTATTGTGGACCACAACATCCAAAATTCTCAAGCAGGATAGACATTCGCATATCCTGCTTAATTTTGCCATTACGTATTTCGTTTCCTGATTTAACCATATTTTGACGAAATGTTGCCCCTTAAGATTCTCATAACAGTAGTAAACATTTTAATTATGGTGTTTGTGATAGTTCCAGTTTTATCAATTACTTTCATCCCCCTCGCCATATATCGCTGGTTTATTTCCATACTTGCCAAAATCATAAGACCCGATTTCATATCAATCGTATCATCGAGGGATTCCGTATTTGCGAACGATACGGTTTGCACAAACCCAAATTCGACCATCGTTATCTGCGCATTTTTCGAGGGGGACGCGAATCTGGAGACGTTTCAGAGGAGAATGTTTCAACAATTGTTTGGTGGAAATGTGACGCAATCTTCTCAGCATAAATGTGCCCGTCTTATGCAGTACTTTGAGAATTGGGGTGGTTTTGTGTTCAGAAAGTGGGAAGAGAACTTTGATATAATGAACCATGTTCGAGAATGGACGAATAATAACCGTGAGATAGTGACGCCACAGGATTTGTATCATTTACGTCGCAAGTTACTGACCGAGCCGTATCAGCCGAGGAGGAGTTACTGGGAAACTATTTTGGTCCGGAATTACCAAGAAGCTGAGAATAAACCGATGGGTATGTCCAATCATATAAACGATAATGATACTGAATTAGCATAATATTTACAACTACGGAAAGCTTCAAGTGTTGCATGCTACTTGACTATTTCACTAGGGATTCTTGGAATTATATGTCTTAATTTTGGCAAACCTGTTATTTGCTAATATTTTCCTTGATACGCAAAATTTCTGCATGAAATTATTTAAACCTGTTAAACCTGTTGATACATACATAGATGAATTAATAAGTAAATAGGCCTACTGGACAATTACCCTCAGTTTCATTGAAATTAAACTGTAGACTTGTAATTACTAAGTCTACGTATGTGGATTAACAAATACTATCAATTTCCACACTTTTTGCTCATATTTTGACATCGCCACGTGGATAAAATAATCTCAACTTTTATAGGGTCCGTTATGATTGGAAAATTTCATCACGGTGTTTTGGATGGATTTTCCATCATAAAAACAATTTGGCTCTCTTGCTCCAACATAACCGACGTCGTCGGTGCAGTTCCGCACGCAATATCGAAACCTTTAACGCCCTTCCAAAATGTTGCCGTATTCACAAAGCTATTTGCCCAATTTCCTTCCACAACAATAAACCAGATGCCAAAAATGGACCCGGCCAACATTTTCCACCCAGACCATCCTCAAACTAAGGGCAACTTATTGGGGAAAAGACACCCCGTAAATGCTGTCATGTCTGTAAAAATAGTAAAAGATGCAGCAAAACGAAGTGGAACGCTATTCACGGCTGTCGTAATGGCCGGGCTGACGGGTGGGATAAGAAATTATTTAATGTCCAAGAAGCTCGATGTACCTCAAAGTATTGATGCCACCATTCCACTTCCTTGGCCTGGCCATCACATACTCAAGCTTAAAAATCATTTGTAAGTTGCTATATACCTCCAAAAACAAGATCCCCAATATATGCATGTATCCTTATCTATCCATTATTGCATGCTCCTCCAGCACATTTGCCACATTTGAACTTGCAACTGGGATATCGGACAATGAACGCCGACTGCAGGACCTCAATGACCAGTTTGTACGACTGAAGCAATCCTCCGTTCCAGCGTACAACTACGTCATCACGTTTCTTGCTGGAATGCTGCCAAATCCAGCCATGAGTTTCGTCCTGGAAGGGGCGCCGACAAGTATTCTTTTGTCCACTATTCCTGGCCCGAATCGTCCACTCGACATATTTGACCATCCACTTACGCAGTCACCAACGTTTGAAGGTGGTTATGGCAAAGGGCCGGTGGGGATGGGGGTGGCATTTCTGAGCTGTGGTGAAAGCCTGAGCATCACTGTTAGTCCGGATGAAGGGGTAATTCCTTCGTTAGAGGATGCAAAGAAATTGTTGGAGTGTATTATTAGTGAAATTCAGTTGATACATGATTCCTCGGTTGTATGATAAAGTATAATAAGCTTTTTATAAAGATGTGAATAAAATGTTTGTGAAACGAAATATTATTCCCATGAAAAAAATTGTGGTGTGTGTGGTATTGCTACAAAGTGTAATCTGGAATCGTGCACAGCTAACGACCTGATTTGCATGCAACAATCATTCCTCCTCGAGATATGGACACGACTGCATACACTTCATTTACACTATTTTCAAGTAATTTATATTTTTAATGATAAAAACAATGGAGAAAGTTCACAATTTTGAGATGAGGCAAGATGAGACGAGTCTCGATGGAGAAAGTTTTCCAAAAATATGTATTATTGGAGCGGGGTAAGCATTTAGACAAGTTATCAATGGATAAATGTATAGTTAATGAAATAAATAATTGATAATTTCAACCCAACAGATTTTCGGGACTCTGTGCAGCAGCTCAAATACAAAGAAAGCTAAAAACCATTAATTTTACCGTGTACGAGATGAACAAGGATGTCGGAGGTGCGTGGTACTCAAATACTTATCCAGGCTGTGCCTGCGACATTCAAAGTCATTTGTACAGCTTCTCTTTTGCACAGAAACCAGGTAATATAAGATCAGAAGCTATCGTAAAATAAATTACTTGGGAGCTAGCAAACTTACATTTTCGTCTTCCTATATCCATAGATTGGTCAAAAGAGTTTGCATCTCAACCAGAGATTTTAGAATATATGAAAACCGTCGCGAGAAAGTTTGACATTTACAAATATACCAAGTTCAACCACCAAGTAAATCAGCTCAAGTGGGAAGAAAGTGAAAGAAAATGGAAAGTCAGCGTTACTGATCTGACCAACGATATCACCACCGAAATCTATTACGACATTGTGTAAGCCCAAATGTTCCCAATTTCTACAATTATTTCATGAGATTACTGACAATTCTTGTAACTTTTACACAGAATAAATGGCAGTGGTGAACTACGACAACCACAAATTCCGGAAGAGTTTAAATCTTTCGAAGGTCCTCTGGTCCACTCTGCACAATGGGATGCTGATCTTAAACTTGAGGGGAAAACGGTAGCCGTTGTGGGCAGTGGGGCCACTGCAATTCAATTGGTATGCTTAATTTGTCTATGATTTTGTATCTCTGATTTAGCTATATTTTGAATAATTAATTGCATGTTGTAATTAAAGATCCCATCCATTGTTGGGAAAGTGGGGAAGCTTTTGTGCTACCAGCGACAACCCGCTTGGGTCATCCCTTCATTTCAATCAAGATTTACAAATTTTACAAAGTGGTCATTCGCCACTTTCCCAGGACTTCAGTCTACATACAGGAAGACGCTGTTTTTGCTGAATGAAGTCATGTTCCCAGTATTCATGTATAGCACAACTTTAAGCAAGATTGGTACTACTTCCTTGTTTTGCAATATTCATTTCGTGACTATTTATCACATTTATATGTGTATAAATACATAAATACATATTTCAACAGGAAACGTAATCGCTACAGGATTGGGAAACTATCATGTCAACAATTTGATTAAAAATCACCCCGACATACGACCACAACTAGTTCCTAGTTACAGATTTGGATGTAAACGGGTCGGAATTTCCAATAAGTATTATCGAGCGCTGGATAAGCCTAATGTCAAAGTAATTTCGAACCAAATTCAGGAAATTGGTGGTAACTTTATACGGACGCTGGATGGCGAAGATGAGATTGATGTGCGTAACATATTGCTTATTTATTGTCACAAGCAAGTTCATAATAATCAGTATTTTTACTCATATTTATTAGATTTTGATCCTTGCCACTGGTTTTCGAGTACATGATTATTTCGCTCCGATGGAAATCATCGGAAAGGATGGCGAAAACATTTTGGAAAAATGGAAGAACGATGGCCCAACAGGATATTTGGGAATTACGAGCAATTCCATGCCAAATTTATTCACACTACTCGGTCCAGGCAGCGTAAGTGATGATATGATATGCAAAATATTCTCACGAAATTACCATACGTATTTAATTATGCGAATTTATTGCACAGGATGTGAATCACAACTCTGGAATATTTCAAATTGAATGCCAAGTAAACTGGATGATTAAAGTGATTCGAGAAATGCAGTCTAGAAACGCAAATTATTTCGCAGTTAAGAAAAATGTCGAGATTGACTACATGAACGCCATGAAGAACGCCATGATGAAAACGGTTTATGGAAATTTCAAGTGCGGTTCTTGGTTTGCAGATGATGCGAAAGGTATTATCACTGCGTTGTATCCCAAAAGTTCAATTTCGTATTGGAACAATACAAGGAAAATTTGTGTAAACGATTTTGATTTTAATTGAACACTTTGTGTTATACAATTAATTTAACTAGATTGTTTTAGCTAATAAAGAGGCAAATATCTAGAAATAGGTAATTACAAAAAGAATAAATTCTCCACGTAACGTTTGAACTGAACAAATAAATATTTCCATAAATAGTTTGGTACATTATTTTTCCCTGAAATTATTTTTATAGACGACTAGAAATACTTGGGCTGATCAGTTTTGTACCGTGAAACAATACATATTTTCTAAATATGTACCGGACTTTTTTGCGCCCATCGCTGAAATATGTACTCGGAATCCTAAAACATAACCTCACCTCGTTGTCAACTACATAAGTACGAAATCAGTTCTTAAGAAAGTGAATCTGTCGCAGTTGAAGTTCCAAAACTGGGAACATGTGTTTGTCGTGGATGCGGAAATTGAATTTGACGAGGCAAAATTGCTATCCGTTTCAATTTCATATCGCAGACAGACTCCTTTCTGAAATTGTCCTTTCTGAAACTGAAATCACTACTTCGGAGCTGTAAAAAGTTATAAAGATTAATTAGGTCATGTATAAATACGTAAATTATTCCGTGATAAACATACACTTAATGTTGCGCTATGCAACGAAAGTGCGGAAATCATCGGAAAGTCGTCAATCTCAATGTCAATCCATTTCAAGACGTGGGACGGAAATAATTTCACCCACAACCAGAGCATCGGAGGACTTAAATGATCAGGGCATACGCGTGGGAAATTGTTACAACTTCCTATCATGAGACTGAACAAGAGTCCGAAAACTATGGTAAGAATGCATCCCAAGCCAGGATACCACATGTACGAAATTGAGAATAGCGCTAGGACGAATTCGTTCCCGAGTTCTTCCAAGTGCCCAATCTGTCTTTCAGGGGATATGAGGAAACTTTGGTTTTGGGATAAGAACACGGATAAATTAGAATGGAGAAAGTTCACAGCGACGTCAACCGGACATCCGTCAGTGCTCAAGCCGGGAAGGGTCTGATCTGGGAGAAGTTTTTCAAAGGCGGCGAGCTGGTTCCCAATCACGAGGGTTATCATGATGAAAAATGCAGATAAGAGTCCGAGTAATGAGCCCTGAATTATAAAATTGTTTAAATAATGCGTCTAAATGATAACTATTACGAGTTTACTTTAGAATTCGCCCAAGGGAAACTCATTCCGAGCGTAAAGACCCCGAGCGTAGGACCAACGACGACTCCAGCGATAGAGAATGCTGCCTGGAAGGAGAAATAAGTACTTGGATTTTCATCTTGTATATGATACACTTTTATGTAGAGCAATTTTTCTATTTTTTTACCGGTAAAATATTTCCAAGATTTTCAGCCACAAACACCAGTCCAAATGAAATCAATCCAAAAAGAACGCAGAATGCTTTTGAAAATTTTAACAGGGTTTGGTCACTCAAAAGTGGCATCCAATTTCGCACGTAGTCATACGTACAAATGGCTGACAAGGCGTTTAGTCCAGTTGACACGGAACTATGCAAATTCAAATGTGGTCATAAAAATCTATAGTAGACAATGATTTACCTAATTTGCATACCTCAAGCTAGCACAGCATAACCCCGAAATGAACAATCCTACCAACCCTGGATACTTTCCCATGGATTGCATAACAAAAAGTGGGAGGAGCTGATCCGGTCTTGTAACCGCCTGGAAATAAAATAATATATAAATTACAGTAAAATAAAAACTCTGCAAATAAAATTGTGTAATTAATTTACCCCCGTCATAACTGGATCACAGTCGTGGTATTTTGCAAATAAAATCATTCCAGCCCAATAACATAGGCCAAATATCAATATTAGTCCCAGTAGATTTAAAGCTAGAGCTCTGAAAATATACATTCGTAATTTTTTAAAAATATCGATACCAATTATTTATGCAAATAACTTACCGTCTAATACTCGCCAGAGAAGGCATTGATAAGTAACGCTGCACTTGGGCGTGAGTAGCCGCAAAGTTTGGCAACCATTGCAGATATCCTCCAATCACTGCGGTCCAAAGTGTGTGTCTCGTACGTGGGTCAAGGTCAAAACTACGATACAAACAAACAAATAAATGAAACTGTCCTCACATATTCTAATCTCGAATAATAACTGAATAATTACTTTAAGAAATTGGTACGTTCATATTTTTCCGCAGTGTTCCAAACTGCGACGATTCCGCCCATATCCTGCGTCCCCTTGCACACGATGGTCACCAAAGAGCCAATCATTATGATAGCTTGAAGTGCATCCGTTGCAATTACGCCTTTCAGACCGCCCTGTTTTCAAATCAAGTACTAATTATTTTTGCCTTTAAATACGAAAAAATAATTATTATATGACTAATAAATCATTTTTACCAGTGTCGAATAGAAGATGCAAACTAAAAAAATTACTGCAGTAGAAATTCTTGTATTGATTCCCGTCACTGAAAATTTACATACATCATCGATTAAGTTAGTAGTTAAATTAGTGAACATATGGATCACATACCTTGACCAATAGCTAAAGCTGGTCCATACACAACGATGGATAAGTATACAACCTTCATGAAAAAAATTCATTGTTCAAAAAAATTTTTGAAATTTTTGAAAGATTTTCAAGTTTGAAATTCATTTGCTTTAATAATTTAAAAATATCTTACATAGTGCAAAATCCCAACCGTTGAAACAACAGTTCGAACTGTTCTGTTAAATCGTAGCTCAAAGTACTGGAACATTAAATCTTATTAATTCTCAAATCCCCTCTTATTTACATATGTAGAAAATAGTATCAAATTTCATTACCTCATATGCAGATGTCAATTGCAAGTTGAAAAACACAGGGCAAAAGAAGAACGCCAAGGTCAGTGTTAAGGGGATAAACGTGACCACAATCAAACTGTAGGAACTTCCGTAAAAATAAATTTCTAACGGATTTCCAAGAATCGTTATTGCTGATATGAAACTGCACAAGAGGGAAAGAGCGGCTGGAATTGTGTTCAATTGACGATTTGCAATTAAATAATCTGCCGTAGATTTCTGTCCTTTAGCACAACACCCATAAAATATTCCGATAAGACTGGACAGCAGCAAAATTCCTCCAAAAACGGCATACTCGGGAGCGTCCAATTTCCCAAATGCATGATTCTGAACGAGCACTGTTGCAGTTTTGTTGTTAAGAATGGTCTGCAAAACTTCAGTAGAAGAATCATAATTTATATCCAATAATTCTCCATTTTTTGAAGTAACATTTCCAATTTCGGCTGTTTGATTTATAAGATTTTCGAAAAATTGATTTATTGTTGTGGTTGTGTTCTGAATAACGTTACGTAAACCGTTTTCCGGTCGCACAAGGGAAATTGTTGACGGAATGTCATCATAACTTGAAAAATCACTCTGATTATCGTCTGGAACTATGGAATTTTGAGTCGTATCCATCTTTGCTGCTTTATCCGCAAAATTTTCAACAAATGAGAACGTATTTCCAGCCTGTCTTTGCAAAAAGAATGGAGAATAGAACTCCACCGAGTACGAAGACGACGATGGAGTCTCCGGTCTGAAGAAATCTGGTTCATCATCACGAAAGTCAGAGTCCAATCGGTTGTCGTTCGTGAATGAATCTGAAATATAACCCATTTTTGCAAAGTATCAGATTTCAGAAATTTGTTTATCTTTCTTCACTCTCACAAACAAGTTAGTCACTCGCGTCTTGCTTGAAAATCGTGTAATGTTCTAGATTTATGCATATTGTAATGAGTTTAATGCAAGTTTGTCGCCGAGACATTTTGCCAAGGACAAATCTTACTAGTTTAATATTTATACAACAATGTTGCCTTATTACAACTTGGACTGCACAACTACTATTAAAGCAACATTGCGCTTGAAACTGAAAACTAATACAGACAGAAACATCATTTTCATCATTTTCGAAATCATATAAACTTCAAATTAATCGTTCTGATTATTAGAGCATGCTACACATTGCAAGGTTTAAGGAGAATGAGGGGTGAAACTAATTCATATTGTTTTTGATAATTATTCTCGTCTATGTAGCAGATATGATTTTCAGAATAATAAGTGTATAATCTTACACGAATAACTTTGGCAGCAAATTGTGCGTGCTTATGAACGCGTTACAAGTAAATACGCGCTGAAGAGGTGCACAACATGTGTAATCAGATTGAAATCAAAATCTGTCAAACATATCATAAATGATTTGTAAGCGTAATTTAATTTAGAAAACTAGTTAGTAACTCAAATTAAAAGTAAGAGCAGGGAACGAATTTTGAATTTCATGCACCAAAATTATTAGAATTCGACACTTTGAAAAGCTGTTTCCATTTTGAGTGTGCCTATTTATAATTGGTTCTAGCATTCACATTTATCATCATTCTTGACTTGTTATAAGCTTCGACCACCTTAATTGATGTCCACGCTACGCTCTGCTAACTTTTGGTGGGGTGTGCACTTACATTGATAACTAAAAAAAGAAGGAGATATTATTAAAATGCAGCAGGAATTGCTGTAATTGAGATGCGATTGTGTGAGTCCCGTTCGTCTTTGTGGATTAAATGACCTGCAATTTTTCATAGCACATTATTGCGAAACATATAGAAGGATTGTTGCCATTACTCTGATTTTTATTCAGTTCTTCAGTCAAATTAAGTTTTACAACGGATCATAAAATAAATTCAGCTCAAATTATTGCTCATGTTCACCAACCAACTCACTATTGATCGAACTGCTGTATGTAGCTCAAGTGGTTCATAACATTTGCCTCTGATGCATCATGGGAAGTTTTGACTGCAAATAATATAATCATTCCGAATGTTAGTCTACTTACATATGTATTTAGGTGCATAAATTTATGCATGTTTTTATCCTGTTGAAGCCAGAAATAATTAGATAATTGTAGAAAAACATCAATACGTTACAATTAGATCCAATAATCATATATACAAATTTACTATTTTGCAATGTTATTATGAAGCTCAAATTAAAAGTAACGTGATTTTCGCATGTTTTTTTACACTGTTCAAAAGTTGTAAGGACAAATTAGAGGCTTTTAATAAAATTGAAATCCTATTAACATTTCCTTCCTTCCTTCCTTCCTTCCTTCCTACATTATTTATGGGATGCATGTAATCAGCGCCGTAGCGACGGTGGAGAGAGGTGGAGAGACACTCTCCAGGCCGTACGGCCCGAGGGCCGTACCGCCAGGGTCAACAATATAGTACACTAGGTAAATCAGGGTCAGAAATGAAGTACACTAGGTAAAATCAGGGTCAGCAATAATGTACACTAGGTAAAATCAGGGTCAGCAATAATGTACACTAGGTAAAATCAGGGTCAGCAATAATGTACACTAGGTAAAATCAGGGTCAGCAATAATGTATACTAGGTAAAATCAGGGTCAGCAATAATGTACACTAGGTAAAATCAGGGTCAGCAATAATGTACACTAGGTAAAATCAGGGTCAGCAATAATGTACACTAGGTAAAATCAGGGTCAGCAATAATGTACACTAGGTAAAATCAGGGTCAGCAATAATGTACACTAGGTAAAATCAGGGTCAGCAATAATGTACACTAGGTAAAATCAGGGTCAGCAATAATGTATACTAGGTAAAATCAGGGTCAGCAATAATGTACACTAGGTAAAATCAGGGTCAGCAATAATGTACACTAGGTAAAATCAGGGTCAGCAATAATGTACACTAGGTAAAATCAGGGTCAGCAATAATGTACACTAGGTAAAATCAGGGTCAGCAATAATGTACACTAGGTAAAATCAGGGTCAGCAATAATGTACACTAGGTAAAATCAGGGTCAGCAATAATGTACACTAGGTAAAATCAGGGTCAGCAATAATGTACACTAGGTAAAATCAGGGTCAGCAATAATGTATACTAGGTAAAATCAGGGTCAGCAATAATGTACACTAGGTAAAATCAGGGTCAGCAATAATGTACACTAGGTAAAATCAGGGTCAGCAATAATGTATACTAGGTAAAATCAGGGTCAGCAATAATGTACACTAGGTAAAATCAGGGATTCAATAATTTTCGGGTGCATATGAGGCCGTACCACGGCAAAACTCTCCAGGCCGGACAAAACGTCGCTACGGGCCTGCATGTAATGTAATGTACGGCTCATTCTAATTTATGCATGCCACTGTAAAATGGTTGGATTGATGAATAGAGATGGAGATGTACGTACGTACTGCTGAACTATCCTGCTAAAGAAAATTCAATTACACGTATTACCATTAAAATTATGCTGAAGTGAGTTAGCACTTTAATCACATGTTGTTTGTGGCAAAGCAATATTTAATTATCGCTGATTTAACTTAACGATGAACTACTTTATTTTTCTTTCGCTGGTGCCACTTTTCATTACAACTTCGTCAAAGATCTAACCACCAGACCTAACAAAATCTAAAATTGCTATCTAAAATCGTATAAAAAATAATATATTTTTGCTGAAAATTTTACTTTCGGCATTTTAGTTTCACCTCAAATATTGCAATTTGAGATGATCTTCGAGTAATCCAAATTCTGGAATCCTGTGATCAGACAACGTGTTAATCACATGATATCGGATAAGCCAAACAGTTTAGTGAAGTGAAACCATAAACATCAAAACAAGTTTTGTTAAATAATTCTGCATGATTTTAATTGGCGAAGCATGACACAGACAGACCTCTGATTGCTGGAAATCGAGGGCAGAGCTCGTGACAATACTGCAGCAAAAAAAACAAGTTGGAAAAACGTGGAAGATAACATTAAACTTCGCCTCCTGATTAAATTATACAGGAAAAGTTGTTGATGACCATTGTACCCACCCAACCCATACCGTCATTTTTATTAGCATTAACATAAAACTTATCCCAAACCTCCACATGAAAAAGAGAGGGCATGTGAGACCAACTAACTAACCATCTACGTAAACTCGTTCTCATCCCGAGTTAACAGAATTTGTTATCTCATATACACGAAAATATATTATTGTTATGTACATGATATGATATGACGATGCATAATATGCAAGATCGTACAGATGCTCTGTCCAACTTTGCTGGCAACCTTAGCCAAGAAATTCTCCAGGCTATTCTAAACCCTTCTACTTGTAGCCCGACCAGTTCCAGTTCAAACTCCTTACATCCCACATCTCCATCTCCAGCAGGTTGGTTGTGGCCCGTTTTTGTTTGTACAATTCATTAAAATATCCGCAGTTGCGTCAAATTCTCAAATTTCTACAGAACAACCGGCAGTTCCCGTGAGAAAGAGGTCAAAAACCAAAGAGGGCATAATAATGGAATATATTTATTTTGGACCTGGGCCGGCCAAGTTGCCGAAAGAGGTATGTGCATAAAAAGTGTTAATCAATAAACGAGAGAATCAGAGCCTCCTTGATTAATGAAATATTTGTGTAATCAGGTTTTGGAGCAAACTCAAAATGAGCTAATGGATCTGCAAGGAACGCATGTGGTACATAACACTTTTTTCTTTCACTTTCACTTTTTAAATGCATCATGGGAAGTTTTGATGCAAATATATAATGTTGAAATTTTATTTGTTTCAAAGAGCATTATGGAAATGAGCCATCGTTCCCCTGAATTCACTGCCATAGTCAATGGAACTATAGAGAAAGCAAAGAAATTGCTGTAATGAATGATCCCATTTAAAGTCGAATCGTTATATCATGTAGGAAATTATTTTTAAGAATTATAATTTTTTTTTTGTAGTTCGATTCCTGACAATTATAAAGTCCTGTTCATGCAAGGGGGTGGAACAGGACAATTCGCCGCAGTGCCATTAAACCTTATGAGCAGAACGGGGAAAGCAGACTATATCGTGACTGGTATGCATACATACATACTTATTCCCAACAGATTGTGGTTTTCTCATTGCTTATACGGAATCAAATCACATATATACGCATTCGTATTATAGGATCCTGGTCAGCAAAAGCACATAAGGAAGCAACCAAATACGGAAAGGCAACCATGGTTCATGACAAAATTTCTAAATATGGAAGCATTCCTGACCCCTCATCTTGGAAATTGGACCCTGAAGCGTCCTACGTGTACTACTGCATGAATGAAACGGTCGAAGGGGTAGAATTTCAGTATATTCCGGACACGAAGGGAGTGCCTTTAGTTTGCGACATGTCCTCCAACATATTTTCAAGGCCGATTGATGTGTCCAAGGTACTACAATATATTTTATGTGACATAGTTCCTAATGAAATTAGGATTATACAAATGAATTTTATCTTATAGTTTGGACTGATCTATGCCGGTGCTCAAAAAAATATTGGCCCTGCCGGTGTGACCATTGTTATCGTGCGAGATGATCTGATTGGGAAAGCATTGCCCATTTGTCCGACTGTCTTGGACTATGCAGTTATGGCAAAAGAAAATTCACTTTACAACACTCCACCTTGTTTTGCGTGCGTAATTTTATTCCCATTTATCCACCAAATATTAACAAAAAGTGTGCATTAACAATTCACATTAATAATTATGTATCCTACTTTCTCCAGCATTTACACGATGGGTCTCGTTTTCGACTGGATCTTGAAGAATGGGGGAGTTGGTGAAATGGAACGACGTGCCATTGAAAAGTCCAACATGATTTACAATTTGATCGACAATTCGAACGGTTATTACAGCAGCGTTGTTCACCCCTCCTGCCGCAGTCGGATGAACGTTCCCTACCGTGTCAAAAACGATGAGGACTTGGAAACCAAATTCCTCAAGGATGCAAAGTCACAAGGACTTCTAAGCCTTAAAGGACATCGTTCCGTGGGTGGAATCCGAGCTTCTATCTATAACGCGGTGCTGCCAGAACATGTCCAGAAATTGGAGGCTTTCATGAAACAATTCCTTGCAAACAATCCTTAAACAAGTTCATACATATGTCACGCAGCAATAATGAGATTTAAAAGACAGAATGCTTCCATAAAACCACATGGCTTATTCCATTCCATACTAAATTTGTGAAAAACATTATAATTTATCGCAATAATTAGACTTGTAACAGTAATTCCACAAAAGTAGCTTCTTGTTTAGGAGATTTATAATCTGATTTACGTAAGCTTTAATTAACATATCAAATGCAGAAACATTGGTGCCTGAATTACCTGCCTAATTTTTTGTATCAATGAAATTATTCCGAGATTAACATACATAATAAACCACTTAAATGACTACATTTTCAAACGTCGCCGATGATTTTGGTGTTGGCATACTCCATTGTCGTAATATGGCAGGAAACTAGTTTTTATGCTTTCTGGCAAAGTTGTATCATCCGGATGTATTGGGGAGAAAGTCAGTTGATATCTGAACATGGGACAAATTTTCGTATGTCATTAACTATCTTTAAGATTTTTACTGTGCATGATTTTTAATCAGTTTTGTACGCACGCTTTAATCGCCTTCGTCCTCTCGATAGAATACCATTTGCACAACCATTTGCTTGTCCAACAAGTTAAAACTTTGCTTCTGATTATGGATTCGAATATCCCAATTTCTTTTATGAGGCGGATGGAATGATTTACTTTAGCTTTGCGAAGTGCTTCCTAGAAAAAAATAGATTTCAAAAATTGAGGTACATATTTCTTAAATTTACAATAAATTTATCATTACCTCAATATCTTTGACAGCTAATCCAATAAGTAATCCAGTCAGCACCATTGTGACCACGATTACAAATGTTGTGTAAATCAAGTGAGCTGGAATAGAATATTCTGGGAATGAAAGAAAATTATTCGTTTTCTTATCCAGTATTCCTTCGTAGTCAATATCGCCTTTCATCATCATGAATGCTTTGAAAAGGGCGAATGAGCCGTTATTGAAACTAGAGTTCTAATTAAGTAAAGCCAAATATTAAAACAAATACAGATTAAATGATAATACATGATTTGGAAATTTTTCTACTTTCTCACATCGGGAAGTAGAATGCAGAATCCAACAGTAAACGCGATCAGAACTATAAGAAACGTAAATAAGAGACGAATAAAATCTTGCACTACTTTCACCAGTAATCCCACGTGTGTCGCAAACCAAGGTATCCTTCCGAGCTGGCTAAGCGTCATTAACCAGGAGAAAATGAGGCTCACCTAAATCAATAATTTCAGTTAATGCTTTCTCCTCAAGCGCTTAAATTTATGGGGATTAAATATTTCATAATATAATAATTATTACAGCTGCGACTGGATAATGGTAGTACAAAGGTGGAGGTCCAACTGCCGGTATAAGCGTCCCTGCCCACCCAATGCATAAAATCCACCAAAGGTAACCAGTACTCCCGTTGGAAAAGTATCCCGAAAAATCGGCATACACTTTATAAAATTCTGATATTATGATGAACCCCACAGCACCGAATAAGATCAAGGCTCCGATAGTTTCTAAATCCGTGATGGGGCAAAAATCTCCAACTCCACCAAAAAAGTAGTCGTCAATACAAGTATTTGAATAGATGCGAAACATGAGAATGGTGTAAAGCAGGAGGAGGACGAACTATATAAATCATAATAATTTTGTAGTTTAATTTTTTAATAAGAAATTCATTTGGTGAAAGTCTTACGTACGTAAACGCTTCGTAAAAGGAAAAACAATTTTCGCACGACGAGCCATTTAAAATGTAAAAATGCTTCAACAACGGGATGCGTAAGTATGGCATCGTAACCATCTTTGGCTTTTAGGACGGATTGTAAAAGTTCCGTTTCTCTTGGTGGTATTTCATCCTCACCAGAAGTTCGTTTATTAGATTGGTTGAGATCACCTTCAATTTGTAGAAGGACCCTGTGGGAATTTATATCTCAATTTTTTCGAGGTTGTACTTTACACAGATTCAAATAAATGTTTATTACTTAAAGTCAATTTGAAGTTGGGAGGAATCTTCAGGATTATAGCCGATACATTTGTCCAGCTCGTTACGAAGAACGTCGGGAAGATATTCTGCTAACATGGTGGTTATGCTTTTTTCACCCTTACTACATTTCAAATATGCATATTTATTACTGAAAATGTCCCAATTTGAAATTATAATAGCTCGGAAAAATAATTATTTATACCCGTGGTATAAACTCGCTCCATTGTTCAGCAATGTCTTAGCACAATCAGAATACAATTTAAGGGCACAATAAAACAGTGGCGTGTTCCCATGTTTGTCGACGGGGTCAGGGGACGCTCCCGAATTTATTAACGCTTTGATGCATTCAACTCTTTGGTCTGAACAGATTTTGCAGCGGCATCCTACGCAAAGCCAATTACTTCTTATACTTAATAAGGCAGATCAATAATGACAATTTCAGCATTTTTTAAATGTCTTGCCAGATTCCACAATTAAATGTAATGGAGATCGTCCTCTAAAATCTAGTTTGTCCGGATCAACTCCCGCATCAAGCAGGACTCCCAAAATGTCAGGATTTGCTTCGATCGCCGTTTTATGTAAAAGAGTTTGTCCATCTTTAGATTCTTGGTAAGTGATCAATATTCCGTCCTCATCTTCTCCTAAATGTTTTTGTATCGATGCAGTTGCTTTCCTTGTTCCAGCTTTTATGAGGGACACCAATTTCTCAAACAGGTCACCATACTTTTGTGAATTGTGTGAATTTGTAGTTGTTGTCACTTGATTTGCACCAGAGAAATGTGCAGTTTCTTGTATTACGGGATAACTCGGTCTTATTGGAATACTCGGATTTTCTAACCATGTCAATTTTATAGATTCTGCGGAGCTCGTCATGTTTGTTATTTTTATTTGAAACTTTCACCTCAAATGCCCGATTTCTGCCCGAAATGACGGTTTCCAGATAAAACGAGGAATGAGTAAAATATGCAATTAATCATCAACCTCCATGTCGTGCTTTATCTCGAACAAATGATTTATTTTAGGCAATGAAGATAATAATTGTATGCACAAAATAATCTTTAAAGGAAACCGACCCGTTTAGATTAGGTTACATACATAGAAATAATCAGAAGCTCAAACGTGAACAGAATGCCAGACTAATGTGATCATGAATATGAACAATAGACAACTATTTGAGTAAAAAGTTCATTAACATTTGAATGACGACTTAAAGTATACTTTTCGTCATGTTTATTACGTAAAATTAATACACTTCCGGTGTTTTGCTGTTATTAAAATTTACATGACTTTGTAACACCACTTGTCGGTGGCGAAAAGGGAAAACGTAATACAGATTCCACTAGCACCTCCTGGTTTGTAACAGCAAAATCCATTCTTGCAAAATCCATTGGACCCGTTTCGAAAACATTTTGATCCAATTGGTAATGCAGAATTCTGAAAAAATTAGTGCGTATTTTGTAAATTTTTATATTTTTAAACTTAATTTTAAATTACTTGTCGAGTCTCTCTTTCCCCACTGTCAAATTCTAAATCTTGATCATTCTCATCAGAGTCGTCTTCATACTGACAATATGCAACGCTGAAAAAAACCATGAGTATAATGAGACGTGTGACGACGACGACACCCATTATGCAAATATTGCTTATCTGACTGATTTAATGATATTTGAGGAGAAATCTCAGAAATTGGCAGTGTAATGAATTTGAGGAACAAATCTCCAAAATGTGTAAGTGGCACGTCAAAATCAATATCATGTACACATTAATTATTTGTCAGAACAGGATACGGTGCTCGGTCAACCATAAACCTACATCAAGCAAAGAGATAAGATATTAATAATGAGACCATTTTAGTTCACGCAACATTCTCAATTTTGTGTATTTCTTTTATTTCGTCCATCGTTGTATGTAAAAGTTATAAAATACATGTTGGACACCTAAATATTTTCGTTCTTATTAAATAACATGTTTTCGAATCGTACTTAAATGTAGAAATCGGTTATATGAGTCGCTGTCGTTGTAGAATTCGTGTAATGAGCTATGTAGAAGAAGTACTTATTTAATATCTGTTGTTAAGATCAAAATTTATAAGTATATAAACCTTAATCTAGTTCAAATCTTGTATAAATAACGCATTTACTAAATCTACAAAATATTTCCCCTACTAAATATGACTGTCTAATCAAAATAGTGAGTGAGTATCTTCCCCACTCTTTACTTTAATAATATTGATACAATTTGATAAGCATCTGCTCATTTATGTATGCTCGTTCTAATGACAATGTGGCATTTGTTATCACACAGATCTAAAAATAATTAGTTAACAGTAAAATTGCTTATCAATTTCAGAATTATCGATACGACTATTTAATACTTATGATGCCAACTTGGCAAGCTCTAAACTAAGCGTGACAAATCAAAAGCACGGCTACAAATGAAAGGTGATCTTTCTATAAAATTTATAATAATTTATGAGGAGACATCAAATACTTGATCACATTAAACAGAGAAACAAAATGCACGAGTATTGTCATTATCATGATAAAATCTTCTAAGATGATAACCCAAATATCTTGACAGCATTGTACGTCGTGGCCATTGCGACTTCTTCTGGATTTTTCTTCATAAGTGCCGATATCATTTCGAGTGTGGCAGGAAGAGAGCAAGGCTCATTCCGTTGAAATGTACAATTGCGATTTAAATAATTTAGCGATCTGGAAAATGAAAATTTAAAATTTATTGATTGTTCTGGTATCAAGCAGAATTAGAAATAATCTTTATAATCTGAAACAAACCTTTGAGTCAAAACTTGTTTCATTTCCGGTGTCAATTTTGCAGATCGGAAATTTGGATACATAAATGGACAGTCTAAGGATAATTAATTTTAATAAGACAACCAATTTTACTGTCATAAATATTTTGCACGAGCATACACGCACCTGTTTCAATTAGAAGACGGTCCAAGGGAATTACATTGTCCATTAACATTTTCCTGACGCCGTCTTCTGATTTGTCTTTCCACACATAACCTAATCAAATTTAATAAATTTATTTATGACAAAAATGAAATTTCAGGAATGTTCCAATCTGAAATAATTGCAATTTTGTTTGCGTACCAGTGAGACCAATGTATAGTCCCAGGTCGACATAGGCCTTGGCCTGACTTACAGTCCCCGTGAAACAATGAAGCACAGATGGAGGTAATTTGTCCTGATATTTCATCAAGACGTTTATCATCTCTTCATGTGCATCCCTCTCATGTAGAAATACGGGCATTTTTATTCTGCACGCGAGTTGAACCTGTTTCTCAAATACTTCTAGTTGCACTTCAGGTGGTGAAAAGTTGCGATTAAAATCAAGTCCGATTTCTCCCAATGCAACAACTTCAGGATTTGAGCACAAGGATTCAATTTCTTGGATAGATGTTTCATCAAAAGTTTTGGCGTCGTGGGGATGAATTCCTGGTACGAATCACATTTCATTTTACACTTTCTCCGGAGAAAGTTTTAGTAAATAATATACCTGCCGTGGCAAAAAGCGTATCCGGAAACAGTCTTGTCAGTCTTAAAGCTTCTTTGCTGACTAAAATATTGGTTCCAGTGACCTATCCCAACGTTAAGTTGGTATTTAGAATTATTATGCATGACTTTTTACCATTAGAGTTTTTACCATTATTTTGAGGACTCCGGCCTCCTTTGCCCTCTCCAAACACAAATTTGATGTACAGAAAATGAGACAAAGATAATGCAGAAATATGTATGAAAAATGTGACAATTTTCTTGCTCTACCAATTTATGCACGTATGTAAATTTTTACCTGGACTACAGAGTCGACATCCCTGGAAAACTTTTTATTCGTCAAATTAGCACCAATATCAATGAGAAAGTAGAATCTGTCCATCCCATCTTGCCCACCAACGCCCTTATTTAGACAAATATTATCCGTACTTTCTTCACAATTTCCATTTTTCTCCAAATTATTGTTCGCAGAAGCCATCGAATTTCTGTCAAAATTTTGCAAGAAACGATTAACCCTTTCACTTTTCTTGGTCGTCGTATCTGCTCCTGGTCGTGAAGCTGTATGAATACTAACTCTGTTTTCGTGACGTTTATTATGACAACGTCTCAGTTTATTGTAATTATGAGAACAATGACGATGACAAAGTTGTAGTTGGGGCAATGACAAGGCAGACAGATTGAAGACTGTCTTTCTTCCAATGAAGGCAACTCTCAAGATTAAAGGAGCAGTAGAAGAACTGACAATTGAAAGTGTTGGTGCTGGTGGGTGTAAGTAATTTAACGAGTTGTTGAGCAATGTAATCATGCCAGTCAAGTCAATAGATTTTGGACATGAATACAACTTGAACGTGATGATTTTAGGATTTTAAGATAGTAGAATGAAACGAGTGGCTGTATCATCATCTGCACGAGAGAGAGAGATGATGACGACGATTTCTCATCCAACTTTTAACATTTACTTACTTTACATACGCTCGGCTGTAACTAAAATAATCAACATCATTGTGGTATGGATGGATATATGGGTGGAAGAAGTAGTCAGTTTGCATGGAATGTACAACAAAAACATGCTGCATGAGTATGGGAGATGAGATGATGATTGGGGTGTAAAATGGGATACGGTTGCGACTCTATATTTCTTCCAGGCGTCTTTTACGTACATACTTTGGTATCTTGTACATATCTTTAATCTAATTTAAGCTCGTCAAAGCAAACAGACGTATAATCAGGAGGATAAAATGTAATCAGTGCAAGGACATCTTTCAACGATCTAATTGTCGAAAGGACTGAGGGGGTGGCAGGAAAGGATATAATTAGGAGTGTACATTGAATTACTTTAATGAATAAAGTACATGAAAAAACTATATGATTTTGTCTTCTGAAATTTTGATTTTAATGCCTATTTCATTCATTTGACTTGTTAAGAAACAGTGAAAATCTGACAACTTTAAAAAACTTAGAATTACTTATAAAACTTTGTAGGTAGTCATCAGTTCGAATTCGAATCACTTTAAATACAAATTCTTTTACAGTCAAGTTCTGAATAAATTAGTCAAAACACGACACGCACTAATACACATATGTACACTGAGTGAGAAGAACAGTTGTTCAAGACTGCGCGTAGCAAATTTTTGTCCGACGACGATGACAACAACGAGGTACAAAAACATGAACGAATTGTCAGAGCAGGACACACACATCACATCATGTAACTTCACTTGTTGGGTTCTTCTATTAGGGCAATAGCCAAGTCTGTCATTTTTGGATATTTAACTTTCTTTCTGTCAAGTTCTTCCTGCGCCCAAAGAACAAATTTTAATAAGTAAGCTAATTTTGATACGGAAGAGTCTTTGTTCTCCTGGCCTAGGAACGCTGTATTGAGTTCACTTGCAACTTTTTGACGATGAGAGAGGGCCAATAAGTCGCCAAAAGGGGAAATTTCAGCATCCTCAAATGCAAGTAGGGCCAAAGTCCTGCGAAATTATACAAAAATGCGTATGAAATTTTTGACACTATGAAATTAAAAATTTCATAACGTTTACAAACCTCTCCAACTCTTCTAAAACTTCCGTATTCTCTTCCCCCTGATCTGCCAAATTTTCCTGTGCAAATTTCAGTGCTGCATCGATATTTTTCGCTCGTATTAACTCAATCAAATGCTGCTGTTGGAGATGAAAGTACAAGTATCGATTATCGTCTAAAAGTTGAGGTTGATATGCGTTAATCATGTGGATCGCTTTCTGAATTTCCCCTTCTTGAATTTTTTCCAGTATCTTGATGCGTTTATCCAGCGTTTTCAAATCTACGCCAGGCTCAGTTCCTATTGAGATATTAAATTGATTATTTTCCAAAATTCCAAGATGATCCTTTGCATTGTCCTTTAATAATGCTGTCAACAACATAAACTCTACTTACCGGACTCGATTTGAAACTTTTCCGCAGCATCTTTGAATCCTGTCATATTTTAAATATTATCTTAATAGTACCAATATTTACGTTGCTTTATGATGACACCAAAAACTAACCTTCCGTGACCAAGTAATTCATAATGAGTTTGTTCACTTCGGACCGTGGAACTTGCAACGATTCGATCTTATCCATCCATTTCTCTTTCGATGAGGCAATATCATCCTTCGGTCCTTTGGATGATGTTTCCACTGGGGCTGTAGACATGATCAAGTTTTCGAGAAGGTCGTCGTTTTGCAGGTCTCGCAGCTGTAGGGAAATATTTAGCAGCAAAATCATCAGTATGTTATAATCAATCAATCCGAATTTAAATGAATTAATACTCCTGCGTAACTTTTAGGAAATGTCAAAAAATCAATATTTTTACTCACCCTTCGAAACAGGAGTAAATATCGTGCCCAAACCGACCCAATTTTGAAATTGTATTAAAAATCCAAAACAAGTTTTCTTTCTCTAAAATATTCAAGTCTACTTTCTCCAGAATTTAGTAAATTTACGCACAAAATTTGACCACCTTTCACCTTGTTTTGGTTTTGCAAAGTCAGCTTTTGTATGGTGCTTGCTTGCTGATCATCTGCCTTGACTTTCCTCGCTCTGCACACGAACTAACCACCACCACCACCACTGCCAAAAGGTTCATGCCAAAGTGCCCAACTTTCCCTTCCGTTCACTGTGATTTTTAGCATTCGCTGCTAAAAAAAGGTTGTTGTTCGTCAATTCAATAATTCGTATTATTGTGTGGGGCCGGGCCGGGTGTATCAGTCTCGATTTGCCATTTACCAAAATATATAAGAATCACAACAGCAGCAGAAGCAAAGAGGTTGATTGAACAAGGGGACTTTTAACAAGTGAGTATAATCTTATTTTTGTTATTTTGTAAATGCTGTTTGTATTTCTTTTTGGCAACAAAGCACTGAGCAGATTCATTTGCTTGGAGAATTAGAAGTGGCAAGGTTTTTTTTTTCTTTCAAGGAGACATTCATTTCATTTTGTGTGAGATTGGTAGATAAATTGGTGCGCATTATTTTGCCTGTCGATATTGCGAGGAAATTTTTGGGTAAGTGCATAAATCGGTTTGTATTGAAGTTTACAAAATTTGAGTCAGAAATCTGGGGAAAGTTGGTCAATTTTAGACAAAACACGAAAATATTTTGAGACAGCATTTTAATGCACATCAGCTTAAAAAATTCATTAGTGGCATTCGAATATTACATATTCATGATTTTTTAAAAATTTTCATACAAATTAGGTGCTTGGCTTCTCTAGGTTTCAGTATTGCATTTGGTCATCATTTTCCTACTAGACAAAACATGTTGCATATTATTATTTTGATTATAAATATTATTATGCACTTTAGAAATGCTGAATTTTCATAACAGAAAGTTTGAGCCATTCATACATATTTGTTTTACAAACAACACATGCATATTTGTAATATATGTATGCGGAAAACCACAATAATTAATTTTTAGCTGTGGTTTGTTTGTTTCCGTGTTATTTCGTACAGCAGAATCGTTCACTGATTCTCCCCGTGTTCATAAATAAGCCTAGGAGAAAGTTAAGCTCATTGCGAGCTACAATAGACCCCGAGAGTCTCACATTGTAATTGGATTTCCTTTTCGGGAAGCCATACAAAATTGGGTATTGTAGTTAATTGACAGTTTCATTCAATTATATTGAATCAAATTATTATGATTTAATGAATGGGTGGTGGTTGCACAAAGCAAAGGTGGTTAGCTATCTATGTATGACCAAAAACCACCTTATGGTTGATGGCGATCGTTGATTCTTTGATAAACTATACGCATCATCTTGATACTGGTCTTTAATAAATAGCATCCATCTTCCTAGTACGTTACATAAGAAGTAGTGCATTTTGTGCGGTTAACAGATCCCATGTAGCAGTAGTCGGAATTCATGAATGCGTTCAGAAAATGCAGGAAGTGAAACTAACTAAGAAGTAAAGCCATTGTACTTTACTTGCTGCACAAGCCAACTAAAAACAAGATTTTTGAAGCAAGTTCTACTAGCAAAGCAAGCTTGTCACTCGGTTCATCTCCGACCGAGTCGAAGTCAAGCCCATCTCAGATCTCTGCATCTTTGACTGCATGCATGCATTTCAAAATCTGTTTTAAGATACCAATAGCACCACTTTACAACTATACATATTTAGAAATCACAGCGATCTTCGTCTTCATTCTTGACTATCCCAAGAGTTGGGTTGGTTTATAGTGAAACTGATCGGTACAAGTTGTATTGCTGCTCATCTTCTTTTTCATCCTCGTTAGTTGCAGTCCAATGTTACACAAACTATGGCTTGTGAAGTGTAGTCATGCTAATGTAATGGTCCTCTTAATAAGCTTAATAGAATATTATTGAGTTGTGGTGTTTTGAGTGATGCGATTATTCAGCAGTTTCCGTTTTGCTAATCATCCAAGTTAAGCGTTATTGTGCTCGGCATTGTAATAGTCGGCAGGAATGCAACAAGTTGAAGTTGGGTAATCAAACATAGCAAAGTTGAATATTGTAGATTGTGCATAATAAATGAGTCACAGGAATATTACATTTGAGTCGAAATACTTCATACATACGCAGTTTGACTGACTTATCAATTTTGCACATGACGTGTATTTTGAAGTGTAATGTAATAAAGTTTGACTAATTTATGTATCAACAGGAATTTTTTGAACGTGACTAGAACAAAGATACGGAAAGTGTTGAAGCCTTCATTTTTGTGTGGATTCGACAACTGTATAATATCTTGATTGGCTTCTTTACGATATTCGGACAATTTTTCAAGTAGCACAGTCAAGCAAGATTCACGACAAGATGGTGATTAAAGTGTACTACTCGGAAATCTCGGCACATAAAGAGGTAGTTATCTTAAGCGAATCTCTTGTATGATTTCTAATTGCATGTTACTTAAACTTCAGGTTAAAAAGCGTCAGCAAAAAGTTATGATGATTCTGGAAAGTAAGTCAAAGGCTAGATTTCATAATATAATATGCAATATTAAATTTGATTGGTTGAAATAGGCAAACAAATTCCGTATGAAGCTATCGACATCACAGAAGCAGGTGGGTGAAATTTTTAAATTTGACCCAGAATAATCTCGAGTGTCATGCAAAATACAAATGTTAAGAAATCGTCAATAAGTTAATATTTTTTTTTAATTTACAGGCAGAGAAAGCGATAAAGATTTCATGCTAACAAATGGAAAAGCAAAAGAGGGATCCAAAGTTCTTAGTCCACAAGTCTTTAATGAAGAAACTTACTGCGGAGTGAGTAGAAATATAACTTTACTCCAAGTGTAAATTCCTCATTGTTTCTAATTTGTCACTTTCTCTTCCTCCCTCTCACTATATAGGACTATGACGACTTTGAACTCGCTAATGAAAATGATGAACTGGAGAAATTCCTCAACGTCGAGAAAAGACCAAGTATTGTACGAAATGGGAGTCAGAATGGTACCGCAGCCATCAATGGCACCTCTAGAGAAAGTTCTGCTGAAAAGCAGGTCGTTGTCGAGGAGAAAGTTGTAGAGGAACTATCTTCTGCAGAAGTTGCATCATCAAATCCCGTACCGACTGAGGAAGAATCACCTGCCCTAGAGACAGACGCCCCTCCTCAAGAATCTCATACCGACGGGGGCGACGAGGAGGAGGAAATGTCCACTTCCGAACCTGTTCCACAGCCTCCAGCGGAAGAAAGTCTGGACAACATACAGCCAGATCCCGAGGTGGAAGAAGAGGAAGAAGAATTGGAGGATTAAGTTTATTCGAAACACATAAAAAATCTTCACATTTACACCAAATTAATCACAATTAGGCTATTGTCGAGCAAAAGCATTTCAACTACCAATTACTCTTAAAATGTATATTATTAGAAGGCAAATTATACCTTAATATGCCCTCTTATGCATGCAATGCTACTTCCGTTCATCGATTTTTGAAAGACGTTGGCCTACCATGGTTTGATGGTTGGTGAATATTTATTATTGTTATAATTATGAAAGCTATTATTGGTTGATGGATCGATTTGGTTCTGCTCACCTACATATTTACATACACATAGCGTGTAAAACATGATTCGTGTACTTGTCGAATTTATACACAACACAAGTTAAGTATGTTGTTCATTGAATAAGATATTTTGTTCACTACTTTATCAGTTATCCATCCAAACTTTACGTAATGTACCTCTTCCAACGATTGATTTGTATTGTTTTTCATTGACAAATTTGTAAAATGTAATAATTCGCTCACTAGATTGTAATGGAATAGCAAACAGAATGTAGGAAAAGTGTTGAAAATTTCAATTGCTTTGATAATTGAGCTTTAAACGTGAAATATTTATCATGTAACATTTAATACTCTATAATTTTTAGTCATTTAATGTGAATTCGACAAAATCACAGAAAAATATACATATACTTAACGATTACTCAACAAGTTCATGCAATTTTAATAATCCTAAAACTTTACTATCCAAAAAAGCTTAAAGTGAAAGTACTTTTTTGTCAATGCAATAGCAGAGAGTGAACGAAATGACTGCTGTCAAAAAATTTCCGCTAATATTATTTATGAAAATCGATGCAATTGGTACAATAATAAAATCATGTCTGATGTTTATTCAAGTTTCTTCAAGGGATCCATGTTACAAACATTGAAACATTGCCTGAATAAAGCTGTCTTAAATAAAATTTATAAGTTTGATTACAAATAACATCAACGTGATGATAGATTATTTACTCATAATATGTAGAAGATCATATTGTTAACATATAAGACGGTACACTTAAAAGAATGGCAATCACAGGAACAAGAGTAACAATGATAAGTACATCATGCATTTATAGTATCACATATAATAACTAGCGAATTTTCTAATAAGTCTCAATTTTCAACTCAATGTATACACGAGTTGTAATGACTATGAATTTGAAGTCTTTCTAATATTTAACAAGAACTCCACAATGTAAAATTATCAAAACTGCAAAGAGAGTAGCAAACAAGTACATATGATAAATACAAACATAAATTTATAAATATTTCACTGAGTAATTCCAGAACAAGAATAAATAGATGCAGGAGATTGTCAGTTTCAAGGTTTGTTTCACATAGAGATGTTTTAAATATAAAGACATGCACCATCTGGTAAGAGAGCAGATGTTTTTCATTGTTGTACACATTTATAAACGTCAGATAGAAGAATTTATAAGCCGATAGTGGATGTATGTAGATTGTATTAAATACTACAAGTAATCATGCAAATGTTCAGTCGACATCAATATTTCTTCAAATTCTCCCCTTCATTGCATCATATTTGAGAACAATATTTAGTCTGTCCCGAAATATCTTCGTCCAAAATGAGTGGGGCTCACGGGGTGAATTTCAGATGTCAGAATTTTCATCTAGAAAATAAATTTCCAAACATAATATCAGGTTGGCAAATGCAGACAAATGAACTGAACTTTTATGTATGTGGTACTCACGTTGGGAAAAGTAGTTAGCACGCTTCCCACAGCGTGTGGGGTGCAAAACAAGTTGGCCAGAATGATATTATCTTCTGGGACATGATGTTCCTTGAGAACGTTGACCGATTTGATTACGGTGTTTCCAGTGGACATGATCGGGTACCTGAAAATAACAGTCGTTCTGTTATCACAGACAGTTGCATGAGATTTGTAACACAATTCTAAATTCTTTCATACATCAAAATCACTTTGCGTTTGCTGATGTCGTCGGGAAATCGAGCATAAACGACGTGGGCTTCATGTGTATCTGCATCACTTTCAACCAAAATTTTTCCAATTCTGATGGATCTGCAACAGCTATAAAATCCAAACATTTATTATTAGCATTATTCACTCTTATATAAATATTTTCCAAAAATCCATTATTTGCTCAATTATTATACGATCTTACTCTCGTAATCCAGCCTCCATGCTTTCTCCAGATCTGACGATACTCACTCCACAATTTCCTCGTTCGTATTTCAAGCCATCATACGTTGCCCCCGTAGGCGTCACAACTTGGTGCGGCTGGAACGGAAGTAAGTTGAGAGATTCCTCAATGACCAGTCTAATCAGACGATCCGCATAAAACCTGTAATTAATAGGAATAAATTAAATTAAATATTAGTTCCAATACACTTTCCATTGTTTCCATTCCTTACTTGAAGTCACTTCTTGAAGTGTTCTTATCCCTGATGATGGTCTGAAGTTCTTTAATTTGATCCGAAACTGGTAAAATCTTAAAGTTGCTTCCAAATTCATTCTCTTTGGGAACGTATATGATTGGTCCCGGAGGTGGAGTGGTCGCACTTAAATTCTTCCTTGAAGGTGGTCGTACCGGTACAGGATGCGGCTTTTCGTCGGCCGTAATTTTCACCATTTTTTGAGAGTTTGGAAATGTGGATGGAGCCACGCAAGAGGACGGAATTGGACTTGGTGGATTCGAGTGGTTAGAATGGGCGTTGTTATGATGTTGGTAATGAGACGAATTGTTTTCAGGAATTCCAACTGGTGCAGATTGTTCTTGACCGTGGTGGCTGGTCCCTGTCCCATTACATCCAGGTTCAACCTTCATGTTTTCTTTTGCTTTCCCCAATTCTACCATTTTCTTGACGGTCTTCTCAGGAGATTCGACTTCTATCATGTACTTAACCTAGTACATATTATAAACAAGCAAGCATATTAAATACACTTCCACTTACAACTCAATTAACAGTAAAATAAAATGAAAATGTTGCTCACTCAGTACTCACTATTCACGTTACGATTGATTATTCCTATGTAAGCGACCTTCAATCTAAAAATACAGTAAATCAAATTAATTATTTAACCCAAAATCGGTTGATTTTGCCTTGATAAAATTGATTTTTCTGATGAGTAATTACGTAAAAACTTACGAAAATAAATAATAATCTACTCCGTCATATTAATAAGAACAAGTGTGAAGTGCAATTGCCATCCAAAAATCAGATCAAAGATGGTCTCCCCTCCTGGACGAATCTTCTTTCCTTACGTCATTTAGTGTCCACTTCTTCCAGCCATTAAACTCCTTAACTTAAAATTAGCTACACTTCTTTAATTATAATCCAGTCAAATCATTGGACAACTTTGCTGGTGCACGAACAGGAACGGAATTGCGTGCAAGTGTCACGTTTCGTATTCGTATAATCACAAAAGCCAGCAGCCTCCGCTAAAAAACACTTGACTCCTTCCCGGGAGAGGAAGGAAAATTGCAAAAAACTACAAAAACTAACGAGTATTATGATCCTTTTTAACAACAGCAGGAAATTGTTGTTAGTGAGATGGTCAGTGCCACCGGTGGGGGTGGGCCATCTCCACCCCCTTCTCAGACCTATTTCCATCCTCCCACCAAAGCTAAATGCCTCCCAGCCGCCGGTAGATCGGAAAAGCAAGGTAAGGATCAGCTGTTTATTGTCGGCACTTGGTTAACTCTTCCTTCAGTCCCATTTTTTTGTAGTCGTTAAATTTAATTTATTATAACTAATTAATTATCAGTTACGAATTGTGAACGAAGGCAAGATTAAATGATCAGCTGGTCATAGTAAATTACTATCAGTAATGCAATTTTTGTCGTTTCATGGCGTTGAAGTTTCGCAATTTTGTTAGAGAAAGCTGCAAAAACATTACCAAAACAAAGTTTGTGCAGTGCTGTTTCTAATTACCATAATTAAAATTATTCTTAATCTCTTCTTATTAATGGGTAACAATGGACGAACAAGTAGAACCCGTCGACGTCGTAGAGATGCTGTAACTGGTTGTGTCCGTCCAGTCAGATTGGATTTGAAGCCGGAATTTGTTACAATTTTAAAATGGATGTGGAATTTACAAAAAGGGTTGAAACGAGATGAGAAAAATACTCGAAGATTATTTGAGAAGGGTGCAATTTCACCGGCAGAATTTGTCACAAACGGTGGTGAAAGTTATCGTGGAGTAGCAGCATGCAGACGAATCCATAAAAATGACACAATTCTCTATGTTCCTGAGGAATTATTGATAACGTCACGCCATTTTACAACAGATATTGAAATTGTGGATGGATTATCTATTCATGAAAAATTCGTCGTATTCTTAATTTTTGAACTGGAGAAAGGCGACGCATCCCACTTTCTCCCATATTTGCAAACATTACCCAGCATTGCAGACTTTCACTCCCATCCATCAAATCTTGCTAGCGATAATGTTATCTGTAATAGTTTACCATTTGAGATTAAGATAGCTTTACTGGATCAGAAACATCTAGTGGAAGTAGCATTTCAGAAAATTGAAGGGGTTTTCAATTCCAAGTATCCGGAGAAAGTTTTAAACTTTTCATATTTCCAATGGGTCTGGTTAATTGTGAATACGAGAACCGTGTTTTATCAGTCTGTGAGCAGTGGTGACAAAGAAATGGCATTAGCACCATTTTTGGACTTGATTAATCATTCTCCAACGCCAAACACTAGCGTCGAATTTATTGATAATGAGAGAGAAGGACGAGGGTATTTAATCAAAGCGGAGAAAACAATAGAAATTGGGGATCAAATTTATATAAGTTATGGATCACATCCAAATTTCAAGTTGTGGGTGGATTACGGCTTTCTTCCCTACGAGCATAATCCGGAAGATTTTGTCCCAGCAGATTTTGACCATTTGTGCGACAACTATTCCCCACTTTCACTTGTGAAAAGAGACTTGAGAAAGAAAGCGATCGTAGAAAAATATTGTCTAGATCAAGAATTGAACTTTATGTGTGATGACGTCTCACCAAACGTTGCCTTGTTGATCGGGCTTTCTCTTTGGGATCCGACAGTGGAAAAACATTTCGGATTTCAGACTGATTTGCATTTAGACACCGAATTGAAAGAAGGAGTTGTAAAATTGATTAATTTTATGCTGCAAGAATATAATGACTCTTTTAATAAAATGGAAAATATATTGTTGGACAAGAGTGAAAGTGAAACCAGTGAGAATAAAGAGAAAGTTATTAGAACAAGTGCCTTTAAAGTGACAAATTCTTACCTATCGCAATCTATCCAGCTCTTAGCGAGGTTAAAAAACTGTTTTTTGCCAGATAATGATTACGGGTTATCTTTGTCAGATCATATTGGTGCCCCCGACCCGGAACTGCTTTCACCCGGGGAACACTTCCCTTGCGAGGGAAGGGATCAAGCTACCTGATGGGGCCAAGGAAGTCAAGTCTAGTCAGATGCTCAAAGCCATGTTGACCCATTTGTGGCCCAAGGTGACATAATTAGTTGACAATTTGTCATGATGAGAATTATACTGCTCTTGTTGGAACGGTTTTTTTAATACACGTTTTTGTACTTGCAGGACGAGCCAGAAATGAGGCAACGGGTTGTTGTCGCGTTAGGATTACTTGTAGGAGCTAAAGTTTTAAATGTCTGTGTTCCATATTTATTTAAACTTGGAGTGGATAATCTCGGTCCGGTTGCTGACTTTACGAGTACTGTTGACACAGTGTCTTCATTCACATTTGCAGTCCTTGTTGGTTGTAAGTATTGAAAGTTTTTTAATGGAAAGCATTATATATACATATGCATGCAATATAATATTCGCTTTTAATATACATACTTATAGATTATTATTAACTTTTTGTTGTTTAGACGGGCTTGCGAGAGCTGGAGCGGCCGGGTTTAATGAGTTGCGAAATGCTGTATTTGCAAAAGTAGCTCAAAGGAGTATTCGTAAAATTGCTAAAAATGTTTTTACTCATTTGCACAATTTAGATTTATCATTTCATCTCAGTCGTCAAACTGGGGCTTTGTCAAAAGTAAGTAAGTATTTATTGTCGAGTAGTTTAATTAAGTGGAGAAAGTACAGAATATTTATTTGGAGCATTTATATTTTCAGACTATTGATCGTGGGTCGAGAGGCATTAATTTTGTTTTGACGGCCATGGTTTTCAACATTGCTCCGACCATTTTTGAATTGGGTTTAGTGTCTCTAGTGTTGGTACATACGTTTAACTATAATATTTATATATTTGCATTCCATATGTCAAACGAATTTGAGCATGTCCAATTACTCTTTATTTCAGGGTTACAAATTTGGTGCAGAATTTGCGTACGTGTCGCTTGGATGTGTGGGGACATACGCTGCTTACACATTAGCAGTGACGCAATGGAGAACAAAATTTAGAGTGGACATGAATAGAGCCGAAAACGAGTCTGGAAATGTGGCCGTCGATTCTTTATTGAATTATGAAACTGTTAAATATTTCAACAATGAACAGTATGAAGCACAAAGATATGACCAAATTTTACAAAAGTTTGAAAAGGCGTCCCTTAAAACAAGTACATCTTTGGCAACCCTTAATTTTGGTCAGAATGCAATTTTTAGCGTAGCTTTGAGCGCAATAATGTTAATGGCTGCTAAACAAATAGCACAAGGTACGAGTATTTAATTGTTGTCGCCATTTTAAATTAGTTTAACCTAATTGAGACTACAATTTCATCAAAATTTTCAGGAAATATGACCGTTGGTGATTTAGTTATGGTCAATGGCCTCCTTTTTCAACTCAGTGTTCCACTTGGATTCCTTGGCTCGGTGTATCGCGAAGTTAGACAGGCAATGATTGACATGACCACGTTATTCGCTTTGTTATCTGTACAAACAAAAATAGAGGTAAGAATTTATAAGTTGCATGCAAAACTGTTAGATAATACGTACTAAATTATACGGTATATATTTTTGCAATTTCAGTCCAAGTACAATGCACCCATGCTTGCAGTTGATAGAACTAATTCTGCAATTGAATTTCAAAATGTGACCTTCGGATATAACTCGTATACAAATATTTTGAATAATTTGAGTTTTAAAATTGAACCTGGAAAGAAAATTGCTCTAGTGGGAGGATCAGGCTCTGGGTAATTACCAGTCTACCAAGCACTCATTAAAGTAAAATGATGTGCACTAATTTTGTTTGTTTTTTAGTAAAACTACACTCATTAGGCTGTTGTATCGATTTTTCGAACCCCAGCATGGTCAAATTATAATCGGCGGACAAAAAATTAGTGATGTAGATTTAGATTCACTTAGAAAAACTATTGCTGTTGTACCTCAGGTAATTATAAATAGATCAACTAAATATTTATGTTGACATCTGAAAATATTTTAATTTACAAGTCGTGTTTTAATATTATACAGGACTGTGTTCTCTTCCACGACACTATATTTTATAATTTGCAATATGGAAATCTAAATGCATCAGAAGAAGAGGTCATTGCAGCTGCAAAAATGGCAAACCTGCACGACGCAATTACAAAATGGAAAAACGGATATCAAACCCAGGTCGGAGAAAGAGGGTTAAAATTAAGTGGAGGAGAAAAGCAGAGAGTCGCCATTGCGAGATCCATCTTAAAAGGTACACCAATCCTCGTCTTTGACGAGGCGACATCATCTTTAGACTCAATTACTGAACAGGTAACTCAATCTTGACTCCTCAGAGATTATGCATATAATTAACTCATTTGCATTTAAATGAATGCCAAATTATCCAATGTGTAGAGTATTTTGGGCGCCTTGAAGACCGCCTCTCAAGGAAAAACATCAGTTTGGATTGCTCACCGCTTGTCAACCGTGATGGATGCAGATGAAATATTTGTTTTAGACGGTGGTAAAATCGTTGACAGAGGATCTCACGATCAACTACTAACAAAAAATTCTCCTCTCTACCAAAGACTGTGGAGCTCACAGCATCAACAAAACTCAAACAGTAAACCTGCTAGCTCTTAACATTTTAATCGATTTTAGGTATCGATTTTAATGTTAATTATCTTTATTCACCAAAAAGTCAACTTATAATTTAATGTATCAAATGTAAGATTATTGACAATAAGGCTGAAACTTAAAACTTGCCCTATGATGAATGCAGCCTAAAATTATACGACAAAAGTTATTGCATTAATGCAGAAAATGCAGTAAAGTGCAGCATGTCGTTGAGCCAAGTTTATGTCCGCCAGGTGTAAAATAAGGAATGCATGTGAACCAAATGAGAATTATTTTATGTCCCCTGCAGTAGAATAAACTTTTATTACAACTCTCATATCAAACCCAACTCTATTCTTTATCGCATCCTTGACATAACCCTGTTCTAGTTGGTTGGGTAGGTGAGTGATGCCTACTGAATATGTAACCAACCTACCTCAACAAGTCAAGCAATCTGTTACCAGGTAGCTGTGATCCTTGCAATCGATTTGCCCATTTAATTTTTACCATGTTACATAACGTACTTATATATACTTACTCGCTCTGTAATTGAGGTAATTGGGGCATGGCGTTATAGCATCAATCTTTTTTAGTAGCCAGCAATTTGGACAGTGTTATATAGGTGTTACCTACCTACAAATATTTCAGATGACAGTCACCCTGCCTCAGAAATTCTACCAATGCTGAGAATTTCAAATCAGCAGACAGACGAGATGCCAAAGTTTCCCCACCTCAAATTACACAACCAACCACCTCGCACAACACAGAAAATAAAAATTGGATAACATTGCATTTCATGATAAAGGACATGACTACGGAATTCTCGCCTAGCTTAAAGTTTTATTGGCCTACAAAGTGTTACATGGGCAGAATAACGGACTGAACATGTCAAATACATATCAGACATACCCCACGATTCAAACCTGCTTCACTTTCTCTCACTCTAGGATTCCATGTACATATCTGCCGACCATGGTCGTCGTACGTAACACAGAGCTTTCTCCCAACTTTCTCCTCTCCGTCCCTCATAATAATCTGGGTCTGTAGAGTGACACATAGTTAAGTAATCCTTATCTAACGTAAGTAAAGGAGCAACGAACGCTCGTTATCGATCCTTGATAACTACGAGTAACTTGATTTATTTATATACCCGGGAACTGAGGAGAGAGTGAGTGAGTGAGTCTGTCTGGCCCTGCCTCAATCTGGCCGACTTCCTGGTTACTGCTTTCCCCGAAATAATATTATCATCACCACTTGTATGAGCTCCTCTTTCTCTTTAAGCTACATTAAATTTTGATGTATTGCTATTTAATACCATTTATTTTCAAGTCGGGGATTGCCAATTACGAAAATTGTTTACTACATACAACAAACAAAGACGCAGCTTATTTTATGGATGGAAGGAAGTCAGTAGTCATGATGCAGGTGAGTGGTTGTGCTTTGAGGGATAACTTTCTTCCTAAGAGATTAATTAAATCAGATAAAAGATCCCGTCCTACCCTCATCATGTCAGTTTTAAGTAGCTTTCTTCCTTCATTAGTGAAACTTTGGGGCTTATGGTTGTTTGTTATGTATGTATTTTCAACTTTTCTTCATACGATCCGCTCTCAAATATAAACATTTTAAACGACCTGAACCGGAACTTAGTTTTATGTATTTATGAGGATGAAGCGAGGAAATGTACACATGCAAAAAAAAAAATTCGCAAACAAAGTCGTCTCGCCAGGGATTAAGGGAGGAGGGTTTGCTGACATGCATCTAGCCATCATCATATATCCAATTATAGTGTAATGGGTACTCTCGTGAAATATTAAGCTAGCCGTTCATCTAAATTATCTGCCTACCTGGACATGTAGACCATTTAACTATCTCGGTACTGACCTGTCCCAACCGTAGATTAGATTGTTGTGTCTGTGGTCAGTTACACAAAATAATCCGGAATTACCAAAGTCTGCGAATATTTTATGTATATCATACATATGCTTTCAATGGAATCTGCTGAGTAGTATATGGAACGACGATAGCACGATTCTAAATGAATTGGACTTTTATAATTTATGCAGAAAGCAAATATAAGGGGAGAAACGCAGTCTGGCAAACAAACTCTGTATTTACATACTCCATCCACAACCGAAACAAGCTAAACTGCATAAACGTACATACATTTAAAACCATTCATTTATTTCACTCGACTGAAAAATTCAGAGATAGGGAAACCACGAGAAGAATGAAATGAAGTATTGCATTCATATCCAGTCCACCCATTTGTCCTCAATCCAAACCAAACCAAGAACAAACAACTGCATTGTATTGTTACTATTATTATTGCAAATAACACACCTACATGTCTCCATCCCCCACATTTTATGTCCTTACCTACCAGAATATCATGCATGCCAGTTGTGGGCATAAATATGTAATATCGACGAGACCAGTAATATTAGCAATTACATACGACTCTACTAATAATACGGCTCCCGTTACTGCCACGACTTGAGCCGAAGACCAGCCAGACTGGCGATATAGATTTTTGCCAACTGCGAGAACCTACCCCAACAACGAAACTGGCTAGTCGACCAGTCGTCCTCCTTCCCATTTTACCACCACCACCACGCCAAACGCCACCATATATAACCACTTATATAACGTCGTCCCATTGTTCGCGTTACGCAAGGCAAAAGTTGGAGAAAGCACGCTCTCCCCTCTTTCTCTCTGCCTCTTTTATTCTTCCAATTTCGACTTTGATGATCGTGCAATCTTCTCGATGCAGAATTCCCACAGTAATAATGAAGGCCCTGCTGAAATGCGAAATAACGGCTACATACTAAACTATCTAGGTATTTAATGGGCATGCTTGCATGTGTCTCATGCAAGCGTGTGGGTGGCATTTCTAATTAATTCCCCTCAACCGGAATAAACTCACGTAATGAATGTCAATTTCACCATTATGTAAATAAATTACTCCCAATTTAAAGTGATTGTCGTTCCCGTCGATTGTAAACAACAAATGTTTTCTTCAAAGTTAAAGTGGAAGGGGGAAATCCAAAGAAATTAATTTAAAGTGTTTTCAGATTCATTCGTTAGTCAACCTTCTTGTAATCATCGTGTATATTTGCATCCATTCCATCACCATCCTTGCCTGCGCACTGGAGAAAGCTGGAGGAAGAAGACACAAATATGTATGGATGGATGTTGTAAGTATTACATATACACGAAGCAAGATTAGGCACTAACCTACCCAATTCAATTTCGAGTATACCACTCCAGTCTACCAGGCTGCTACTCCTTCCAGAGTTTATTCCAGGTCGTCGTTCTCATTTCCAGCAGAACTACGACTCTCAACATGGAGTTGAGGCAGGCTCATATTTTATTTATGTAAGACCAAGAAAAAGAAGAAGATGCAAGATGGATGGAGAGCAAAGTTATGATTAAGTCTGCACATTTTATTTCCTAGCATAAAACGGCTTTAAATATAAAACAAGTGCATATTGCAGCATGAAGTGAAGTGCATTACATACTGAAACCATTGTTGCAGTTCTGAATGTTGTGTGCATATAATAATGCATGCAATAAGCTTTTTTTATTGTTCTTCACCATATTCATTGACTGATTAGACAATGGATTATGTACAATATTATTACAGGGTGAAACCCTATAATAATAGGACAGACAGACGAATTTGTCCGTCTGTCTGTACGTAAGATAACGGGAGAACGGATCGAGATTATCGAGAGCGGTTTGCGGCATCATACATTTGACCCCAGGGGGGATCCTATCAACTTTTGGGGTCAATCGGACCACCCCCCTCGAGGTCAGGGGGTGTGGTCACATATTTTCAGGGGAATTACTGGTTTCACCCTATTGCTGCATTTCATTGCCTACGGTTTATTGAGGACGATCTACACGAATCTTGGGGCAACTCGTGTCTATGTATGCATACAAATACAAGCATTGTTTAAGTTTTGTCTTTGTTTCCTGTGAATAGAGACTTATATAAGAGGACAAGATTTCTTTTACAACTTTTTCTATTATCTAACACGCATATTGCATAAATATTGTAGACAAATAACAAATATAGGAAGAGAGGGATCCGTAGTTTCTCTGAATCAATAATTGCTACATATTTGATTCCATTATATAAGTGTGTATATTTGCAATGTGCATCCACCGGTACTTGAACTGCAAAATGTAACTGGTCTTCCATCACATGTTGTGTAAATGTAAATCACGCTTTATATAATGGGAACATAAGAGAGTTCAAATGTTTAAACTATGAAATGCATTGTCCAGTACAATGGAGTTATATAACACTTTGCTTGCGTGTTGACTTCCCTCGCGAAATAATACAATAAACACGGCCTGCTTTTTTTAAACTCATACATACCGAGAACACCTGTCAACTTTGTGTTGGCTTACTGATCGACAAGCTACTAAAATACAATACCTCACACTAGATCAGGAAGAGACGATGAGTGGTCAATGAAGCGAAATGCATGCACAAAGCATGTCCCACAACGTGATCTTTCAGACAACAAATGCTGTTCAGTATGTGATGTGAGGTATTTGCAGTCTTACAGATAAGTCACTCTTTTCGATAAACAATACAAACTGGTGACCGGACACATGTATTCTTCACGTGCTACCCAAGTGTTTTGTAGTCCCATTACTTACTTATAATCCATCTGCAACAAAAAATGCTGCCTCTACAATTACTGTCTTTATGCCACATTCATTTTGTATGCATTTTTATACTCGAGCATTATTGCAGTGTTGACTTTGACACATCGATTTTATACTCTCACAACTTGATTTAGGTTCAATTAGCTTGTTTTTTAGTCAATTGGTGGGAATGGGCTCTACCAGGAATTTACCGTTTTTTACCCAAACTGCGTATATTCATAGATATCCATCCATAGTACATATGTACCCATGCCAAAATTATCCAAACGTGCATATGTACTAACTTATCTCCCCACATCATCCATTAGATTGATTGATGGGAGATGATGATGATAGCTTCTAAGCTCTATTTCGAACCATGCGATGTAGATACATAAATAGTTGACAAAGTAGTATCTGTATGTTCAGCGGAAAGTAGGTCACCCTCACAACAGGTCGTTGCACCTTTAGCGTTGTATACGCCACAACTTACAACTCCCATCCATAACCCTATCTAACATCAATCAATACAGCGAGACATATCGTAGACAAACTATATACGATATATTCGCAAGTTGCGAATCGCAACCGCAAAACCCGAAGAGAATTCATTGTGATATACTCGCAACTACACTAAATGCGAATTGAAAGGTAAATACAAGTCCATCCATCCATCCATCCATTCATCCATTAGTGGATAAGGTGGATTCACAAGGAGTTAAGAGCAGCTCTGTTGGGAAAGGTTTGGGTTGCATTCACCGTATATTGCAAATATATTTTATTCGCACTCTCTATGGTGTTGGCATGTTGGATATGCTGTTGAGGCAGGTCAGGAGCCACAAATATAGTAAGAAGTGGCGTATTACTTTCTGCAAATTCGCCGTTCGTGACACATATATTTACATGACTCTCGGCAGCGTTATTTATGTTAACCTAAATCCTTACGCGTTGTGCCCATCTGTAAAAAAAGTATGATTTGGACAATGAATCTCTTCTCTTTTTAACCACCGTGAGTGAATTGAGAAGTTCCCCTTTTTCTTACATATCTAACTTCTTAGAGTTTTACCGGTTTGATTGAGCTGTGCTTTACTCCTTTTTTAGAGCAGAATTTAGGATTTAGAAGTCTCTTCTTTAATTCTTTTTATTATACGACAAAGATGTTGTGTGAAATGAACATTTGATGATTTTGTTACAAAGAAATATAAAGCAGCTGCTCACAAGCTCGTAAATCATCACGACTTGTGCATAAGTCCTATGAAGCAAAGAAATTTAATAGCTGGCAAGTTTTAAGACTTTCTACCTACAATTGTATGATTTATTATTATTGCTTTATTTCCAATGAGTGATCTTTCATAATAACGTGTCAAAAAAGCATAAATATATGCATGAGGTTTCTGAGTGGTTTTCATCATTGTGGATGCAACTTTAGTGGTGGGAATTACAGGAAAATGCACTAGAAACAGATAAATCCAAGTGCAACGTCAATTATTTATATGCACATTATCCTCTCTAATTGGCTTTGAAATTGCATTCGAAAAAGCATCGCCCGAATATTTGGAGGCCAAAAAACCTGTAAAAATGGAGTGATAAAATTCCACAAAAAAAGTTATGTACTGCGGTTGCAAAAAACCGTAGTTCTTCTTCACTCACACTATGAAAAAAAAATGATTCAAGAAAGATTAGCACCACAATTGACATGCAGCAGAAGCAGCAGGCAAGCAGTTAAAACTGGTGGTTTTATGGTTATGATGTGACATGCGAGAACTTGCAATGACTGATAAAGTGCATCGGTCGCATACAGGATGATAACTCACGATGTACAAACGATGATGATGTACTCTTCTTCACTAACATAACAAAATAATCAATGGTTTGATAACAACATGTACAAATTCAGAGTTGCTGTACAACTTGCTTATCAAAGTGTATTCATAATTTCTCATTCAACATTTTGCAAACTGTGGTACTGTGTGCAAAATACGTGATTCAGTTGCAATATCATAAAAGTGTTGCGTTTGCATAACATGTTTTTTAGGAATGATGATTTGCGTATCAACAATTACTTGAAACTATATCTGATCTCATTCAAATGTCCGTTAAGGTCATTCCGGTCAAATGTTCAAGTGTTGAAGTACGTGCAAATTTTCAAGTGTCGAAAATTTTTCCACAAAATGAAATAATGGCACTCTCATATTCTGGGAAATCTGTTTTTTAGCGGAAAGTGTTGACGTTTGGATTATGGGTTTCATTACGTAAGTCAGTTGTTGTTCAGCCATTGGACAATCGAGCCCATCCCACATTCGTAAAGTAAATATATTGCGTAATCTTTGTCTGGCAGTAGCTGGAGTTATAAATGAATAAATTCATTCATGATGATGATTATGAAGAGTGTGTACCTGATATGATAAGTGGTGGGTGACGGTTAATTGTTGTCATTCGTCATGATGATGATCAATGAGCCCGATCATTCTTTATGCATCTTTTGGTCACATTTTCGGGGTCGAACAGTAGATTTGGAATAAATTCTTCTCCTTATGATGTGTTATGATGCTAGTTTTTAAAAGTACCTGAAAAATTCTGTATGAATTCAGTAAGTCGTTCAATGGGTGAACTTATTTCATTTAAATGTAAATCTGTAGCATATTCAGGTGGATTCGTGCACCAATTTCGACTCTAATTGTTGTTTGTCTCAGTCCCAGACGGGTACGTCTAGTTATTGATTAGAAGATGGATAACACGTATAACTACATAGCTCAGCTTACATCAATTTCTCGGAAAGCATCCTCGTTAACGAATGAAGATGGATTTCATCGATAGTTCAAAACAAGTTACGATTACCTATTTACGGTTGCTCAATTATCATGTTTGCAAAATAAAACATTCCTAAAATACGCGATTAAAACTGCGGATAAACTTTGTTTTTGTTTTTAATAATTTTATAGTCGTGATTTTGGTTGGATTATTTTTTTAAATGTTTTTTTCTGGTGTGCGTGAACTGCCGTGAACATAAATGATAATTTGGTTTAACATCATTATTAGGGAATAGCGTAGCGTGAACATCAAAATACCATTAGACTATGGTTATATAAGCTAAATGTTTAATAATGTAAAAAAACGCCTCTGCTAAATGAGTTGTAAGTATGTATGAATTTATGGGTACATTACATCTCATCTCACATCTATAAAAATGCACTACTTGTTATTTTACATTATATAAAACTACCCTGTGCATGATAAGCAATTATCATTTTATAATGTGCCCGTAAAATAGATAAAATATGTATATTAAGGTGATTCCATAGTTTAATTTTACATCGTCACTCCGTAATATATAATTTTTAACTCTGCTGTCCAATGGGATGATGCATGGATTCAGGAATGCAGAATTTGACGAGTACAAAAGTACCTGAAATTTCCCTTTCCCCTGAAAATACTAGTAATCTTTTTATATACTTAATTTTCTCAAAAATGTTGTTCTAGGTCATTTCTGCTACAAAGTTGTACCAAAGGGTAAGTACATAGATAGATAGATAAACTAGTCGAACTATCGCATCGTCATTGGCCAGTTTGCTTAACTAAATAATCTATCTATTCGCCCATAAACTGACCTTTGCAACCAAGTACTCCTTATCCATCCAAGACATCAAACAAAACAACAACAATAACCTGTTTCTTTAAAACCGTCTCGTTCTTCAGTTGAGGATGAAACTGTCTGAAAGCTTGGTGATTGAATTTAGCAAAAAGAATCTCCTTTTAAGTCCGGAATGTCTATGCAGAAGGTAACCAAATTTTGTGTAGCCACCCTTCTTGAGATTTTGCTGTTTCTCTATATCGTTAATGGGCATTTGAAATAGCTTCCTGGTTCAATTGTTGTCGCAATAGGTGAACATTTATTCACTGGACAGGAGAAGAAACCCCTTTCAAACAATTTTATTGATTTATTCCTCCAAGTCATCTCAATTTCCCTCAGAGATGTCAAAATTAAGTACTTGCTGGGATTGGTGCTATCGATTTATCAGGTACCTCCCTCTCTTTCTCTGTGATTTCAGTGCAGAAATACGCAGAAATAGAGGAAGTCAGTCGAAATGAAGAAAAACTTTTCTAATAATATAACCTCCTTTTGTTACTACAACAGGTACAGGAAACATAATAGACAAAAAAGTCGGTCAAACAGGTGCGTTTCAGCACTGAAACATGGTCATTGTGGTTACAGAAAAAAAATCGAATTTCTGAAATTATCCTGCTTCTAATTATCCCGCAAAATAAATCAATTTGCAAAATGCCATCTCGCCTTTATGTCAATCATTTCTTGGTTATAGAATAGTGATGACCTGCCTCAACACGACATACAAAGTAGGACGAAATGACTCTGATCATGCATTTAGCAGCAAAATGCGTGATAGCACAAATACAAAGTATGGTGAGACAAATGCTGCTTCTACCTCAATCATCTACCGTTATAGGCGCACACAAAGAGCGACTTCCTCACCTTAGTAGAAATTCAATTGCATTCGAGTTTCATTTTTAGAGAATGCAAAAGAACAATTATCATTGTGTGGTGCAACACAGGATGGGACATGATACATACATTTGTCTGCATAGATATCCATACGCACATACAGTTTTGTACTACATTAGTCGTCCCCCAAAGTGCTGAGACATGCAAAAAAACTACCCTAACCAGTGACAATTAGACCATCAAAATATACACGATGCTACATATTCAGTCAAGATAAGAAGCACGTTAAATAAGTCGACCGACTACTCTGCCAACCAGCTAGAGGCACCACTACCTCGGTCAATGGCTTCTTGGTTGGCGATAGCTGTTTGTACGATGTAGTTCGTTCCGTTTGCGAAATTGGAAGCGACGACGAGTGTAGATTGTGCAAAAATAAAGAGCAATAAGAATCATGTAGTCGTAGGGTATGGTAGGGATGCGAATATACATGTATGCACTTATATAAGTAAGTTAACTGTCGGTCGGGTATACTTTTGTCAACCGTATTTAACTGTATGGATGGGATATAATAATAAAGGGTTGGCGAATTGTTGTGCAAACTTTTCACGATTCATTCGTACGTATATGTAGATAGATATGCATGTGGTTTGGTTATACTCGTCGTTTTGCACAGGTTTTCTTCATGTTGGAGGAAGAACTAACCTTAGCCAAGGGTGAATCCAAGGATGCTGCGAAATAGGGATATCAAAATCGCACTATTACCTCCACTTTTAACAATGTAGGGGTAAATTGTTATTGCGATACTTTATCCTGTGTATATAATAAACCATTATTTTCTACCAGTTGTAGTGTGACATTTTATGTTTCCGTAAACATTAACCCATGCAGTTTGTGCAGCCCGGAATGAAATTGTTGCATGTACGAGTGGCCCGAATTTCGCCAAGTCAGTATACTCGAACGAACCCAATAACACTTTTTTTTATCAGACATTGTATGAACAGCTTTAAGGCTAGTAGGCAATGTATATTTGTTTAATATATTTTGTCATATTTTTTATTACGACATGGCAAAAATGCTTTGAATATTTTTTTATGCGGATAAATATACATGATATACGGAGGTAGAAGAGGTATAAAAAAGTAGTCGGTTCGGTCGGTGCATTAAATGGATGGATGGTTGGTCATGTAGATTATACGAATCCTGTTGCGAATCTGCAAAACCAATGGACACAGACCTGAGTTAACATTTACTGAGTAAACCCTTCTCTCTCGTCGGTCGACATACTATTTTAAACTGCGTGCACTTGTATAAGTATGTACAAATGTATATGTGCTTTCCTCAATTTTATCTCACATTCACATTCATTTAAGCGAGAGGGGATGTGTGTAGTCGGTCCCGTAGCCAGTTATCAACTACAGTTCATGGTGATAAACCAGGGCAAGGTGCAAAAAATTACGGAAATGGCCCCGTATTTTCGTTCAATTCAGAGATTCGCATTTCTTTGTGCATGAAATTGAAAGAACTCGTCGAGTTGTGTTAGTGAAACAGATTTCTAGTCAAAGGATCAGAAATTTTAGTGGTTTTAGTGAATTAAGTGAATTTAGTGAATTTAGTGAATTAAAAAAAAGACTAAAATTTTAAAGTTTTTGTAAAAATAGAAATTATTCAAGTTAAATTTTAAGTGATATTGTGAAAGTCGGATTATTTATTAACTCTATGCAATTCCGACTTTGATTGTGACACTTCCTTTTGGAGTGAACGGAAGGGAAAAAGTGAGGTGGTAGTGGTGAGCGAGGCGTTCCTTCTGAGTAAAAGTAATTTCCAGCACCAGACACAAACTTTGTAAGTAACTGTTGAATTTTACATGAGGCATAAAGTGTCGACGCGTTCTTTAAGGACATGCTATAATTACATTTACCTAGCACGAGACATGATTAAATATTTGTTAGTCAAATGTCACTGCTACTAAATAAATAGTCAATTTGTAAATGCAAAAATTAGGTGAAAGTGTACGTGAAAGTCTGTCTCGTCCACTGTTCACGACTCTTTTTTTATGTATATTTAGGATGACCGATAACAGTTGTTGTTACGACCGAATTGGAAATTTCCATTAGCCTCAAATTCCCAAAAATTAAAAGCATCGCTCTTCTTTAGCTTTGTCAGTTAAAACTTATCACCTTGATTGATTGATTAAAAGTTTTAAACTTTGTCTTCATGTCTGATGCTGTCTGATGCAAACTGGTTTATTTTTAGTAATTGAATCTTACTTTATTAACGAGAGTTCAAGTGCAATCAAACTTTGAATTTCCGAAAAAAACAACTGCATCAATCACAATCACCACATTTGAGGTTTTCCACATGGATAAGATCACCCAATGCGAGATTATCGAATTACACAACATTTCAACAAAACTACTCAGTGCACATTGAATCCTTTCTGGATATCCCCATGGGACAAACCAGACTGTCAAATCCATACATGCTACAAACTCAACCGTGGTTTTCAGTTCACTCCAGACAGAAAGGTGCAGCTCTCCTGCAAACATTTTATGCAACAATGTAAAATCATTCCGTGTTTGGAGAACACAAAACAACAAGTTACGACCTAACCGGTTTTATACCCTCAGGAATTTGATGATGAAATGTCACGAAACTTTCGGAAGGTCATCATGCAATCGGTACTCTCGCAATTCTAAATTTTAATGCGTTGTACATTTCCACTTAATCTAAAATGATGGTAGCGAATTATTTCCAAATCCTGTTTACACAAGCTTGGGCCTCGCCAAGTTCATGGGGACAATTGTCTCCTGTTCGTTTCAAACATACATTATTTTGCACTATATATTCCATTGTTAGAACAGCTGCATGTTGTCGTGTCACTCTGCCGTAGTTTTCCTTTCCACCAATCGAAATTAAATTGTCCCAAGCAATCCCGATAAAAGGGGTTACATAAAAGGGTTATATGCAATACTTTGGCAAATATCGTCACATTTATACAGTGAGTTCAGTCAATCCCCTGTTTTTAGATCCGTACATAAGTACGTACATACGTACATGTAACAGCAAAATTGACGAATGTTGTACAAAACAACTCGAATTAATGGTTTGAAGTGATTCTGACGCCTAACCGGTCTACATATATATTCGATTTGTACATACATACACAAAGTTTGGCCCACAACAGTTATATATGTAGGTAACGATAATAAGTTACGTAAACGAAACTTCTCCTCGCCCCATGGATGCAGGGCGAACTTGGCATTCCACTCATCACACGGACATTATTCTTCTCCACGGTGTGAATCATGTACAAATTATTAATCCAGACATCAGACCAGCATAACATAACACCAACCTGCCACATACGCGCCATTTCGTTGTTATATAACATGACCCAACATTTTATTTTATACGTACTACTTCCATCCAACATCCACGTTAGACTCTCGTGGGATCGAATGATTGGAAGGAAAATCCTCTCCACGATGCGATTACACAACCAAACCAACACATACAGATATTCGCATTCATGGAAGCGTGTTACGTATACGTACCATGCAGAGAGCTCGGGCTAAAAATGGGGAAAGTGTATTAGCTAAGCGGACCGAGTTACGTATGTCGTGAAGCAGTTATGCAAATTTTGTATGGTTAAATAACTCAAACACGCCCAATTAATAATGGGTTACAGCATATTATTTTAGTATTTACCACAAAAATCAATGCGCCTTCTCTCGTCGTGACCTTGTTGTGGCGATGAACCTGACCTAAGACAATTGGCTGGTGGTGGTCTAGGTAGTTACATGCACACTTAATGAGGAGAAATATCATAGTTTATGCCTACTAGGAGCTAGCTAGCTAGATAGCTATCTGGTTATGTAACGCATGCCTCGTAACCTGATTTTATGTCGACAAATATATACCTATCTACATACATATGCACTTCTCATCTTGTGGATGGAATAATGTGAATGGTGTGAGGAAGATGGGAAAAATTATTTATTTATGCCTACAAATTCAGTGTACTTATTTATTATGCAGACTAAAATTGAAATGCAAATCCTCAAACTCAAAATTTATATAAGACCCAATTTATTTTTAATGTTTCTTCCCTTCCCCTCTACAGCAGTTAACTTTGATGATCACATGCAAGACACCGTCTCCCACATCGATCGCGACTTTGAGAAGAAGAAGAAAGTGTTGTAAGCCGACAAGCAGCTAAATAATAAGCACACAACCCACACATAAATAATTTCATGTTTCATCTCATCCTCAAAAAGTGCATGCGGCCGAGGCCACGACTTTCCTTCTTCGTTATCCTGCAAAAGGAGAAGAAGAGCACTAGATAAACGACCTACCCCAACAACCTACATACTAATCCAGCTCTAACCAAGCGAGAAAAAAAACCACCAAGAAAAAAAGGAATGCATAAACCCTCCTTCCTTTGAAAGTAACCCGCATTTTTCTTTACTACCGTCTTAAAAGTGAATGTCAAATATAGTTCCAATTATCGGGGAGACTGCTCTACCTCCTCCCTAAACTTACTTTCACACAGGCTGACCTTTCTCACACAAGAAGAAGGTGAAGTCTGCCAGAGATAAAGATCCATTATTATTTTGCACAGGTTGCAGTTATTATGGTGCGCAAAGAAGAAAAGTGCTTCGATTGAAATATCTGTAACTTCTACCTACCAACCAACATACAGTCCTCCTTATCTTTATAGCAGCAGAAGCAGAGAGTACCCAACCACCCAACGAACCAACTTCGTCTCACGTTTTACCTACATAGCAGCAGAGCCAGCAGACTTGGGAAATTTTGCAGTGAGAAGAACTCGCTAGGCATACGCTGTAACTGACTGAGGAGAGCGAGCGAAGGAGTTATGGCGTTAAACCGGCGGCCGACCATAACCAACCTCAATGTGAACTTCGTTCTCTCATTCGCGAATTTCTCCTCGGAGAGTTCACTCCTTCAGTAGTGTGCACGCTACCATTATTCGTATCGTACTGTTAAAAAAGATTCTCACTCACTCAAGTGTGCTGGTGCTTCTTGGTGGTAATGAGTCCATGTAGTTAAGTAGTAAGTGGAACTTTCTGTTCGTTGAGTTGTTGGTAGTTAGTGTGGCGAAAAGTGGTAGTAAAATATGTAAGAAATTACATTTGTGAGTCACTTTGACGGCCGACCCTGAGACTAAAAAACGTGGTGTGCAGAGGTATTTAGTAGACCGGTGTGTGTAGTACTGTGTGAGACTACCGGTCACTGGAGGAAAGTGCACGATACATTGTACACTTCCGTGATGAGGATAACTTGCAGTTGTGAAGAGCTTTCACTTTGTAGCAAAAAATTATTATCAAGTAAATGTGAGTGGAAGTTGTTTGGATTTTCCATCTAAACTTCGAGTCCTATTCAACTAGCATGATTTGCTACCAAACGCATATGGGGCCACCACAAACATGTTCTGTTACCGTCGGAGGAGTTATCTGCCCAGAGTTATCTACCAAGGTAAGTTTTTGTGAGATTCAAAATTTCTTTGGGGGAGTTTTCTTGACTTTTTTTGGGGTACCTTTTTTTGTTCTTCCTGTAAAACCTGCATGGCTGACCTAGGTTTACTTTCATTATTATTCTGGGGACATATTGCTGAAAATTGTTTTTTAAATTTAGCTTTCACCTAACCCTGATACCTAAAATGTACACATACAAAATCAATAATCAATCTAGTCAACCCCTCATTATTGCTTATTGTAGTCAAGTCGAATGCGTCACGAACAGACTAAAACACATTTTAATTGAGTAACGTATTTTCTGAAAAAAGAAAGTTCATTTTTTCAGCAAAGTGCATATGCAGTTTAGTCGGCCAAATACACAATTGCAATTTTTATTACATTAAATAATTTGCAAAGGTTTGTCACACTTATAATTATCGCACTTGGCAAAAAAATGGCAAAAATTATTCTACCTACTTTCTCCATACGTTGCATACGCGTACATGCATTAACCTAGTACCACATTCAAACGTGACGCCTTAAATTACATAATCTACCAGACCTTACACAACATAAAATGAACATGCCCTGCTATCTACTCTGTACCTTTTACACTTAAAATACTGCAATTTTACCCGGAATTAAAAACCGAATTACAAACAGAGTGCAATACCTAGTTAGTTTAAAGACGTGCTAAAAATAATCGTCTAGTAGTGAATTTCATCTCTGACTTGGCTTGACTTTGACAAAAAATGTTCAAGTTGTTCTCTTATTGTGCTTGCAATTTACGTCGCATCGAATTACACAACAAGTTGCAGACTAAAATCCGGTCCGGTAAAAACTAGTTACATTTTTTTCAGATGATTGTAAAAAATTATTTTAATACAGATGGTCAATGCCTTTAAGAATCAGGATGTGTGTGCAGTATTAATACAAGTTTTTGTCACTAATAGTGCCCCCCATTAATAACCGGACATCGCCTTTTGACTATCGTAACCACAATATTGCTTTCATTCTTCTTGGTCTTTGTAACGTTACAAATAAGTATGAATATCATTTTTTAAATTGAAACAGCAGATGACGTTTTGTATGTACTTACAAAAAACTGTCGCTGTACTGTTAAATGAAAACCGTATCGAAATAATTTAAAAAGCTGTTTCTTCTACACAAAGAAATTGAATACCAAGTTGCTGATTTCTTTTACTAATTTGACATTTATTGAGTAGAATATGATATGAAAACATTGTTACAAAATAATGTGACATGTACTAAAAAAAGTCGTTTTCTAAAAATAGCACTAGTTAGTTGTATACATATTATACTGTTACCGTGAAGCTTTTTTTAGACCTTGGTTGTTGGTACCCGACAGACGACGACTAGATATTTGACGAGATGACTGAAAGACATTTTATTTCCACCTTGTTTTGTTCCACCTCACTTTACAAAGTAGTTTTTTTGCTGAATCACAGCCCATTAACCATCAATTGTATATAACTTTACTGCCGCGCCTGGCTAAAGAGTCGCTGTATCGTGAGGTGCGAAGTGAATTGAAAGACCTGAGTGAAACGGGATCTTGGAGATTTGGGAATCCCAAATTGCAAGATGGTAGAAAAATTAGAACTCTATGCGTATGACCTCAACAGACAGGTACAGTAGCATCATAGAAAAAGAAGAAGATGAATTTCATGCAAATTTAACTGACATTATGATTTCCAATTTCAAACTAGATCATTTTATAAATAATTATAGGTTTATGGTATTAGGAATCAGCCATTAATCGGGTAAAAAAAATTATATCAGGTGCAATACAAATACATGAAAAACTAAAGTAAGATTGGACATGGTCAATAAATACATTAATAAATTATTGAATTCAGCGAGTTCCCGACCTAACCAAACTCAACCGTATTGCGAATTCACTACATTTTGTTGTACTAATGACTATGTCGACTTTGCTCAGCACCACTAACCTACCGTAGAGAAGAAGGTAGTAGGTCCTCTCACTTCCCGAACCCAGTCAATCCACTCCACTCGGTGTAAGGAAGCCTATGTACTCTCTCTCTCTTGGTGAAAGTAGGTCGGGTTGCATAGATACCCGGGTAGTTTTATTGGATTGCTCCCAAGTTCATTCATCCCGAGTCAGGATAATGTAAAATGTCGTGCAGAGCAACGAATGCATCTTATCGTTATTACCATTAGATGAGTCTCTTGTTCTTGGACTTCCCATCTTGGTCCACGATGCATGATGATTAGTGATTTACTTTTTACTTTGTAATTGTCTCAGTGGGAGGCAGTCTTGAGGATCTAAAGAGGGACAGAAAATAGATATAATTAGTGTCGTAACATCGGCAATTTTTTTTTGTAAATTGCTTCTCCTAAATCCATTTAAACGAGCATTGCTCCAGTTTTAATTTGCTACGTAGAAAGTATTAATTTTATTTATAAATATATAGATTTTACATGTCAGTCTTTCATCATTTTATGTCGGAAAGGTTTACGCAGACGTAAAAAAATATGGATTCGGAAGACTTTGTTATTGACAGGAGCTTAATATGAAGACATAAACACAATTTGTTTTGCAAATTGTAGGCCATCCGTACTACATCTTTGTGTGCTTAGTTAGAGTATACTCGAATTTACTTTGTATCACATGCATACATACACAGACTAATGGGTATGGTATACAAAATAACGGGATATGAGAGAACTTTAGCTCATTTTTTACTATCTGTAGCACGCAGAATTTTAAATGGTAGTCAATTTGCCTAGTCCGATAAGCATGCTCACCAACACCACCACCACCACCACCATCAGGTCAACTGTAAATGTGTTAAGGCAGGTTAGGTAACAGAATTTTTTCATATCCCCAAACTTTGGCTGGCTCCATTTTAAAACCCACACACACATTTATGTAAGCAGTAAATAAACACACAGATCAGCGTAGACATGCATTCATAATACTTATGTAGACAGTTACATAATTGCACGTTATTATATATATAATACCAATAAATAGTTATAAATCTGAGACAGACATGATAATACAATCAAATCAGAAACGTTAAGTGTTTATATTTAGCCTACACTTGAACGCACAAAAATGGCGCATTACGTTACGTACAAAGTACATACACGACGTGTACAAAGTATTATTCTGTATCATGCCTGCGTAATAAATATAATTAACATTTAACTCTACTTAATTTAACCTTTGCACCATTACGCTGCCAGTCAGCAGAAAAACACTTTTTATTCTGTTCACATTAATTCAAACGAACGTACTTGAAAGTACATGATACCCACTCGTCGTACATGCTCTTTGATCTGACAAGTTGTTATTACAAAGCTCAAAAATTGGGCGAACGTAATGTAATGTGCAGTAGAAAATATGTAGAGTCGGAGCAGCCAGCCAGTAGTAAATATGTAGTTGTGCAGTAAAATGGGGGATCGGAATTAGGCTAATCTGCCAATTGTTGGGTTTATGTAACCAGTACCAGATGCAAAACAACCCTCCTCTTTTCCCCTTTTTATTAGCATGGTCTTAAATTACACGCTTAATACTTAACAATCATCTTTCTTACATTTGCAAGACTGCTACCCCCTACTTAACGATAATTAACTCCGGAAATGACTCGTAAAACAAAAACATCCTTCTTATTCAGGAATTATTTTTCATTATTCAATATTGAACTTTTCCTAAACCTTTTTCAACCAGGATTAATTCAATTAGCCTAATTTATAAATGAAAGAAAGAAATACATATACATACGTAAGTCATTTGATTCCAGATAACTTTCTGGATACCTTTCAATGAAGTATCGACTACTATTTGCTCTATACTGTCAAACAGGAAGAAATTCGCATGCATGCGCATTTATTTATTTGCGGAATAAGAGTAGTGGAGCGAGCTTAACGACATGAAAGAGTTTGTTGAGGTAGAGTAGGAGTTGGAGGTTTCGCAAAAGTAAAAGAACTCGTGTTGGGTTAGGTAAGGTTGTCGTATATTTTGTTGGAAAAAGATGGTTGGAATGGGATACCTAATATTTTAGCATGTATGAAACTGGCTGACTATGACTGAGAACAGATAGACAAGTCAGTGTGCAGTTGGATAGGTTAGGACTTACATATTCGCTCGAGTTGAACGAACTTATCCAACTTGGATGGATATGTAATATGCGCCGTTTATACATATTTGTACATAAGCGTGTCTACTCCACTCCACTATCTGTAGACCATTTATTATTATTATGATTGCAAAGTTGTTGTTCAAAATGTATGCATATGTCGACATAAAGTAGATCTTCCTTTGTACAAGTGATGGGAAATTCTAATAGCTTTGTGGTACACTGTTTGATAAACATTGATATAAGTCGGTCTCTAGTCCATCATGTTCTTATTAATAGCAGGTTTTAATGATGTTGATACTTTGATGGGGAGTCAATCTCTTGTTGTTGATGTGTCCTTTCATACATAAAGGCGAGAAGTTCAGAAGGGGATTATTTCGCAATCAGGATATTTATGTCTGTCTGGTGTTTATTTGTTACGAGAAAAAGTTGCAGGGTAAATATGCATCTTTTTTTTTACTACATTACTACATACTCGGATGTTTACATACACATCAACAATGATAAGTTCCATAACAAATGACCACGTGACCATTCCTTGCTTACTACCCATTTCTGTGCACCTTGACTAACTATGCATGTATAACGCATGGATTTGCTAATTAAATATACTTAATCGGGTGCTGGAAAAGGTCTAGTTAATAAGATGCACCTCCTCTGACTCTTGCATTTCATTTGACACTATTGCAGCAATTAATGTGTCCTTCCTCCTGTGAGACGGCGAACCTGGGTTACGTCCACCACCTACTCCCCTCTTCTTCATCAAGCAATACTACTTCATCTAAAATTCTAAATCAGACCACCCCTAAAAATTTAGGTGACACTCAACAAACCCGAGTTTCAACCAGTCCCTACACCTTCTTTTCCATCACGGTTGAGCGATCCAGCCCTTCCCCTGAATCATCCCAAGAGGAAGGCCTCCTCCCCCACGAGTCGCGGGCATCGGTCATAAGTCCTCCACGAAAGAGTCATAAGCGTGACTCCCTCAACTTTGAGTCTCTTTGGACCCGATGCCATCAGGACAACCAGGATGGACAGGACGACAATGTGAATAAGGGCACAGACGACGACGACGACGATAACTCCATTGAACTTACGTACGTCCCATCCAAAATCCAGAAGCGATTGTCATACTCGGCCCAGAGCAAAATAAGTGCACAAGACAGCAACAACCCCTCTCAAGGCCAAGCTGCTTCAAAGAAGGACGAGGGTTGCATGCCGGAACGTTGGAATAGGATGAATAAGGTATAAACAAAATTTCATGTTTTTTATGCATTTCATAAGACCACGCCTAATTGTGTCCATAAATTTGCGTATTGTATGCATGATGCCGCCTTTTCATGTTTTATGAAAAAGTCTGACATTCAGAAGACATCAATTTCAAACTGATATCTATTCTCTAAAGATTGTATAAACAAAAGTAGAGAAAACTTGGTCCAGTTGTTTCCGTCAGATATTTGTCTTTGTCTCCCAAGTGAGAACTATACCAACTTTCATTATCAGAATCAAAAGTGTGTAAGCCCCGAGTGGTTTCTGAAAGCTGGCATTATTCCCTGAAAATGTGTGTCTCAAATACAAATGTGACACGTTACGTAAAGTTGGCATTATACTATGTAATACCACTCAAAGGCCGAAACCAAGTCGAGTGCCAAGTCTCAATTTTGCGCTGGATGACTAGTCGTCTTTTGCTGGAATATGTAATAATGTGTAGCAATCGACGACATGATAACATCATAATTCATCATACATAACAGCGTTATATAAGTTAGCAGACGTATATACGTTGCATAAGTAAGTATATCAAGTGAAGATGATGCTATACCCCCAAAAAAATCAAGTCTCGTAATAATAAAGTTGTACTTTATTCGCCGTGTCTGTGCAGTGCATCCATGCTTGAGTCATGAAATCTATAAAAATACTGAGCAAACGAGATTATGCAAGAGTGTTAATTGTTTTGGTCTTCTCAACAACAACATCTGTTACCCAACGAATAATATAAAACGCGACACCCTGTGTGGCATGGCATTTGTCTTTACATAAGTGGAATGAGGGAGTGGGACAGTGATGTGATCATGATGAGCATCATCAGACTAACCATGTATCATCACCGCTCACAATCTCAGTTCATTGCCTAGTCAATTAAACGATGTACTTAAATAAAAATCAATTATTTACACTAAAATTTTCCAGTTCCAGGATAAAATAAAAGAAAAAAAGACTTATGAGACATGCCATGAATTAAATGAAAACACAAATTGAGAGCCTACACAAGTTCAAAACAATCGTTCAGGACAATAACGCTTACATACTTTTAAATGTCGAAATCGATATCCAATCAGTTTCGTAATCTGTTATTTTCCATGTTTTATAATTCCCTACCGTGTGCTTATTGAAATGGTTTAAATTTATACCCATTTTCATTCAGAGAAAGCTTCAAGTGCTTCATAATCCTTCAGCCAGGACATTATATAACGTGCTATACTTTATTAATAATTCAACCCGTAATCGATGCGTTACATAAAACTGATAAACTTGGCATTGCAATTCACTCGAACATACATAATTGTACTAAATCTGCCTGGTTCCAGTTTACTTAGCTGTGATAGCTTACATACCACGGGCTAACTAAACCACTTATGTATGAAAAACACATATTTGAAATAATAATTTCTTTCCATTATTGCATCCTGTTTTCAAATCCATCCGAATTGCAGTCTGAAGGTTAACCGGTTTATAAATTTGGATCCTCATTTTCTTTCATATAAACACACATCAAATAGAAAAAAAACTATCCTTACATAAGAATGAATAATGGCGAAACATTTTTTGCGGGGAAAAGTTCCCTAAACCTCTCTCTTTATACATAAGCTTCTCAGTCAGTTCTTATTGTTATGCATGCATGCATGCAGACGGAGAGGGAGAGCTACATATTGCCTAATACCTATATATTGTACATATATATATCATACATCTATAACCACAAGTTCATTGAGGTTGAGGTCTCATAGCCTTTTAAAGTACAGACTACTGCCCCATAGTATGCAACGTAGTTTATGTAAAATGTTGTTTTTCGACGCTTTATACCATCTACATTGTGTGTGTGGGTTCGTTCGTGAATTGAATGGACTGCACTACACGAAAGCTACTAGAGAGCAAGTGCGAGCAGACATTCGGATGATGATGATGATGATACAACGAGTAGAGAGAGAGGATGGCATAGTGGAGAGGTTAGCTTATTGCGTATTTTCAAGGTGTTATATATGCCGATTTTTTTACGGTTACATAAGAGAGTAAAACCAGAAATTCTTCTCGTTAGGTAACGAAAAGTGCTGGGGCTATGTCTGACTGGGAGTCTGAACAACAACAATTTCTGTTATGCAGCAGCTCTTTCCCTCTGTTTACTTAAGATGGGAACGGTGACAAGTTAAATGATTTAATAATGGTTGGTGATATGTCTCTATATGCGGGTTGTATGGGGTATTACCCCAACAAAGTTCTTCGAAATTTGGACTTGTTAAATTATCAATAACAAGGTTGCCGCTTTACAAGTAAACATCAATTATCAACCATCAGTTAAGTAATGAAATAGGCGAGGCTTTACTTAACCCAGGCAATATGACTAATGACCAAAAAATCCTACTTACTTTGCAAGCAAATTAAGATAAATACATAAGTATATATGTGGCGGAAATAATTGAAAGGCTTGTCTTGAAAGAGATGCTTTTACCCTGATTTATATATTTATTTAGTCTTTTCTTTGCTAACAAAGAAAGTGAGTTCATAAGGTACATTAAAGAAAATAGTAGCGGTGGCATTAGAGACACGTCGTCGTTGTAATTTGTAAACTCTACAAGTACTTTTAATGATGATGATGATTTCTATACAAAATTCCGTTTAATTTGCCGTTAATTGCATGAGCTTTAAATAGTTTGGGATGAAGGGAATTTTAAGAGGTAAAGTTGAATTGCTAGAATTGTGACACATTGAAATTTACGCAAAGAATGTTTACGCTTCGCTTGAAGTAACCTTTGTGCAAGGTTATTTATCAAAAACAGATTTTTTCAATGAAAAATTTTACCAATCATAGATATATGCATACTACTAGATAAATACCCAAAATAATCCATCGCCACACTCTTTACTTTCACCATTGATTTATTACACAAACTAAATTATTGCCAGACTGCGGTAAACAAATGAAAATTTGATGACCATTTCCCACGTCATTAATCTTCTTGAGTAACATTTATTTCGGGGGAAATATATTCGTGCCAATGAACAGTTACATATCTAGTTACACACCCAAATCCAAATAATTAATTGTTACGCATTCTTCCCAATGCAATTACAGACTGGATGGATGACTTATGTAATCGGGGGATCAATACGTTACATAAAACCAGTTTTTACTAGGCTTTCCAGAAACCACTTCTAATTCTACATCCTGAAAGATGTCATTACTTAACGATACAGACTCGAGCAAGATTGCAATAAGGAATAAATTATGCTAAAAGCGACAGCTATTCACAAACTTTAAAATGTTGTATGTTGGGTACATTTTGCCATAATGAAAAGCCAGTAAAATGACGACATTCGTGGAGTCTCCAACGTGCACGATGCACACTTGTGCCAAACGAACGAGCTATCTCTGTTCAGGTGTACTGTTTAATCGCATTTAGCCAGCAGACGTTATGGATGGACTTATGTAACGGGGTTATATAACATTGCAAAATGGGGGTTTATGACATGTTCGCAAAGAAGGAGTTCCTCCTTCCACGCATATGTTGCGTAGAGCATTGCGTGGAAGTGGAAGTGCGTTAGGAAAGAAATGGTGTGCATAGAAGACGCGGCAGGTTATTGGGTTCATCATTTAAGCCTTTCCTTTTAGGTTGGTACATAGCAACCACACTGTGTAGCCTTCCACCAACGACATAAAACAACCTTCACTTTATCATTGCACGTACAAATGTACACTTGGTTCGCCATATTACCAAACTCAGCCAGATAGGGCAGGGATACGTGTAGAGGTGTGTTAAGGGTACTTATTTTTCACGTACATCACCTTCAGCCCCCTAACTGCTCAGTAACTGTAACTGGTTAAAACCAGAATTTTTTTCAGTCTCACAATTTTGACCTAATAGTTATCAAATAAACTCCATTTTCGATGCCTTACACGTAATCTACCAGTATTGGGATCAATAATCAATTGATTAAAGCAGAAAAATATAATAGGGAAATATTTCATTTAAAAGGACATAATTGGTATATCCTGTTTACAAAATATTGACGAGTTCCATTTAAATTTGAAAAACAATCTAATAAATCTTTCATCTCCGAATTGACGAATTATAAATTTTGTTTTTCCAAACTGGCAACTGACGTGTACTTAATTGCCTTATTAACTAAAAAATTCCGTATAAAGGAGATGCATAGTTTCCTATAAAGTTTCTCACGATGGGGGGCACAATTTTTGTAGGAATTTTCATAGCAGTTAGTCGTACCGGAATTCGCCGGGTCAGGGGACTTTACGGGTTTTCCACAAAACTACTACTAATTTAGTCGAGTCACAATTTTTTAAATTATAACCTACATACGAACGGATAATAATATATGGAATCCATACCAGATTAAATGTGAATACGAGTGAAGTGATACAAATCTCTGCATTTGAAAATAATATTTGTTCCTAGATATATTTTCGTTTTCAAACGATAAGCGTAAAGTAGTTAAGTTGTAAGATGAAGTACTTAAGGACAAACGTGATCGTGAAAATAGAACTAGTTTTAACATGGAAGAAAGATTTGCTCTCTGTTGTCACATTTATAATGGGCGATCTCTGCTACGGCAAAAGAAAGCGCTGGAGGATGGCTACGGAAGGCAATCCTTGAACAATTCGCTATTACGTATTGCGTCACGACTGTTGCAATTGACCAATGTGTTCAATACTGATATAAAATGTGCTATTTGATTGTGAAAGTTGTTGGAATTTCTTGATATGCATTTGTGATAAAACTCGTTCATTTTGTGGATAAAACGCTGAAGAGAAAGTTAAATGTTTAAAAATGTAGATACATAATTACGTATGTAGTCCAAATTTGTAAAGATTGAAATTCTATTCACAAAAAAAAACTGTGACAAAATTATGTCCAACTGTTAACCTCAAACGTACGTGTTGCTATCAGTTGACCTTTTAAAGGTCACTGGTAGTGACGACAAACGGCTGACAAGACGGTGATTTCTAATTCTCAATCTCACTTCGTGTCTCCGACCCTTCCTGGTGGGTCCACAATGAAGGTAAATCATGCGCATGTAGACAATTTAAATATGTGCATCAGTTCTAATACCGAATTGCTAATGATTGCAATTACGACCAGTAATTAGCATTATCCAGTAAGCTAAACTATTAATAATTAGGTTTCACATTAACCACGCCATTTTATTTATGGCCAGTCTCCTTGAACGCCATATTGGCTGTTGTGTAATATTGTGTTATGTAACGTAACTCAAAGGAGCCGAGCTTTCACTTCCCTTTCCTTATGCGATATCCACTCTCACACCCCCACGTTAGAAATTTGATGGTGAAGCCTAGCACCAAACCGTATTGCCACCATGTCTGCAATTGAATAACACTATATATCCCTCCTGTTATGTATAGTATTATACATCTGTCAATACAATCATGGCGGTCGGTAGAGGAAGGAGGTTGCATAATGATGACGATGACTTTGACCTTGTAATTCTACCGAGTCGTCTCGTTCCCATCCAAACCCATTGAACCACTTTCCCTACTTCTTTTCGGGAGGGTAGGCAGCAGACATACCAACTTTCATACAACGCAGAAATCTCTCCTCTGGCTTTCACCTTGTTGTTGTCTCCTCGTTCGTTGGACTGTTTGTTCGGGGTGCTGCTAGCTTGCTGCTACCCCTGAAAATTCATGCATGCCATGCTCATGGTAGCGGTGGCTGTAGTACGTAGCCGGCTTGACGTTAGTAATAATGTTCATTCCGCTTCGACCATTTCATATCACGCCATATCTCTTTCCGTCTCTCAATCCCATGATCATTTTTGGTGTGTTTCAGGGTGAGGAGAGGAAAGATGTGTGGACAAAGGATGACAATGCCAACAACAAGGATGTCAAAACCCAACCGAAATCCACCACCCCAGCGGCCACAAGTGGTAGTGGTACCGAAACTTCTGCAGCTAGTGCCGATGTTCATGAAATTGGAGGAGATGAGTCAACAGCCCCGGACAGTGTGATTAGTTTGGGCAGTCTCAGCGGAAGTGCTCATGTATCCGATAACAGTGAGGAGGACTCGGCTGGACACGAACGCAGGTCAGGTCAACATGAATCAGAGGAAGCATCACATGAAACTTCAGGAAATGAAGGCACCTCAAAAGAAATGTCGTCCCCTTTTCTCTTTATTGGGCCAGTTGGTGAGTGAAAGTTGAATTGTCTACTTATGCATTTATTATATGCATGTCTGTATTATGACATGAAAAACATTATATTTTAATTATGATGCTATTTTGATTAGGCAAGAAACGCCGCTGCTGCCGAGAAAAGCGCACCTCCGGTGATACCGAACCGGATGTCCTGTCCCCAGTCTCAGTCCCCACAACACCCGACCTCACCTCAACCCCCGACCCTCCCCCACTGGTCGATGACATCAGTGAGGACAGCAGTCGAAGCCGAGGTTCTGGTTCCAGTCGGGAGGGCGGACAAGAAGAAGCGTCTTTAGTCACCTCCACCCCCACCTCTGTTATTCGTAGTACTCCACGTAAACGGGGTGATGACCAACCCTTAAATCTATCTACACTGCCCGTAGATCCCCAATCACCCCAACCCCATTGTTCCTTCAGTTATCCGAGAAGAGATCAAAGACTGCGAGTGGAAACATCCGGCGATGTGGTCGAACGAGTCAGTGTGATCAATATTATTCCCAGAGAAAGACTTACGGAGGAGGCTGGAGACGAGGAGGAGGAAGGATCCCTATCCAGAAGCCCTTCCCATTACTTGCATGAACAACCACATTCCTCAGACTTGCCCGAGCTAGGGTATGAACACAGCGGTGGTGGTATTAGTGGCGGTCATCACCATTCTCCATGTGCGTCCGCTTCTGCATCCGCCGACTTCTTTACGATCTCACCAGGATCTGCCCTGAGCAGCGCAGCAGCACTTTCCCCTGGAGGACCAAGTTCATTCCAGGGGTTACTACTGGCTCAAGGCATTATTCAACAGGGTAATGGGGGTTCCTGCCAAAAGAAGAAGTTGAAGTGTCGGGATTGCGGGAAGGAATTTAGTCAACTGCGAAACTACAAGTATCACAGGTCTCGGCATGAAGGGACGCAACAATTTGCGTGTACTTGTCCCGTCTGCGGCAAAACCTTTAATGACAAGGGATACCTAAGCAGTCACCTGAAGATCCACAGGAATGAGAAGGAGTACAAGTGCGAATGGTGCGGCAAGAGTTTCAATCAACGCGTGGCATACAATATGCACATTCGAATTCATACTGGACACAAGCGTATGTACAATTTTGCATAATATATGCATCAATGTTATTCAACAGTAATTTTAACAAGCTAAAAAAAACTTAATTGCAGCACACAAATGTTCGTATTGCGCAAAGGCTTTCAGCCGCAAAATGCTCCTAAGACAGCATATCAGGACACACACTGGAGAAAGGTACATACAAACTTTCTCCTTGTTAAGTTTTATGAATTTTTATAAAGAAATTCTAATTTTCATCCGTTTTTTTTTAATTCTAGACCATACAAGTGCTCCATATGCATGAAAGCATTTGCCGACCGGAGTAATATGCTGCTACATCAGGTAATTTTTCCTTAATTTGTATAAACAACCTTATTTTAAAAAATCCAAGTATTCTAAACTGTATAATCTTAATTTTTATAGCGACTTCATTCCGGAGAAAGGCCGTATAAGTGTCACATATGCGGTAAATCTTTCTCCAAGAACCATCACCTCAAAACGCATCTCAACCATCACGCTGGAATCAAGCCGTACCAGTGCGAAAAATGCAAAGCATGCTTCAGTCAGTCCAGCAATATGAAGACGCACTTTCGAAAATGTACTGGGATTCCCAGCGCAACTGTTACAAGTGAAAGTTTCGACTCTCAACAAACTTCTGGTCCATCTGGATCTTCAGGATCTCGAAGCGGTGCAGGAATGGGTGGGAACTTGCCGTCAATCATTCCACAAAACCTTTCACCATATTCTATGGAAGAGGTGCAAGAAGCTGTTCTCCTCGAAGAACAATTGCAACAGCAACAACACCACAGACTTCGACAGCTTCAACAGCAAGGCCCGTTTATTGGACTTTCTCCCATGCAACAACAACAAATTTTGCAGGAAATGGAGCGATCATCCTTTCTCGGCCCATCACCCGGTGGACCATCCTCCTTACATTCCCCCAGCACTGCGTCATCCTCCCCTCGCTCGGGGTACCGTTCATCAACATCTACGAATTCACAAGCCTTGGGCTTCAACCTGGGTTCAATGAGTTTAAACTCACCGACAGGACTTTCCCGGTCTAGACAACCTTCTGGACTTTCTCTCATCCCATTGAGCAACCCATCACCCACATCTCTCGCCGCAGGTCATCCTTTCATTCCGCTGGAAAGTGTGAACATGGGTGGTTCATCTTCCACTGGTGGACCAACGTCTGGTACTCCGCACAATATGTCCCCCTCATCCCCATCCAGCCTCATCATGTCGTCTCCTCGACATCAAAATATTGGCGACTTGAGTCCCTCAGAATACTCACAAATTCAGTCCTTCACTCAATCCATAGCAGCCCAGCAGAGGAGTCTTTCTAACCGTTCTCGAACCATTATTCCACAGACGGTTGTCTCTCATGAACAGCAACATCAGGGATTAATTGATCAGGGTGGTGAAATGCAAAATCCAGCAGCATCATCTTCATCGGGTGGTAGGAGCAGTCATCACCATCAACTTTCTCCACACCAAATCCCCATTCCTAGAATTTCACCTGGTCGCCAATACCCACTTTCACCAAGACAATCACAGGCTCAACAGGCTCAAGAGTATTATGAGGTAATTCTACCAGCTTTGGCAATTTCTCGCTCAATGACTCAACTTAGTCCGAGACAATCACAACACTTGAGGGCAGAAATGTTAGCGGATCAGCAACATCATCAACAACAAATGGGAGGTGTATTAAGACATCAAGATCTTCATAGGATTTACAGGGTGCAAAATCCAAGACTCGATTCCAGGTAACATCACTACTGGATATACAACCATAATAAAATCCCATTTCTAAATTCTAATAATCTAATAATTCCTAATTTTGCGCCGAGTTTAGATCGCAATTTCAAGTATCTCAACAACAACAACACCAACAACAAGGACTTCTTTCGAGCCACCATCCCCTACCACCACTTCAAAGTGGAGGAACACTGCCCAGCATCGCTTCACTCACTCGAACCACGCCCACATCTCAAAATTCTCATGACACATTTCGAGATTCATTAGCTGGATCGATGGAACAAAGAATAAGGGAAGCTCAGCATGAGACTTGGAGACTCCGTGAAGCAGCAGCAGGGAGAAACAGTGGGGGTGGTGGTGGTGGTCCGAGTGACAAGTCTCCCTTCAACAAAGACGGTCAATATCGACACTGAAGAAACGACGACTTATGCGACTGGACACTCATATTATTGTTGCTATTGAATATTATCATTAGTTAAGATAAATAAGACTCTGTGAGAGAGGGGATAATCATGATTACTCATATCAGTCAGATAAGCATTCTTTTACACATAAAAATAGGAGCTTTCTCCAATCAAACCTATTTACACCCAAGAATTATCCCTACAAACCCCTCCTATACATACACCAAGAAGGTTGTTGTTAACAAGTAATAGGAAACGGTCCGTGATTTACTAGCTCAACAAAAGTCTGTTAGATTCCCTTTAGATTTTTCTTAATTTTCAAACCATACACAGTTACGAAAGCTATAAAAATATGCCCTCACTCAATCCTTCCCGTCTCCAGACCTATGTATCAGTTGCTTAGACTGGAAAGAATTACAACTTCAAAAATACAAAAAATTATTGGAATAAGAAAGCAACCTTAAATATCTTGAACCATGCAGTGAATTCAACAAAGTATTAAAGAGTTAGCCAAACCAATTTAGTCAAAATAATTGCTCAGGATGCGAGTGAATATATTATTAATTGGTAATTTACATGCTCTTAGAGCACTTTAAACAATTTACATGTAAAGAAAATTTTGAGATTTAGCATGTTATCTCATTAAATTTGTTTCCTATATTTAACTAACTATCGAGTATTTTCACAACTTTCATCCCCAAGTAAAAATAGCTAGATAAATTATTAACAGGCGATTACTAACAAAATATTACGGTGCAATGGGTACAGCCAGTTATTATCACTACGCGTTAAAAAATATCCTTGCAACACGAATTCAGAATTCATGAGAGTATGCAAATGTGTGAGTCCGATTAGTGCACATTGACCAAACTAAAAAATTGACGCTTCATAAACACCTCCTCGAGACCAATGTCAGACTTTATAAGAAAGAAGTTCACAAAATTTCCCTTATTTCTGAAATCGCTTTTCATAGTCCCCTGAATGAAAGATTGCCACTATAAAATATCACTCAATCACCCAGTAATAACAACTCCTCAGATTTAACGAGTTCACATTGACAAATCAAATCAAAGTGGTATCGTTTCAATATACGTTATTCGTTCGATAGTACAAATTCCTTGATTTACAACAAATTAGTCAATGAGTTTTGTTTTTACAAAACTCATTTTTCGAACACAAATCGCTGCTAAAAAGAAAACAAAAAGCTGATATGTTGTGATTTCTTTTGTAATGTCCCCTTATACATAAATATAATATCGAATGGACAGTACAGGTTGTTCTAAAAATATGTAACAAGAGGTCATCCAATCATACTAGCTCATACGCTTGCTATACAGACATTCAAAAAATGTTGTTCTATAGTATTTGTAATCGAGATCATGGTTTGATAATGATAAAATGTGAACGTGTGATGAACGACTTAACAACTCTCATATTTATGCTGTGAATACATAATATTTAAGTCATAAAAGTATTTATAAATACAAAATCAAGTAATTAATTATATTTAATAATTACTTTATACATAGATTTCAATAATGTTCAGAGAAAGCACTCGAAACAGAAACGTCCTTCATGATGATAGCGTGTATGTATTGCACGGATGAGTGCGTCAACTAATTATCTAATTATTATTATGTAATATGTCCTGAAAATGAATCACCTAACTAATCCAATTGTGAACGAGTGTGTAAGAATTGGTGCTCATATTTGTGGTATTTATCTAAACAATGTGGTAGTTGTGGCTGACTAAAGTAAGCATAGATATGTACTTATCATATATTATAAGAAATAGTGTGTGCTGATAAGCACAACAGGGTACGTACGTTTTGAAGGGTGGTGGTGAAAGCGTGGTGAAAGTCAGATCGAGTGATTCACTCATCCCTTGTGGTTTTTCGCCCAATTTACCTGTAAAACCCAAACCAAAAAAATGTACGTATTTATATCGTTATATAAGAAACTATTGTTACTACTTTACTTTCTAGTTTAACTATTTATAATTTGAATATTAGTAATTTATTAATTCAACTACAACATATATTATTATAATGTGATGATGGTCCTTTTTATACTTTCGAAAAAAGTGAATATTGGAAGTAAAATGATATATCAATGTCATATAATCACAAATATTTAGTGTATGTATATAAAAAAATAGGATACTTCTTGTTTCCAACCCTCAACAAACTCTTGATAAAAAAACGTGAAGTTTAATAGTATAAAAATATTTCTATACCTTTCTCTACATTTGTGACAAGACTACTACATGACACGAATTACTAACAAAAATTACTCCTACTACGAATTATATCTGAGGGAACAAAGATGATGGCTAAAACAGCACAAGACACAGTTTCTGCTTTCTTTTTTTCTTCTTCAAAAATTTCATTAGTGTCAGAGAATAATATCGCAAAGGATACAACAGGACAGTTGGAGACGGGGCCCCATGTTTTTAACCGTGTTACATTGTATACATACATAATCCGCAAAAAAAACATGAGCGTTTTTCGCTTTTACATACCTAGTTCATTTTCCACCACTAATTAACACTGTCACATATTATAACCACATTACATTAAATTGATGTTCATTGTCGTGGATAATTGGTAGAGGTCACTATTTGCGGAGGCCAAAAAAAGTTGTTGTTCACCTTTAGACTCTTGTTGGCATTTACTAGATTGTTGAATGTGAGTTAAGCAGTGGTGTACGTTATCTTTGGTGTAAAATTGTATGTTATTCGTTGCACATTGTCTTTACACAAACAAAAATTGATTTAAAATCACATAGCGAGTCACGAATTTAAAAAAAGAAAGAATAATTACGGCCAAGACAGCTGCTAGGTCTCCTACCAAATGCCAGATTATCTGCAAGCCAAAAATAAAATCGTTAATAATTCAATAAAACCAACGAATAAAATTAGTGACAAATCAACCATAAAATTTGATGGCAACAATTTTTGGAAACATTTTTTAAACGTGTGTGTATAACCAATCAAACTTATACTAATTTTGTTTAGATTCATCTTATGTAGATGTCAATTTACAGTTAACACTTATAATAATTACTAAACTATTTAGAACTTGACGTGCATACCGATATCTTTTCAATTTTCAAACTATTACAATCCTTTCATGCAAAGTGAAAGCATTATACGCTTAGAAAAGCGGCGTTCTTTCATTGTGTCCCTATATTTTTTTAAGGAATTTCTTAAAATAGTTTTTGTTGTCTATATTCCATTTTTCTAAATTTATTACCAGACTTCTTCAGTGAAGCCCATTTTTCATACCATACAAAAATATCTCGCTGTGGAAATATAAAACGTATGCAACAGCTAATTTTTTATTACGACTTATCGTCGTACCTCGATAATATATACGAACACGACCATGATATTATATTAGTATGATATCTCCTCCTCCTCTCTCCTATATAGTTTCCATATTTGTATTAGCAGCTCAAACTCAATTCAATACTAAAGGCTCAGTTAACCAATTTTAACTAAGTGATTTTTGATATTTTATTTAATTTTGCATCCACTATGTAATTATAAAATGAATGATTTTTTCAACTGAATCTACATATTGTGTAGAATGTCGTAATTATTATACACTAGACTGTTTATTGTGTAAAGTTAAAAATATTTCAATCAATCACTTGTTATATAGTAATACGAGAAATATGTGCTAAGTTGATCAACCAAGAAATGTGTTAATGTCTCTAGTATTTGTTCATTGGACATTTATGTACATACTGAAAAATTACATGATAAGAAAGAATGTTTTAGAAAGTCTATCTGTGTTGGTAATAAATCAATATGATTGTGTATTGCAAAAAATATGTAAATTATTCCTCAGCATAATTACCCATAAAAGTTGTCCCTTCTTAACCCTTAAAGACGCGTCTTGAACTAGTTTTGGGGTTCCCACTTCATAAATATTTTTCTAGAAATTAATGGGTGTGTAAAATTACAACACATTTTCCGCTTGGAACTCCCTCTTACTATCAATAGTTGATTGGCAATAGGTAACTTGCTTGAATGTGCTGCCAAATATCACCCTGGTCAAATCGGTGTCAAATTATTACTGACGCCTATGTAATTATTTGCAAGAAAATGCGAAAGTCTGCGAGAAATTTGCACTCTCACATGCCAGAAATATGCACGGCTACAGGCTAAATCAAATTCAAGGGAGATCTAACGCATAATGAGAACATGTTTTACGTAATAAAAAACTTGCTACGTGACCTGCTCACTTTTCTCGCATAATGTCAGCCAGACAATCTATAGACCTTGCTTTCTCCTCACCTGCTTTCTCCGATTTCTACTTTTGTAGCACTTGCCCACCGATAACGACTTTTTTAGATTTTAAACTTTTTAAAATTATTTTAAAATTTTGGATTTCACAACTAATTTGATACTTAATTAGGTCAGAACTTGAATTACATGTTTTATTTGTGTGAACTCTCCGACCTGGAACCTTGAAAATTCTTCTTGCTTGCGTGGATCAGTTTTGTTAGGTACCCACGTTGGAAATACTGCTGTGTAACACGTCACGTTGTAAAAATTGTATAGCACGTCACGTTGCGCAGTAATCGTATACAAAGCAGGTATATAGAACTTTTCATTGGGCATAAAATGGGTCATCGACCAGTAGCCTTGAGATACGGAGAGGATTATGCCGGCAGACAGACTAACCTAACCTAACAGATTTCAGAATGGATTTAAGGCTTGGGTGATTCATGAAATGGAAAAGGGTTGATAATTAAAAGGGCCGAGATAACGGGGAATGTAGTAATGTGTTACATAGCATGTTTCATTTTACTATGTTGCATGTGTAAATATAAAATATTTGGGGAGAGGGATTAGACCACATTTCTAAAAATAAAGTGGATAAACAGATAAATTTGAGGTAATTTAACAACTTACACGTAACATGCACATGAACATGGAATTATTGTAAGGATCTGAAGAAGGAATAAACTATTCAGAAAGCTTGCTATATTTACCATGTCCTCTGAATCCATGAATTAATTTCTTTCAAATTATGAATGAATGAATGCATTTCTTCAAATTATTATGACTTGAAAAATATCATTATATTCATTATACTCATTTTTCGAATTATTTTCTGAACATTGCATGACTCCTGCGCGAGATTAAATTCAGAAAGCCATTTCTACTCTTGATGAGATATAAAATTTGTATGTAAAGTTTATTATGCTCAAATAAACTCAAGTAAAATTAAAATCATGAATGCATGCACATACTTTCCTTTAATTGTTAGAATTTGTAAAGACCTTATCAAAGGAAGATGATAAAATTCCTTGTAGATTTAATACATTCTGTGATATGCAAATTTCTCGTCTTTCTCTCCATCTAGGCGCGTATGTGCTCATGAATATTTGTTGTTGCAAAACGTTATTGCAAAGCCGGGCGAGAAAAACAAAGAAAACAAAACATTACTTTTCCCCATTCCCAACTATAATCAATTTTTAATTAGTGGTAGCTTTAAATTAATGACACTTAAAGCCTGGTGCTGATTTGGTTGTCAGCTCAGGCATCGTGTTTTCACATTTGCTTGCCCAATTTCGACATGATTTCCTCAAATGTCGCAGGAGGACTTAACCAATTAAGTATTTGCTCATGGGACCGGCGTCAGACCATTGTCCAGAAAGTAAGAATAAAAAGAAAGATGTTTGTTTTAAGATGAATTTTAATTATCTCAAAATGAATTTGAAGGTCCGAAATGAGTTGGTCAAGCGAAATATAATGAGCTTGGACTATTTCAACGACTCCGTGGTGAAATTTAATATGAGAATCACGTCAATTTGTTGGCACCAAAAGTACCCATATTGCTTCGCAGTCGGCTCAAAACATGGGGACATTTCTGTAGGATCGTTAGACAGGAAATTGGACAACGCTGAAGATTTTGGGTCAGGATGGATTCCAAGCATTAAGCAAACTGTTAAAGGAGTTAGTAACTTCAAGTGAAAATTATGATATGCACAATTTTAAATATTTACTATAATTTAATTCAGTCGGGACCTGGGGGCTCAATCACGGATATGAAATTTGACCAAAATGAAAGAAACATTTTGTACAGAACTTCAATTGACAGCACAGTTTCGAGGATTGACTTTGAACATTCCGGAAATAGTTTGACATATATGAATCATGACAGCTACACGTAAGCGTTTAAATGCAAGTCATTTGTTAATACTTGAATATCGTTCCTTGATTGATGATAGTTCTAAATAGAAACTGGTTTACCGCAATGGACATTGACTTTCGTGCAAGAATACTGGCTGCTGGAGACAATCGTGGATATGTGCGATTTTTCAATCTCCAAGATGGAAAACTAATTGGATCACATCAGCTTCATAAGTCAAAGGTACACCACATTGAATTCTGCAAAAGGTATGCAAAATATTAGCCACTTCACACTTTAAAAATATGACAATTTGTAAAATCAACTTCTTTCCCTTTAGGGATCCAAACATAATTGTAACTGCTGGTCTTTTAAAAGAGTCTTCCGTGCGAATTTGGGATATCCGAACACTGAACTCAAAGGTTGGCCCATTGGCGACGTTGGAACACAACGCTGGCGTTAATGCTGCTCGATTCAATCCTACTGATGGAACGAAGTTGATGACAAGCGATCAAGATAGTGAAATTAGAGTGTATCCATTTCAGAGCTCGATTTTGGGAGAACCAGAACCAATAATTATCAATCAGTATCATCGACAATTTCAACATCTCACACCGTATGAATATTTAAATATTCGCATGCGTGCAAAGTCCATAATATACGTAATTAATCCATGCACATCTTTCGTTTCATTATTCGTATTAGGATTAAGGCAGAGTGGCATCCGTTGGCGGATCTGATTGTAATAGGAAAATTTCCTAAAAATTCACCTGGTGCTCCAAAAAATTCAGTGCGAAAAAGCATAGAATTGTATAATCCAGAAAATGGAGACTGTGTTGCAGAAATATTTCAACCATCTAATAAAATCGTGAGCTTAAATGTGTTTAACCCAACTGGAGAGCTGCTGGCTTCTGGAATGAGTACGGACACACATAATCTAGATTTTTTAACATATCAATTTCCGATTTAAATTTCATTTCATTTCATTCTAGGCTCCGAACTGGTTATTTGGAGGCCAACTGCTATTAGAGATATTGATGATAATTGCCAGGAAGGTGACAATGATAATCTTATCAGATGTGGAAATTCAAACCAGACTATGGGATTGTCTCAAGATGCTCGAAATCGCCTCCGAGGTAAAAATACAACTGGTACTCGTCGAGCTCGAAGGACTCGGGAATACAGCCCTGTAGATGATGATGACGACGAAAATAATGAAAATGACAAAAAGACGAAACGACCCAGGAAGGTTCCAGCATCATCCACAAAGACTAAAACGACTTCCAAGAAAAAGTAATATATTTTTTAAGGCGACCATCTTCTTTTGCTTTCAGTTCCTCCGAGACAATTCATAGGAATTGTGAACTTGCTTTCCTTTAGTACTTTACTTATCGACTGATTGTGATATTCAATAATGTTGACAATGCAAAGATGACTTTGATACGATAGAGTCAGATCTTGCATATTTAATTTTAACTGCGTAATGCAATAATGATAATAACGGTGACTGATTGATGACTTTCCCCATACTGGAATTAATTGACTTTGTGGTTCTACCGAGTACCTGCTTTGATTATACAATTTTATTACTATTATTATCCTTCATAGAACTGGTAAAAATCAGCCCTTGAGTAAATCCATAATATGTACATTATCTTATGTTCTGATCTCTGAACAATAAAAAAGCCACAAGTGACATTTAACTAGTTTAACATCTTAATAATGTTACGACGAAGGGCGTTCATCTCCTCGGATTGCTCTATATTTGGCCATTTCTGCTGGAAAAACGCTCGTCAGTTCTACGAGTAAGTGGGCTCGAAATCTTCGATAAGAGTCAATCTTTCCTCGAACCGCTTCATTTTTATTCATTGCTTTCTCCATGCAATCCTTGGTATACAACTGCGGATTTCTCCCGGAGTCAATGTAACTGCAATTATGAAATGCACCGAATTTGTACTTTACATATATATTGCTCATAACCAAACTATTTGCAAACTGTCAATACTTACTCGAATACTTCCAACGGGACGTGAACATCTTGAACTTGCGATTTCAATTTTTCAATTTCTTGCAGCCCTGATACAACGGTTTGTCTGTGTAGAAAAACAATTTACAATCATTACAGTCTATCACAATTTATAAATACGTTTTCTTCAGAAACCTTACATTTTCTGATTCAGCACATTTTGCCCTTGGGGTTGAAAATCGCTCACAATGATTTTAATTTGCCGAATGTTCTCTACAAATTGTTCCAGTGATTGTTCCAACTGCTCTAATGAAGAACTCATTGTCTGTCAGTTTGCAATTCACAAAATATTTTAATTTGAATTCTTTTCTTATTAACAAACTGCAAACACTTAATTTAACGCCTTGGTCAGAGTTGCTATACTTCGAACTAAAGTACAATGTACTTAACAAGGAATATGTATCAAGTAAAAATTAGCGTATTGTAATTTTAATTTCAGAATTTTTTGAAATTTTTTATTTAAAACAAAAATCACCTCAACCAACAGTGCAACAGCAGAGATATTATTATTTTTGCTGAATGATGACGCCGCCAAACTCGAGTTGCGGGCAGTTCTTTACATTTTCATGTGCTCAGGCAATGAAGCAATTTTCCGCTAAATTACGTTTCACTGATTTAAAATAACTTTTGTTTACTTTTTGCTCGGCTTGTTTACATTTATCGGTGAAAGTCATTCAATTATTGTGTTGACGTTCGGAGAAAGCAAGGTTGGTGGGAATATGGTAAGTATTGGATTTGTCTATGATCATATTGTGCATTATTTTATTTTGTTTTTATTTAATTTAAAAGCGAATTGGGACTAAAATTGAAGAAATATGTAAATGAAAGTGCTTATCTTCCCCCTCCCTTCTTGCCTTCCCCGACGACATAGACTACTGCTGCTTGGTAAGTTCAAAGCAAAAATAATTGATGAAGATCAAATTAAAGTTGAATGTAATTTAATCCCATGCACCTCATTTTTAGGAACATAATTACAAGAATTACACGATGCATTTACTTGTAAACACGATCAACTTGAATTTAAAACGATTGACGAAACCATCATCACTTGTTCTGCTGTTCAATGTAAACTCTCGTCGTCCACTCTATTTGTCATCCAGTTTGTTCAACAATGAAACAACGACGCCTCCCCCATCGGTTTCTGAAGATCCAGCAGGAAACAGCGTGTTCCTTAAGAAAAAATATTCAGACACGTTACTTTTGCCGAAGACTGATTTTCCTATGAAAGTAGCTCATGCAAAACGTGAGGAACATGAGAACACAATTGCTAATGTGAGTAGTAATTGTCATCCAGCCCAGCATAACGTTTGGTCTGTAAACAATTTGTACCAATTTGCAGAAACGCCAATTTGAACAATTGTACGGATTCCAAAGTCTTTGGAGGCAAGGTCAACCAGAATTTGTTTTACATGATGGTCCACCTTATGCTAACGGAGATGTGCATATAGGTCACGCGGTTAACAAAGTATATAACAAATTCTAGTAATTAAACCCCAATTAAGGTAACATTACTTATAGCTAAACACTTGTGAAATTTATCATTTCAGATTTTAAAGGATATCACAAATCGATACAAGTTGTTGCGAGGATATCAAATTAATTACATCCCTGGTTGGGACTGTCACGGCCTTCCTATTGAACTAAAGGCCACGAAAGATGGAAAACGCGGAATCCTGACGGATCCTCTTTCCATACAAACGGCTGCCAGGAAAATCGTGGATGAATCTATTGCCAAACACATTGAGGCTTTTAAACGATGGGGAATTTTGGCCGAATGGAATAGGTAATTATTGGATATTCTAATATTGGTGGCGACATTTGAAGTTAGTACAATTATGCATAATTTTTCAACTAGTACTATATTTTTGTCTTGAAAATTTTTTGGCGGAATAGCCCGTATAAAACCTTTGACAAATCATACATCAAAGCCGAGCTCCAGGCCTTTCTTCAGCTGTATGACAAAAAACTAGTGTTTCGCGATTTAAAACCTGTCTACTGGTCTCCTTCAAGCAAGTAAGGTTCTTTATTTTTTTTAAATTACAATTTGTATTTGCATTGCCACTTTAGCTAATCCTAAACGTTACCTTTTCTGCCGACAGGACCGCACTTGCCGAAGCAGAGCTAGAGTACAATCAGAAACATGAAAGTCCTTCCGTTTTCTTGTCTCTTGACCTTGAATCAACCAATATTCAAGAGTTTATTTCAAAAATTGATGCTACTACACCTACTGTGTTAGACAAAGATGCTCAAGTTCAAGTTTTAATTTGGACAACAACTCCATGGACCTTGCCATCAAACAGAGCCATCGCATTTAACAAGACTGAGAAATATTGTTTGCTCGATGCAAGACAAAGCAATAACAAAGTTTTTTACGTTGTGGCTTCAGCTCTTCGAACGCAATTTTGTGTTGCGAAGAACGCCAATTATGCCACAGTCCTTGAATTTTCAGGTATTTATCATAGATTAAATTCGTGATGAAATTAAAAAACATAATACTTTCGAATCCTATACATTGCATTGTGTCAATTTTAGGGGAACACCTTAGCAAATTGACTTACAAGCATCCTTGGTTTGAAAATGAGATTTGTCCTTTCGTCCATAGTGATCACGTTACAATGGAGAAAGGAACCGGACTTGTGCACGTTGCACCGGCTCATGGCCATGACGATTTTGTTCTTGGGCTGCAGCACAATCTCGCAATGGATTGTTACGTAGATGACCAAGGAGAATTCGACTCTACCATTCCCAAGCTAAAAGCCCTTCCTGTGTTATCGTTGGGGAATAAAGTTATAATGAAGGAATTAGCCAACAAAATTGTATGCTCCACCACAATCATCCATTCCTACCCCTACGACTGGAGAACAAAGTTGCCTGTAATCATCAAGACGAGTAAACAATGGTTCGTCCATACCGAAGATTTAAAATCAAAGGCATTGGTATGTCAAGGCAAATATATTCACTAATGTATTGTACATAGATATAAGATTAGCAATTCATATATATTTTATTGTGCATTTCAGGATTTATTGAAAAATGTGCACATTCATCCAAAGAATGTAGAGAATGGAATGCTGTCTCAATTGATTCGTCGACCCTTTTGGTGCATTTCGAGACAAAGAACATGGGGAGTCCCTATTCCCGTACTATACAACAAAGAAACTGGAGAACCCTTGATCAACAAGAAAATAGTTGATCGTTTATGCGAACTTGTGGATAAGTCCAGCAATATAGACTATTGGTGGACTTGTCCCGTCTCTGAAATAATCCCTGATGACATGGATCCTGACGACTTTACGAAAGGAAAAGTATGAACATTCTATTTATTTGCAAGTGTATATTATATATTCATTTGTTGTATATTGTATACTCTTACCAGGACATTTTCGACATTTGGTACGACAGTGGACTTTCTTGGCATCTTCTTGGTGGAAAGATTGCGGACATGTATCTTGAAGGAAAAGATCAATTTCAAGGGTGGTTTCAGTCATCACTCCTTTTGTCAACTGCTTTACGAGAGACATCTCCCTACAAGTAAGATTGAGTATCCAAATTGAACGAATGTTAATTGTTTTTCTAATTCTTATGAATCTCATTTTTTCAGAAATTTATATGTCCACGGATTCGTAGTGGATGAACATGGAAAGAAAATGTCGAAATCTATAGGGAATGTCGTGAGCCCTTGGAGCGTTGTTACTGGATGTGCTGAGCGGAATCAGCCAGCATATGGAGCTGATGTGCTCAGGTTAGTGCTGCCGAGATCGCATTTGTGTAAAAAAAACTTATTTCAAGACTGATTAATTTCTCAAAGGTGGTGGGTGGCTGCCCAAGGATCTGCGGATGGGGGTAATATCTCCGCGAGCTCTGCACTGCTCCGCTCTGCGGATGAAAGTGTTCAGAAATTGCGAAATGTCATCAAGTTTTTAATAAGTTACTGCAACGAAGCAGCGGCTGCGGATTTGAATTTAGATAACATTTCTTACGATGAACTAATGTACACGGATCAGTATATGCTAGCATTGTTAAGAGATTTTCGTAATCAGGTAAGAGTTTATCGATCGTCGATTACGAATGTAATTTTACATAACTCAATACTTCACATTAGGTTACAACGCATTATGAAGACTATAACTATCACCGGGTACTCATGAAAACTTTACACTTTGCAACATCTGAAGTTTCATCGCAATATTTTACGTGGGCAAAAGACAGGTAATTTGTTTATATAAATATTCCTCGAATTAATTTCACTGTAAATTCATGTTAAGAATTGTTTTAATTTTTTCAGGCTTTATTGTGATTTTTTGCAAAGTCAAAGTAGAAAATCTTGCATTTATGTTCTTAGTCAGATTTACTCTACACTGTCAAAAATTCTGGCTCCAGTGCTACCTTATCTAGTCGAAGAAAGCTACTCTCACTACAAATTAGGCAATCAGTCAATCTTTAAGTCCACCTGGTTTGCGGAGGAACCTTCGTGGGATAACAAAAACATAACCACAACATTCGATTTAGTATTGGATATTAGAGAATCGCTTAATCACATTATTGGTGCCAACAACCCAAAAGATCTCTGGGTAGAATTACAATGCGATGCAAAGAATTTCCAGACCTTGCAGGTACAGGAATAATCACAAGTATACTTAAATACATGTAAAACTTGGAAATACAATACTACTTTTGTATCCTAGATTTTACACCCTCTACCTGATGATGACATTGACAAATGTGATTCCGAACTCTGCGATATCCTCCAAATTTCAGGGCTTGATTTAAAGTGCTATGAAGTAGGAGAAAGCAACCCAAAAACAGATCCTTTACAACCCATTAACTTTGCCATAAAGCCGACAGGCGTTGGACACAGCCACACGGGCTATTCAGTTGGAATTTGTAAAACGAAAATGATGCAATGTGCTCGATGTAGGAGATTCTGCTGTACTCCAGGAGATGTATTGTGCACACGCTGTCTCAGTGTTATGAAAAGTATTTTACAGAAACAGTCTCAAGCAACGTCTCCAGCGCAGGTAGAAAGTTCGAAAAAGAAAGTCGTCAATATTTAGTTATTTATTAGTAGATATCATTTGAGATTACATAGCATAGTTATTTTTACTGTTAGTCCGTTTTGTTATACATACTTAAGTCACTGTATGTATATTGTTATGTTATTTTGTTTTTACCCGAAAAAAATGAGACTTGAATTAAATTGAATTGATTGACTGATTGATTGATTTTAGATACCCACTCTGGCCCTTGACCCATAGCATTATAGCATTATCACACATATTACTAGTACAAGATATACATACTCATCATCATTAGTGGTGTTAGAATTAAGCTGAATTATGACTATTTAAAAAATATTTGAATTTGACAAAACTACTTTTACTGCTACAGTAGGGCATGATTTCAACTTTTCCTTAACATTGTCATATTTCGTCATGAGTATTTGTGTCTTGGGTCGAGTCTTGGGTAGCAGAATGGCTGCGAGGATCACACATTCTTCAGCTTGACTTTCTCCGTGTAAAACTCCTACTAAAAAGTCTAATAGTGATGAGGCTTGTTGATTGATTTCACAAATTTGAAAAAACTTTTTCAAAATTTTGGAATACAACCATACAATTCCCATCCCACATTCCTTAATCGTTATATTTAAATTATTTCCAACCCGTTTCCCCATTTCTGTAAAGTCTTGCACTCCTCCATTTTCTTCCAGGATGACCAATGTCATTATAGTAAATTGGAGAATAATTCGTTCCGTAAATGTTTCGGCTGCATCAAACTGAGTTTCCAGTAGTTTTTGAAAACTTTCCAATTGGTTCACCACATTTGTAGTGGAATTACATGTCCCCTTGTTGCTTATACAAAACTTGCATCGTTCCCAGACATAGGTGCGAAGTGAAAGCTTGTTCAAGTCGTTTAAATCCCATTTTTGCTTAAGTTTCATAACCCATTTGACGAGAACAGTATATGTATTATCACTTTCTCCAACCATGAGCTTAATCTCCATCTCATTAATTTCAGCATCCTCGCCATTCGCTAAATTATTGTCAACCACACTCGAGACTAAAATGGATGGAAATCTGTACAAATTATTATGAACCAACCCCAAAACTAGCATCAGTTTGAGGAAATCTCTCCTTTCTCCAGCCGTCATGGATGAGACGGGAACTTTCTCCGGTGCGAAATACAGGGTTTGCAAGTACCAAAGTAGCGTCGGCTTACTCATTCGGCTCAAATAAGTGTAATCCGTCAAAAACAGAGTGTCATCGTTCCCCATTCTGGGGACATCTTCCTCCGCAAACTCTTTAATTATGGGGACAAATAACTTGAACATATTTTGACCCAGGTCAAATTCCACGTTGCAAATAAACTCGATAACTTTCTTCACTACAAACTCTCTAATTTTTGGGTGAACCTCATTATCCCACAAGTACAAAAGGACCTCGTGTACTTCATCCAGTTGGGAAATGTCCAGCAAAAGAGAGACGACTTTCCGTTTCACGCTAACATTATCCGCGTGGAGAAAGTTCTCCTTGACCAATTTCACTGCCTCAATTTGTGAAATGTTTCGACACGTCGAGGAAAGTGAGTCCATGCAGAAAATTGCAAAGTCTCCGATGAAAAAGTTGTTTAAAACAGAAATGCATTTTGTCGGAAGTACGACGTTTTTTATACTCTGAAGCACCACGTTTCGAACGAAGAATTTACACTGGAACTCTTCTTGACTGTTTACGTCGTAGAAAACTTGTTGAATTTTTGATGAATCCGGATAAAATAGAGACAGTGAGTTTGCAAAGTTGGCAGGTTCCCATAAAATGGAAAGTATTGTGATCGCATTGCATCTTACTTGATCCTCTTTTGAGTCGTCTTGTGCCGTTTCGAGACATGTTTCCACAATTATTGCAGAGTACTTGGAAAAGCCTAGTGTTTTTAGTGACCATAAAAATCTATTATACGGTTTTAAATCGCAAGTAATTAAAATTTGGTCGATAACGTATTCAATAAATTGGTCGTCCAAATTTTCTGGGAGTGTGAGCAAGAGAAAGTTCATTAACCTTGGCGAGACTGAAATTTTCAGCGTGTTGATATTTGCAGATAACAGTTCAGAAATGTTTGGAATGTGAGAAATATCGTCGAAATTAAGAGACTGTGGATAATCCACTAGAAATTCGATAAGTCGTGACTGTGTCCAGGGATATGTTGATAGAGAAAAGTGCTTTCTCGTCCACTTTTTCCTACGGTGCTTTAATTCCTTGAAACTTTGCGTAATAAATAACAACGCTTCGTGGATCACGTGAGGATTGAATTGTTCGATGGGAACATCAAGTGGGAACACTTTTTCTAGCATGGAGTCGTGTAATATTAAGAATTTTTCGTAATTTTCGTACGATTTTAAAATATTTGGAAGTTTTCCACCAAAAAACAAATCCATTTCTGTAGTTTTATACAGTAATCTCTCACACATATATTTCTGAGTTTCTTCATTAATTTCGATATTCATTGATAATTTTATGCCAATGATGACACTCCATAAATACGTAGCTTTGTCTGAAGGTTGACTTTGCAACAGTAATTTTTCAAGAATTTCTAATAAGCGTGTCTTATTCTCAATTGTGACTTTCTTCCAACTGCGAATCATTGAAGACTTTTTATCCAAATGATTAGTTACTTCAAATAAGAAAATATTTCTTAATTTCGGTACATTATTTTGCTTAAGATAGTTTGCAATTTGGATTAATGTAATATCTTCTGTGGCAAAACATGATTTAATTGATGACTTCAAAATAATGGGCTCATTCGTGAATAATCTATCCAATTTATTGCTGGTCATGGGTGCTTCAAAATTTTGTTGGCCCATGGTCCAAAGTAAATCTGCATGAACTTGTTCCGAATAACTTTCTCCATTCCCGTTTAAACACTGAAACACCGATTTGCTCAGCTCTTGCCTGATTTCCACGGGTATATTTGCCTTCATTACAGAACTCATGTTTATCACGTATTCTGGAAAATTTTGCATAGACTTTCCATATTTGTTGGTGAAAGCATCATTATAAATCATCCAGCGACTCTCCTTATCGGGTAAAATATTAATCCATCTCATTTCAAAATCTGGTGCAACAGTGACAAACTCTTCTATCGTCTCTGGAAGTAGATTCTCCAAAAGTTGTGTAAATTCCTCTCGAGAAAGTAATTGATTCACTGTGAAAGGATCCAGCAAAAAAGGTTCAAATATTTGTGCCTGCCCATTCAGCACGAGTCTTTTCTTGCTATTGAGATTTGAGAGAAGGGCTTTCGTTGTACGTGCCGTTGGAGAGAAATATTCAATCCACTCGACATTTCTCCAAGTCTCGAAAAACTCTACACATTTCTCGGGAGCAGTTATGCACAAATATTCCAAAGTCGCTTTACACTCCTGCAACAATAGGATTGGAGGACGTTTACAATTTAAATTGTTTCCGGCACTTGAGGAACAGGCTTTTAGAAATCTTAAAACTTGTGATAAAATCTCAAAGGCGAGATCCCCGTCTTTCTCTGCAATTTTGAGGAGTTGTCGTTTTCTGAGCTTTGAAGCAAAGTATTTGCCACTTTGTGCCTCATTTATGAAAATTTTACGTAGTGTCGCTACAGAACAGGCAGGTAGTAATGGGAGGGCTGCGTAGTCTCCAAATTTTTCACGCACCAAGCGGAAAATCTGCCCGCATTTGTCTTCATCTTTAAGGTGCGATGTGAGGTTTTTTATAATTTGTCTTCTTGTCCGGTATGACACGGTGGGTAGTACGATTTTAACCAGAGTCTTTGGTTTAGTAAGGGGCGAATCGTAGGTCATCTGAAACATCCATTTCAATTTAAGAGCTAATCCGACCAAGAGTTTATCTTCAGCTTTTAACAGCTCGAGAATGAGGAGAGGACGATGTAATCTGTTGGCGAGTTCGAGTTTAAGTCGTGCCGATGAAAAATCGCCGAGGTCGAGGGTCTCTAGAAGATCGTCCAATTCGTACTCTTCGATGGAGAGGAGTTGAATTTCTAGGACAAATTTTTGTATCTCTTTCATCTTCCAGGAGATCGATTCACTTGATCTAAACGCTTCCACGAGGGTAGCAAGTCGACCGGTTATTTCTACATGAAAAAATTCCAAAACCGAGTTTTTATATTAATTTTAATTAGTTTAAAATAAAATAACTTACCCGACATTTCTGAAATGTTTTTTCAACAAAAATTGACTCCAAGAAACTGCACTCTAGCCAGAAATATCTACTATAAATGAAAAGCAGCAGCGAGTTTGATGTCGATATTTCTGCACACAGAACTTTTTGATCAAACTAACATAGAAATTTCTAGTGCAGCATTTGCATACAAGCGACGACGTGTGTATGTAAATACAGTACGTGCACATAACCATTTGATATTTGGGTTGATTAACATTTTAACAACTTTCATGCACCAAAATACTAACAATAAGCCGGCTAGCCAGGAGCAAACCTGACATTTCATGGGAGAAGAAGAAATTGGAATGATATCATTCATATGTACACAGTTTAACAGCAATTCCCGAACCATTAATATTTTCCGTCAGCACGAAAGCAGCCAGACTCCTGCTGTACATAGATTATGTATTCTGCCTTATGCAAACTTTCTCAACTTGGGCGGATGTTGCATGATTGGCAAAACCACCTTTGCGTGAAAGTTGCCAAGAAAGTACTCAACAACATGTATTCGCTTATGTACATTCTGGTGCTAATGGTCTTCTGGAGCCGGTCATAAGAACATGAAATAATCAAACAACCTGTAATTTGACGGACTGACTTGACTTGAAATCCACTCCAACAAAATTGGCATGTTCATTTCATACAGAGTCGTATTCTCCGATGCAGTTTTTCTCAAGATGCCTGCTTAAGAAATGTTATGCAACTCGAGCACAATTGTAATGTCGTCGTCTAAAAAAAACTTAAAATGCATTCTATTCATGAATATGCCTCCAGTCGAGCGATGCACATTACATTATTGTTCCAAATGCATTCTTGATGGCTGGCATGTCTCATCATCATTGTTGAATACAACTCAAACCTGACTGGCTGCAGGGTTCATGGGCAAGTGTAACAAGGAGAGATGAGCTACGTACGTATGCTGCATTTAGTTTTAAACTCAGCAAAAACTACAAAATTCAAGGTTAAACTAAATGAGTCCCACCATGGTTCATTATACATACAACAAATATTGTGTTGCATTGTAAGTAGTAACAAGCAAGACGAAACTTTACATATAATTTAGGATCTGTATTATTGGAGTCATTTCCACACCGAGCTCAACTGGTTGCACCGAACGAAACAAGTTACATATTTTTTTTAATGGATTTCAATTTTGTATAATTTTATGAAGACTTGGATATCAGAAAATTCAATCCCGCTGCTCGTGCTGCATACATTTTGGTAAGTACAAATTTTACTTACTTTTCTTTTTGTCACGACTAATCCTAAATTGAATCACACGCCAAAGCTGTGTATGTATTTACATATGTATGCAGAATCGAGGAGTCATAATGAAAGTCAATGAAGGTGGGCGTAACAATGGGTGGATGGATTTTGTGGTCTTTAATATATCGGTATTCACCATGTCATGTAGAGCATATCTTTGTGTGCATGACATGTTTTTCAACCGAAACCTTCCATGTCATGAATTTTGACCAGGCTCGTATATACAAGTGCATATGTGTTTTTCCTGTGTAACAATAAATTCTGTTACTATACTTATCAGACTTGTGTGAATGTGTAACAAAAGCCAGGAAACTTTCAAGCTGTTACCACGAATAAAAGCATTACATTTTCGCTGGGCTGCTAGGCTGCTTACCCCTCCCTTTCATAATATTACGTGACTACAGACTTTGTGATTTCCATTATGTACGGAGTAATGGGCTTCCGATTCGTTTTAGTTTTTCCGTCTCGCTTCTCGTTTTTGCAACAAAAAGCCATTGGCATTTCAGTCAGAGAACTTGTGTGGCACTAGTCGTTCGTTGGGTGAAAGAGTGTCAGGACCGAGAACTGTTTAGTCTCGGACGGTAAGCAAGCAGTGGTTATTCGAGACGAGTTTCCTTTTACGGACATCTTTTTGAGATTACGTATCCTCAAGAGTGCATCGAGGCAGGCTGCATGAGAACCAAGTAGTTAACGAGATTACTCAGACAAAATAAGGGATTGATTCCCCTCTCATCTTTTCCCCCTGACAAATAAACAGGGTATGAGACACCCTACTACTACTCACCCGGTTTCTGTCTAGTTTCGGGAGAATCGGGGTTTCGGATAGGGAGAGAAAGGGCATTCGATAGAACAACTTTACAGACTTGTCATTCCACAGCCGGTTCCGGATCGTATCTTCTCCTTAATATCAGAGTAGGTTTAATATATTGTAAGTGCAGAGAAATAGATTTTTACTATTTAAATACACATTTGGAAAACTGCGAAACCTGAGAGGCTGAGTTAAAGAAGGTTGGGAAATATTTTGGGATAAACAATTCTAGTGTCATTAAGCTTCATTATTTACAATGTTTTGTGCAATTTGACTCGGAGCAATTTGCTAAGTGGTGCATACACCTTTCTCACTCTTTTCTCATTACAATTTCCATGCAGTTGTACAGGTTAATCTTTATTCTGCCCATTGCCCTTGATTTTGTATGTGCAACTTTTTCATGAGTCAATAAAATATTATCTCCGTCCAATCCAACTCTGCTTGTTACACGTTACACCTCAGCAGATGAGTCAGTCCAATTTGCGTACACTTCTCTGTCACAGAAAAAAAACACTTGTCTGTCACAGAAAAATATGTAATACATTCGTTGAATTATGTACTTAGGCATATTTTAATATATTGATTTATTGATTTATTCATTAGATTCCAAACGTGTGTGGGTGTCGTGACCAGCCAACACCAACCGGTGAAAGTGGGTGCTTATTACATAAAAGTGGAGCATATAAAATAGGAACGAACATAGTAATCAGTCACGGCGAAGTAGAATTTCTTTGTGAAATAATTCGACGGAAATTAAGCTATATTTCTACCAAAGGGTAATTATGGCCTTATTATTGTTCACATTGGGTTTCTGTTTGTATCATCAATCCGTACACATCTGATTTCATGAATACTTGGTCAACTATTTATTCATATTTCTATTTTGCATTTTAGCAAATCACAAAATGGGTCCACCATCCTTCAAAACTGATTTGGAGCCAATTTTCTCCAACGAATCCGAGCCATTAGGAATTAAACTTTGGAACCTTAACAAATTCACGAAAAATGCACAAAACGCCTTAGAATCCGCATCAGCTTCTGAGAAGGACGAATTTATTGCCTCCATCCCTCATGTAACTTATCTCGAGAGAAAGACACGTCTCGAATTGGCGAATATTCTGAAAAGACCGGGCCCCATTTTCGAAACGTGGAAATCCGAGGATAAATCTCTGCTTTACAATTCTCTCCATAATATTCACTGGATATTCACTGACAGTGAATGTTCACCTCTCGTCTCAAACCCTGATTTCTTGGTGAAGGATCTCTTCCCAACTTTGTCTCATTCTTGCAGAAAGAAAGTCGTGAGACAAATGGGAAAGCTGTGTCTGGAAAAAGATGTTGAAAACGTTACCACCATTTACAACAAACTCTTGGAAATTTATGGCATCAAAATTGCCAAGTATCTCCTTCCGGCCTGCAATCAGTCACTCATTGACTCCTTGATCGCAGCCAACAAAGTCAAATTGGAGCATAACCAACTTCTCGCTGTGTACAAGAAACATCCGGAAACTGGAATAAAATATTTGCAAGGACTTTACCAAGATCTCTCTCAATCCAATCCATCATCTCGAAGAGGTTCCAACGTCAATGTAATTTGCTCGAATCAATTCTTCAACTTGAAGGATTCCTGCCCTTTCACCCTGAAATTGGTGGCGCAGAACAATCCCTCCGAATTTATGAACCTCGTCGAAAAATATGAACCATTTGCATCTGTTACGTTAGGATGGCGACTAACTCAGCGTTTGTTAGAACATGGCAAGGACAGGATCATTTCCAGCAACAAGGCTGCGGCCTATGCCAAAATACTGTGTCATTCTGCAGTCATGAGAATCTTATCGGCTGAAGAATATTTCGCATTTTTTGTAAAACTATTCCCAGAAAATGTGACCGATTTTCTAGCAGATTTTGAAATATCGGATCATCCTGCTCCCTCCTTGTTTACGTGGCTCAACAAATACGCTCCAGAACTGAGATTCGAGAAATTGGATGCTGCATTCAAGTCTTGCTATAATAACAAAAGTATTCTCGACTTTCCTCAAGAAATGGTCACGTCAAGAATGCTCCACATATTGGGACCAGAATTACGAGATAAATGGGTAGATATGAGATTATCTCAACCCGACACGGGCACCCCGTATCTTTTCAATGACCCACTCTTCAACCATCCCGTCCACCTGGAGGGGTACTGGGAAGCATTCAGAACACCGGATAAGTCCATTCCACGCATTAAACAGTATTTAGCGACAGGTAAATCATAATTGCCCTTAATAAATAATTTAAAACTAATTCACATTTAATTTGAAATACCAATAAAATCTTGTCATGTGTAGAATCCGATGTTACCCGACGAACGGACCTTCTCACATCACTGGTCAACACTTGTGCCATCAACAAGGACAAAACCGCTCTGAAAGAAGTTTGTCAATTCGTCTCATCTCGATTTCGAAATGACAATACACAAGTTCGAATAGAGTTCTTGCGTACCGTATCAGATCTCTTTGATCTCTTAAAATTGGACGAGGATCACTGGAAACCGCTCAACGAACTCTTGCACATTTCCTCCATCAATAATGAAATTTCTTGGAATTCACACGTTTTGGAACGCATATTGGAAAAATCGATCCATTTCCGAGTGGAGAGAGATTTGCCGGTCGATACACAAATTCAGCACTATATTAAAATGAAGTCACACTCATTTTGCATGGGAGAAACTTGGTGCATTGCTACTTCCAATCCAGTCCTGGAACGGAAGAGCTTAAAATTATTTACAGAACATCTCAGCTCCATGTTCTCCCTCGCGACGACTTATCCGTCTGACAGCGCCATCACGTCGGTAATTATTTCTCTTTTTGAGTCATACTCAGGGTGGAACAGAAGACGTAAAAGTAGCAAGGATTTCAAATCAAATGGGACAAAAACTATGGATTTGCTCACTGCGACTGAATCGTCCTGGTTAATGAAGAGACTTCAAGATGTCCTCGAATCTTACCACGAGTCGAATAAACAGCGAGTAATTTCCGCTCTGAATAATGACCTCCCAGCGAAGGCTGCCTTGATGCCTCGTCTCCTTAAATGTTACCCAGATCCATCTCTCTTTGCTCGATTGTTGAGGAAGGAACCGAAAAAATTGGACGAGTTGACGGACGACATTCTTGATTTTATTCTCGCCTCAACCAAAGTTGTACAGTGGGGACCGGTCCTCAAGAAATTCAGAACTTCCGGTCTACCCCGATTAGCTGAGAAGTTTGTCAACAAATGTCTCCAAATTGCTGAAGATGAGGAAGAAAGTCTGAAAGAGCGAACCAATTCAATTTTTATCCTCTCATTTTTATTAGATTCGAACAAATTTGCTGCATGGATTTCAAAATATTATCCAGAGGATGTTCCAAAATTTGATAATTACACTCCCGAAGAAATTGGGGTGATTTATGGAATCCGTAAAATGATTGCACAATCCTTAAGCAACTTGAGCATTCCTTCAGCCGGAATTCCAGCGCTGGTTCACTTCTGCAAAGGAGATTATCTCAAGTTATCTGTGGGATCGTTGTACTCGATCGTTGAGAATTCTCCACTTAATCAAAAACTTGTAGAATTTCTTCTCGACCTTGCCAACCGTCCCGTGTCCGTTAAAAAGCACGCTATTCGACTCATGATTTCCATTTCGACAAATGAAGAGAATATCAAATTTCTCAAAAATTTGTGGACTTCTGAAAAACACTACTCAATCAGGACAATCCTGTTTAACCGAATTTTTGAATTTTTCCTTCAAAACAATTCCGAAGAAACATGGGAGCTGGTCAAATCCAGCGTGACTTCCCTCTCTGCAAATGACCACCCATTTTTAAGCGATTTGGGTCGAACTGGTTACATCCTGTCTCCAGGAATGCCAAATGAAAAACTTTCACAATATTTTAAACTTGCTTTGGACAAAATCAGTTCAATCGCTACAACTCTGCCGGAATGCAAGTGGGTGAAAGTCACCATTCTCCAATGTATAATTCCAACCAATATCAAATTCATTGAGGAATCCCTGATCCAATCCATTTTCGAACAACATCTCTTCAATCTGAAGGATGAAGCTGATATGCAATCCGTCTCAGTTTACTTATCTCTTAATTACTTGTTCCACTACCCAAACTCTAAGGTGGACATTGTAACGTCATACTTGGAAAAACTTATCGGACCCGCATGGGATACAAGCTGCAAGGATTCATACACCTCATTTCCGGCCAAGCAATCTCTCAGCTTCTTTGTGGAACAGTTAGCATTGCGATCATTCCAAGTGGAGTCGGGATACGTTGAAAATCTATCAGCGGAAAAATATGTCGAAATTTTCTCCCAGATTCAACAATATCTTCGAACTTCATCTCGAGACGTTTCAGAATTCTTTGTTGATGATTTGTTCCTCAGTTTTAGCATCATTTTTCACACGCATTACAAATCTGACGAATTAGACGAGTTGGTCACGGTAGGAAAAGAGATTGGAAAACTTGCCGATTTTTGCGTTGGTGTTTACAAGCCTGAAATTATTTCCGTTTTTTCCGAAGCTGCCAAGAGATTCATAAGCTATTGTTGCAGCGAAAGATTACGGGATAGGAAATCAAATTCTGATTCGGATGGTGCCCGAATAATTTTCATAGTTGATGGAATCCTGGAATCGACGGGATCAATTGATACGGCGATAATAGCGTCGCAACTTCTCCTCTCCAGCTTTGGAGTTATTCAAAAAGGGCATAAATTTGAAGGCCATTTTGCCAACATTATGAAAAAATTGGCTCAAGTAAAGGATAAAACCGTCCAAATTTTTGTCAGGTATGGGACTGCTCAATGCAGACCTAATCGTGGCTTTGACATTCTTGTGTAATAAATATCACGTACTATACACATCAATTACTGTCTGTACTCTCGTAAATATGCTTTTTTGATGCGTAACATTTGTGTAAAAATGTATGTACATATTTACAATTGACCAATTATTTACTATGTGGTTATTCCGCTCCAGCAATACTATAATAACATGAATTTGTTCCTTTGATGTGTAATAAAATTTGCTAATGTATGTAATCACCACAACTTGTCTATAAATTAGGTCGGAACTTGTGCAATAATAAAAGCCGGTGTCTTAATCATTCCAATACATCAACAGATTTCAGAAATAACAATATTTTTTTCATCATTTAAGAATACATTACACTTTGCAAATTATTGAATTTCTTTAAATGTCATTATAATTTACAGATAAATCACTCATGAATATTTAGGTACATACATGTGTCCAGGTTTCGAGAGTAATAAAGCACCATATATAATGTACATTTTAATGTACATGTTTACATACTATGTGTATTTACACGTATGAGTAGATTGGTACTTGTTTAATAAATTATATATATCTATAATCCATCCAATCATAGATAAGTAGATAGATAATTGTCACTAACCAGTGATTTGGATACAGAAAGAATGTATACGTCAATTAAAACTTTAACAAATGCTTGTAATAATGTCTTGTATGTAAATTGTTCACAATGCTCGTAAGACATTCGCATTATCGTAAAGAATAATTGTTTTGCTGGTAGGCAATCCTCATTCGGGAGTGATAAGAACCCAGCTCCAACAGTTGTACCAAGAATCCATCGTTCGGCCTATTTACATGTAAATCCATGTTTTATTAATTTTTATCACATTCCAAAATATTTTTATTTAAATATTATTTACCAAATCTTTCTTTTATTTCTGTAAATTAATAGCAATTATTAAAAATTCCGGACGGTCAGAAACCTTTAAAAGTGGAAAACTACATAACATAAATAAGTATGCGCATACCTGACTAGGCTCAAGGCGTCATATACTGTCAGCTCCTTTTTCATCATGAGATATGCAATGACTGTAATAATTTGAAGACGCGTTATGTATAAAACTTATTCAACAAGCCATGTTTGTGACTTACCTAAAGTTGCTGAGCGAGAAATCCCTTGTATGCAATGTATTAAGCACTTGCCTATAAATTTAAGCAAAAAATTAATTCATATCTATGCCTGCGAATGAATTTAATCTACAACTAAATGCGTACCCCCACTTTGTACAGCATCATCTATAAATGCACTCGTCTCGTTGAAGTATCGGTTCAACTGGTACGTGGGCACATCCATAGCCGGAATCCCGAGGAACTTGCATTTGTAATTTCTTGAAATGTAAAATAATTCACTCGTATCCACAAAACGGATCGAGTCCACGCCACAAGCCGCGTTTATGATATGTGTCACTCCCAGATGTGCAAGTGCTCTGATGTCTTTCGCAATTATTCTGAGAAAGAAACAGATTAATTTCTTAAAACTTTAGCACAAATTCGAAACTAAATCAGCTTCATATATCTTAAAATTTCTTACGCATTTCCTACAAAAATTCCAGGATACACTTCGTCCACCGAAGTGTTGGGAAGGCTCCAATCTTTCGTGACGATGTTTTTCAGCGTAGCCACTTCAGATGGATATGGTTTGCTCGTTCGACTCATCTTATTGTACTGGTTATCTTTATGTCCACTTTTTTACAGTGTGAGGTACGAATGTGTATATCTATCTTCAAATGAGTGATTCTCACTCTAGATACATATGTATGTAGGCCTAGGATATCTTATTTTGACGTAAGAATTGCATATCTCGAGTTTGTTATACACAGCTTTTGACTTTCACTGACCCAATATGCTCTTTTACACAGAAAAATACATATTTTTGTATAGAATTCAGATTATCTCATAAAATTGAGTAACGCAATGCAGGTACTTGGCTTTGAATTAGACGAAGCTCTACTGACACATTAATTCACAACACAACTTCATATGTAAGACGTATGGATTCGTTATACAACTCGATATTCTACACACGGTGAGCTACACTTATGAAAGAACGCGTTATGCTAAAGTGAAAGCTGGCTGCTGCGAGAAAGAAAGTACCTCCAAACCAGCAGCAGCATGGAATTCGGGTAGGTTCTATATACACATGTATGTATTTCGCAGGGAAATGGAGAAAATATGGGTCAAGTGCAGGAAAGTATGTTGGACGAGATGTCTTTCTCTGTTGGGATATAAACTCCGACAAGTCCCGATTCTATACTTTATATTCCTTTGAATTATTCGGTGTGGTGAGCAGTAATGCAATAATAATTTGCAGACTAGGCAGGTGGAACGTGTTCCTTGTAGTTAGTAAGTAGATGAAAACAGAACTAATGAATTCGACCGACCACAAGCTAAATAAAATGTCAGGGGCCAAGTAGATTTTATTTTTTAATACGTCCATACATGAATTATTTCACTTCATGCTTATCCGAGGCAGCCCATTTCTTGATAGAAGAACGCGTCAGTCAATTCTCGTATCAAGTGTCAACATTTTATCCTTATCTATCAAATGCCACTTTATAAATTGGATTGAGCGAGACGAGAATAATAAAGTGATGATAAATAGAGCAGAACCTTGGATATGGATCAGAATAAATTATGTAACACGGACAGATTCGTGGTATTATTACTGATTTCTACACATGTATACTTCGTCGTGGAGTATACACGTAATCAAATCTGGTAAATAAATAATTAGCTTTCCACGGCAGATGAGTTGGTATAAAAACTAACGAGAAACAAGTGGATGCATGTAATTTTCTACCGAACTAAAAACAGACAAGCAAATGAAAATTCAATGGATAATTTGTGTATCCTTGAAACGTGATGTCACACGTTTGACCGTATCAATACGACTACCTATGCTAGAAAACCTATGTACTAAATAGAATATTATCAAGTTATGTACGTGTGCATGAATGATAATGGATGGAAGTTTGCACTCAGCACGGCAACCAATAAAACGCCAATATGTACATTGTGTAAGCCAGGATTCTAGTATGCACTCACGGGGTTGACCTTCATATTGATTTATTGGTCATGGAACCTAGCATTTAGTTGGGTGTGGGATGACAATGATAATGACGAACGATGCACATCTCCTCTCCTCCCAAACCAAACCACAATCTTTAATGAGTGTCGATGCATAAATACTTCATGAAAATGATTTAGGAATTAATTGAAAACTTGATACGCACATAAATTCTGAACTATCAATAGATAAGTGTATGGCTCGTATGTATATACACGTGTAGCAATAAATGTAACATGCAATATGCACTCATGTCATCGATCCAATAATTTATTGGAGAATATGATCCAAAGTATTTAACGAATGTGGGAATAACACAATTTTGGCTACAAAATAAGAAAAGGGCTATTTTACAAGACTTGATCTTTCCTTAGCTTATCGTCCAGGTCACATATTTGGCGGAGAAAGCCATCCGTAGGATTAACGTGCCGCTTTCTCCTGTATAATATGATGAAGGATACACAAACCACTAGAATTGAGATATTGCCATCATGACGTTCATACTTACCTAACGTTTCTCACAGCTTCCAGGGCACATTGCTTTTTTCTCATCATGAGATAAGCAATGACCAGCGTGGCTGATCTACTCACGCCGTCCTTTCCATGTACGAGGACCTTTCCTAAATTGAGCAGAAATCATGCATGCATCGATTTTTCTTGTAATTTTTCTTGTAAATATAGTCATCCACCACACATTATGCTTAAATACCTCCTGTATGAAGGGCCACCTCAATAAATCTGTTGACTTCTTCAAAATACGTGGAAATATTAGCTGTCGGACTGTCACTAATGTCAATGGTGAGTAGCGTGAACCGATGACCTTGCTGAAGGTAAAATACTTCACCAGTTTTCACCTCTGTGCATGCAGCATTGATAATGTGAGTAATTCCAAGCGACTTTAAAAGCGGTACATCCTTTGCAGCTCGTCTACAAATATTTCAATTAAGTTTGTTTTGTACTAGAATAAGCAATTTCATGAAACAAGACTGCTTTCTCTTACTCGCTCCCAACATAAATTTTCGGATAGACTTCCTCACACGATTTGTGAGGAGGCCTCCACCGATCGCTGACCAAATCTTTCAGAACTTCCGGCGTCGTGGGGCCATTGATTAAGTGATTCATTCCATAAACTTCTAAGCTTTTCTTGTTCCAGTCGACTATTTTTGGTCGGGGTGATGACAGCAGTGGGGTCGAGGAATACATGATGATGTGCTACTCAAAATATAATGAATACAAGAGAAAGTTGTATATTTTTGCAATTTATTCTTATTTTTTGTGATTTATTCAATGGTCTCCATTACTGATAAAATGGACAATCATCATTTTTCATACAAGTAAACCAATGACTTTTGGTTGGTTTTAAATGCCTTCAATTATTACATAATTATGTACTCTTAATCCTTATCGTGCCCATCTCTACACATTTCCCATAAAAGTATGAAGCCCCTACTTAACTAACAAGCCTATTTCTCGTTTCTACAGATAATTTCCAACCACCCTCAGAAACATGGCGATTATTCTTTTCTGTACTTTCACCAAGAACTAAACTATTTAAAATTACATATACAAATATGCATATCATGAAAATAAATGTAAAAAACAGGAAATTCAAAATCATCACATTTTCTAAATTACAAAGCCAGAATCTCTTAAAAAATTAACTCAATTCGGTGGGATACACTAAGGAGCAATGTATGTAAATAAAACCGGTCACTGTTTTCACATAGAAAATGTCAAATTACAAAAAAAGAGTACATTGTAACAATTTTGACAGTATTTTCAGAGAAAGTATATCAAGGTAAAAAAAATTGATCCAGCCTCAACCTTTCCCAAACCACCCTGTTATCTGTAGTATTCATCTACTTTCAACAAATATGTATCTAGCGCATATCAGTTTACTTTACTTACTTTTTGTCCCAGGGAACAGCTACTATTAAAAACTATTTCACAATCAAATTCCTCTTAATTTAGTTTTTATTATCGTTTTACAGTAATTGTCAGGGAGGTACACAAAATATGGGGCGTTCTATTTTTATTAAACTTGTACTGATATTCAAAATGAATGTCTTTAAATTTTTGAAAAAGGTATGAAATACAAATTCCTTTAATACATATGTATCTATCATCCACGAGGAGATGATATCCACCAAAAAGTGGTGCAAATACTCTCAGCTCGAGAAAGATTGGCTTGGTTTTACAAAGTTTATTTTCTCAGCTCGTCATCCTTTACACCTATTTTTGCAACTTTCCTTCCCTTCCCTCATACATATCTAGCAAGAAGTGGCATCAGCCTTATGTACATAGATAAGTGTATTCATGCACTACATACGATGATGATGATGACGCTGTTGGATTTCATTTTTAAATAAAAAATGTCAGGATGAAAAATAACTGTTGCAAATCATCCGCAATGTGTTCCAGACCTGTGGGCGTGTGGTGGTGGTGTATAAGAAACATAACGAAAATGATGTTCAGACTGACTGAATAGTATAGGAAAAGCTCTAAAAACGCTCTGGTGTCATTTTGACAGGTGCATATTTATAATGTCTTCACTGGGTTAAGGTCTGTCGTCCAATATGATCGCGTTGGCGGATGTGGTACATGTGTATGTATGACCGTGATGAAATATTGACTTGATACTTGAGTTGGGTTTCTAAAAATAGGCAAATGTGTGGGATCGGGATAAATTTCCTGCTCGAAAACTTGAAATCTAATCCTACATATCATCATCATCTACACATCATAAACCGATATTGGAGTTTGGAACATTATTCTGTGAAATCGAGTCGAGTTTCATACTGCACACAGCAGCTGCACCCATTAGTTTGTGTACTTTCTCTCATTTAATCCGCAAAATTGCTTGGTTTGGCTAAGAGAGGAATAACATTGGTTCTTTACAATGTGCATGCATCTTAAGATTATTACAAAAAATTTAATGATTATTTGCTACTAAAATCGGAGGGTGATGTGGTGACACATTTTTTATACATGTGTTGTTGCTTTGTAGAAAGCTGTGTATGCATAGATATTTACGGTGTTGGCTGGAGATATATGTAGGTACAAGTGTTTCCCTTTTCCAATAAAGTGTATGTATAGCTGAGACTACCCTCAATTTTTGGAGTCATTAAACATGGGAAATTTTTACAAAATTTGTTACGTTCTTAAAAATTCAAGTCTTAATGTCTTAAGCCTCCCCAGTTTAAATAGACTTGTTGCATACACGTTTCCTTCACGTTATATACAATGTATTTTCCTCATATAAACTCGTCTTTTTGGCACTGGTTGTTTTGTGTTCTCTCAAAAAGTGATATTCCTCTTACCAAGTATTTGTATATGGGTAATAAAAATGGTAAATTTCAAATGAATTAGGCATGTTCAAAAATTGGAGTCGTTCTTCAGCAATGAAAGACACGGTAGTAAATATTTTGGTAGAATTATTCTCTAATAAATTGACAAAGGTATTTTTACTCATGGTAAAAGTGTAATAAAAGCAACGCTATTTCAGTATTGTTACACATCAGAGAGTACATAATTATGATTAAAAGTCACGAGAGATGATATTACTATTAAGTTTAAATAGGTATGGATTATGGATATGCAGAATGTAAACGTGGTCAAATAATTAGGTAATTACACATATGTATATTATCTATATTGTAACAAGAAACATGCCATTATCAATTCTTGATTTCTTTTGTAAGAGGAGGTGACTGACAAGACATTTGTTTTTTCTAAACCTAAGTTGTCCATTGAAGGAATCTCACCGAGAAATGTACAATATTATTTTGCGTAGTTTTTGTTGTACACAGATTATTTTCTAAGTCATAATTAATCTTACATATTATTTTAAGCAAAGTCTTCTTCATCTTCTGTCTTGGGCTCCGCTACGTTATTTACTATATAGTAATAAGGTCAAAGGTTCTTCTACCTAACTAAATATATACTCTACATATTTAATGTAGTCATCATCATCATAAGACCCATAGTCGCAATAATTACATAATACAACGATATACACCGGGTTGTAAACATTGGTTAGGCAGACACATATAGACTTGGTGCAAAAAAAACAACAACAATGAAAAAGGCGTAGGTTACATCCTTTTTCTATATAAGACTGGATGAGATTTATCTTTAGCTTTAGATCAATCGCCCATTTTTCTGTGAGTGAAATGAGATATGAATGGATGGGTGACACGTCAATAAGTTTTCACCTGTTTCGCCAAAACCAGAGTGATTATTGAGATCACACATTATTACTCTTACTACTATTACTAGAGGCTATAATTGTGATATTTTGGTTGGGGTTTCCTCCAACGGCGGCGAGTGACTGTGATTGTTGTGATGTCAAAATCGTAGCCGTGGTCGTACCAGACCCATTAAGACCTGGGATAGGACCGCCAAGCATTACTAGCTCGGAGGGGATAAGATTTCCTAGATCGTTGGGGGAAACGGATGCAGTGGTAAGAAGATATCCTATAACGTTTCCTTCGTTGAACCCTTCTGACGTGACGCTGGCCAAGGTTTGAATAGTGGAGGAAGTAGTTGTGGAGGCTGCAGAAGTTGAGTCGGGGATTATTAAGGTTGACTGTTGATCCATTATCATGGTTTTCGTGGCGTGGATCACATTTTGGTGAATCCCTTCTCCCTTAAGGGACACTTTATTGCTTGAGCTTGCAGCAGCCTCTGAATTTGGACCTTTGTCTTTCTTGGCAACTTTTGAGACATTGTTCTTTTGAGTTCGAGGAGTCTGAAATTGCAATATACATATAATGAATTAATATTTTGTTGGTTAACATATATGCAACTAATTAGTATAGTCGATTAAGTAATACCTGCATTTCAGCAGGCATAAGGTTGATGTGGGCTTTCCTCTGGTGTTGCAATAATTTAGCTGGTTCAAATTAAAAATATGTATATTATGAGTATTATGCTTACAAGTGATTTAAATAAAAAGTTTAAAAAATATTCCACATACCTCGAGTTGCGTATTCCCTGTCGAATATAGAAAAAAATATATATAAATAATGTGATAGAATATTACGAAGAGCTCAATTTTAAACCCAAATTTTAATTGAGAAATTTCATATGTAGTAAATTCGAAGCAAGTTACCTGTAACACCATTGGCAAGCATGTGGTAGTGCAGCAACTTTCCCAACAATATTTGTTTCCTTTCGTCCAGGGTGACTGGTTGAGGTGGTAGAGACCAGATTATTTTCAGTATTATTGGTACACGAAACATTCATAATTCCACTCCTAGGATCTCCATCTTCTGTTACGGTTTGCACAATAGTTCCAATTGTTGGAGGCCGAACCACTTCAATGTTATTAACAATAACCACATTGCTGCTAGTGCTACTGCTGGCTGCTGCTTCCAAACTTGTGCTACTGTTTGACGCAGCTCCCCTCAATTGGGGAGGGATTGGTTTGCCTGGATGAGCTTTGAGAATGTGTGATTTCCTCTTGGAACTGGATTTGTAAACTCTTTCGCAGTACAGACATGGATAGTTGCGAGTCAGTCGTAAAATTGGTTGGTTCAGCTCGGGCACGCTCTTTATTTTCTTTTCTGGATGTCTTTTAGCCAAATGGTTTACAAGCATTCCACGTCTGCAATTCAAGTAAAAGTATATTTACTTATTTGCTAAATATCATTTACTGCATCTTATCTACTTATGCATAGAATAATTAATTACCTTTTAAATCCCAACATGCAATCTTGACATTTAAAGGGAAATCTCTGATATTCTTCGGGGGCCACTTTGGGAATAAATTTCTTGGAATTCTTAGAGTCTTTTGGAATGTTTATCTCAATAATTTTCTTTTTCGTTTCGTGAATTCGCTTCGTGTGTTCCCTGAGCTTATCCTTACGCTTAAATTGTTTGCCACATTCGGCACACAAAAACTCCCTGTGGTCAGAGTGCTTCAACTGATGAAGTTTCAATTTGTCAGATGTTGGCTAGAAAAAAAAACACAAAATGAATCGTCAAACTAAATTATCCCGTACGACATACTTTACTATTATATATTAAACTAGATAATTTTGTAATAAACTCACAAAAGACATTGGGCAATCCTCACAACTATATTGTCGTGGGCCTGATGAGAGAAAACAATATATAATTCAAACATTCGACAACGATCGATTCGATTTGTTGCTTAAAGTTTAAAATATTACCATGAAATGCACGAATGTGTTTTCGAATCATGGCGTAGAATATGAAACCCTGCAACAAGACAAGACTAATTCAGATTTTTGTTTAAAATTTTACTCATTATATAAATTCTAACCTTTGGGCATTTTGGACAATAAAAAAGGCCAGTATCTCTGCTCTTATGAGTTTGAACGTGTTCTTTAAGTTGTAACAATTGAGGGGTGGAGAAATTGCTCATGGTGGGTTGGATCTGGAATGAGACAAGAGGATTCGTATATGAATTATATCGCTCGCAATGTCATAAATAAAATAAACTGGTAAATTGGCGTGTCTTACATTGCACATTGGGCATTCAAAGAATTTTCCTTCCTCTGCAAATAAATTAAAGAAAGTAAAGTCAGTAAAGCTGAGAAAATTCAAACTCTAATTCAAATATGTATTCATATCTTTATCCTTACCAGCATGTGTTTTAGTGTGTCCAGCCAATGCAGAATTTGTCAAGAATCTCTTTGTACAGAAACTGCATTTTAGTGGTTTCGTGTCCTCGTCGCTATGAACAATCATGTGCTTTTCTAATCTCTCCTTGGTAGCAAAGGACTTGTAGCACATTGTGCATTTGACCTTAGCTGGAGCAGCTGGTTGTCCTACCCCAGTGGTCACACTGTTATCCTGTTGTTTCCCGATGTCCCCAAGGGCAGGACGCTGTGTAGCAGTTTGTTGCCGCTGTACTATCCCTGATCCGCTGGAAGACGACTCCATTACTGTACTGCTTACCGAATTAATTGTCTGACTCTGTACTTTCCCCAATGGGATTGAACTCGTGCTAGCGGTGGCATTGGTGATGGTACTGCTACTGCTGCTGGCGGTTGTGGTTAATACGTTTCTACCAGTGTCATCATTGGCTGGAGTAATATTATGAAATTTTTTAATTGCCTTCTTCTTTGGTTTACGAATCGCTTCGACTTCTTTATGAGTATTTATGTGTGATTGGAGATCTTCCACGAGAGAAAATTCTTGGTCACATTCGAAGCACTGGTAGGTTTCGATTGTCAGAGTTTTTGCCTCTTGTTGAACTTCGTCCTCGCATCCTTCAAGTTCCTCTGGTCCTTCGTCATGCAACATTTGAACCTGAGGCTGTGGTGAAGGAGGTTGTGGCTCAGGGGATTTCACACTTATGACCAAGTTGTTGTCCTTCATGATACGATTATCTTGGTCCAAGAATGCGTCCATTGGTAAAAGATATGGCAGCCCATACTTTTGTGCATATTCGTAACTGTATCCCACCTGCACTTCGGTGTCTGGTGAAATTTCTTTGCAGGTCATGAAGTACAGATAACCATCATTCTCAACAACTAGAGCATTCTGATCCTTGATGGAATGAGCGAGACGAACAAATTTCATCCACTAAAAACAAAACAAAATATAAATAGTTTAGCTGATATTTATTCTACTATACATAAATATACACCGAATATAAAGGTGATAAACTTACGTTGCAAAATTCATCATCTAATCGGTCCAATTGCCAGAGGTCATTGTTTCCGTCCGCCATCACGAGGGATGGATAAGCAGCATTCATGTTTGCAATGTCGTCAGTGGCTTTCCTCAATGGACCTTCGACAGGTCCGAGTCTACAATTCGGTGGGATATTCTTTGTCGTATTGTTGAATACTGCGAGTTCATTCCCAGAAATACGAGACAGGCGGAATGGCAATGGGAGTGACGCAATTGACTTTGGTTGAACAGGCTGTAAATACACAACCCGAAAACACAATTAGCGATAATAACTTGATAATATTTTAAAAGAAGAAATTACAGATAAGATATACGTGGTGTAATGTAATTACCTTGTCCATTATGATGTTAAGATGCTCCTGCTCCTCCACTGCGAGTTGGTAGTCATCATTTAAGTTGTTCATAATTAAAGTTTCCTTGTTATTTTTCTTCACTCGAATAATTCGTCGTTCATCAATATTATCCGAATTTGAAGAGGAACTAGTGTTCCCATTATTGTTGTTATTACTGCTAAGGCTCAGTTCGGAAACATTTTGTTGCATTTCTTGAGGAGAATGATGGCTTTGAATTTGCAAAGAATACGAATTATTTTGCTGTTGTTGCTGCATCCCTTTATTGTTTTGCTCGAGCTGTTGATGATGATTAAGATGGCTCGAATGACCACCGCCAACATTGTGATGGTGATGCTGTTGGATAAGATCCTGCTGATCTTGGTCCATATTTACAGACATTAAATTAACTGGCTCATCATCAATATCCATCCTGTGGTGTTGCTGGAGATCCATGGGAAGGGTATCTTTCCCATGGGGCAAGATTGACATGGTCTGCTGAAGGTCAATAGGCATATTTACTGACATTTGAGACAAGATTGGAAGTCCCGTGATCTCCATCTCATCAATTGCATGCTCGTTATTAGTTGCAGAGGACTGTATCTGCATCTGAAGCCGTTTCATCTGGTTCGACATGGGTATAGGCTTGACGTGTTCGATCATGGACATATCCATGACTTCGTCCTGAACCCCACCACCACCAACTCCTCCTCCTCCTATACCACCGGCACTGGTTATTGAAACTGTAGGATGCGATTGCCAAGAGGATGTCCTTGGACTCCACTCATTTATCCACGAATTGTTGTTGCTCATACTATTATTAGACATGTTCACTACTGATCCTGAGTTTGACACAATATTTCCCCCAGAGCCCACAATCAAATTAGAACTGTTGGCGTTATTGCTTCTCATGTTACCTCCTCCACCTCTGCCGATAGACATGGTATCCGCATTCATTACTCTGTTCTGATATTCTGCAGCCAACGTGAGCCAAGCGTTATCATCCGCCGTATGATTATTCCTTAAAGTGTCCATCATGAGTAGGTTTCGGAGGGTGCTTTCAGTTTGCTGAGATTTTATGGCACTCAACGCATCATTTGGGTCAATACTGTTCAATTGCAAGTCATCATCTCTATTCCGGTCTCCCCCATCATGGTCATCCACAGAGGACCCGCTGAAACCCAGGACAAATTCAAGAGGTCCTTGAGGTCCTTGGTCCATCGTGTCGGGGCCCAGGCTTCCCGACGGCATCATCAGGAGCTGCCGTGAAGTGGATGCGGAATTATTCCCGGTGAAAAGGTTCTCATCTCCTAGAATGTTTTGATAAGAATAGTACGAGTAGTCCGCTGGGTCGTACACGGAAAGCATACTGTTGGGATCCTCTCCAACCCCAACCACTTTCCCCAAAGAGTCCTGCACTACAAAGTCATCCCTGGCTGCTCGCAATAACTGGTCATAACTGTACTGATCGAGTTGTTGCTGGGGAGAATGTGAAGAAGTGTTGTTGTTGTTTCCCATTGAAACGACATGATTGATTCCACTGGAATTTTGAAGGTCCGAAGAACTCAGGGAAAGACTTTGGTGAATGGTAACGACGGGAGGTTGCTGTTGTTGCTGCTGTTGAATAGTTTGTACAGGGAGGGATTGCTGTTGTTGTTGAAGCTGTTGAGAAAGGGTCACAATTGGCTGAGGTGGAGGTGAAAGTGATGACATTAATTCTCCAGTTTGCAGCCTGTGCAACAGCTTCTGTTTAGGAGTGAGGGGAATCTTTTTCGAATGGGTGGATGAAAGTGTTCTTGATGAGATGACGGGATTACGCTGGGAAAGTTGTTGTTGTAAATGAGAATTGCTACTGGAATTGCTATTATTGGTATTTGCGTTTGAGGACGATGATGAATTTGTGCTTTCCGTCAAATTCAGCGGAGCCTCACTTAATTCTCGGATAAGAGTTTCATGGTTGACCTCGTGGTTCATAATACTTTCTTCGGTCATGATTCCATTCACGTGGAGGCTACTCGATTGATTTAATATCTGAGCTAGCGTAGATGACGATGACGACGACGAGGAGGAGGTCGCTTTGGTCTGATGATGGTTTTGGCCAACTTGAGAGGAGGAATTACTATTGGTGATAATGAGACCACCACTGTTGTCATTTTGAGACAGGGACGATGAGCCAGCAACACTTGCAATCACGGAGGATAAGCCAGATCGTTTCACTAACCCTGACGATCCCACGATTGATGCAGCCTCAGCAAGGCTGGGGTTATTATTATTATTGGCATTGTTTAATTGTTCATTTAATTTCTCTTGTTCATATACACTAGAAAATAAGGAAAAACTTGATTAATTAAATTGTACAATTTTGACGTCCTTGAGAAAACCATATTGCAATATATTCAATTTACCTAGCAATCTTGGCAGCCAATTTTTTACTTGGAATTTTTATATGGAATTTATCCGACAACCCGAGAGAGCTGAAAGCCCGCAGACCGGATGCTGACGAAGAGGGGGTAATAATTTCAGTGACCGTAGTAGTTGTAGTGGCAGTGGTATGTGGGGGTGGTGGAGGACTAGGATCCCAAATACTAGTCCGGGATGACGGACCAGCAACTTGATTGACTGAGTTGTTTGATGAAGAGTTACTACTTGTATAATTTGTACCGATGGAGCTATTATTTGTAGTTGACGAAGAAGAAGTTGTTGTCGGTGGTAATGAAGAGATCGAGGAGGATGAGAAGGAGGTGTCACTGCTAATATTATTATTACTGCCACCACTGGAATTACCCACCACTCCCACATTTTGGCTTTGATGAGAAGCAGTAGAAGCATTATTGTTCCCACTAGAAGAATTCAGAGTTATGGCGGCCTGAGCGAGAGAAAATCTTTCAAAACTGAAATGTACAAAATATTTTATAAATTAGAAACATTCTATAATTATTAATTTCTACACCGTTATAAATAATATTTTTAACACATCTTACCTTGAAGCTTTCTTGATTTTATTTCTCAACGGTGATATATTAAAGGACTGTTGTTGCTGCTGCTGCTGTTGGGCTTGTGAGTTTGACCCTACTCTTGGGTTCTGGTTGAGATCTTGGTTTTGATTTTGATGGAACTGATTGTTACCCAAACCAATATTGTTACTTCCTCCTCTGGGATTACTGGATGATGATAGTGACAAATTGTGAGAGGAAGATGAAGCCACCAAAGACGGTCTTCTCCGCGGTAGCTGACCTCCCATATTTTGATTAAAGTTAAAATCATTAACGTCCATAATATTTGGCAATGGAGCAGCAGAATTCCGACCCACAATGGCAGCAGATGGAGGAGGAGGAGGTTGAGGAAACCCATGATTACTATTTCCACCCAAATCTTCTGGAGACAATGGGGATTGTGGAATGTCGTCCGATGTGGATGAAGAAACAACGCACATTCCCCCCTAGGAAATAATAGTTTTGATAAAAAAAAGTAGGTACAAAATTAATGTAAGTAAAAAAAACGAGCAAAAATGGTACCATACCGGAGTAAGTGGAGATCTATAACTGTTCACCGAAGCAGCCGACGGGGAAGGAGATGGACCCCAGTACGCTGTAGAATCAGGGAGGCTTCCCATGGGAGATTGTGGTCTATTATTACTATTAATGTTAGAACTGGCACTGGCACTATTATTCACTCCAGCACTTAACCGACCCCTTAAACTCGAACTAGAAGAACTTGACGAGGATGCCTGAGGTTGAACATCATCATCAATATCACCGGATCCAAAGTTGTGGTTTTGAATGACATTGTGTTGTTGTTGTCGCCTTTGCCGACTATGCAAAGAACTCGGAGGTGGGGGTTGTTGAAGTTGCAGGTTAGGATTCTGCGGAGCCTGGAACATTGGCGTTGTACTGGAAATTATCGAAGCGGAGGGGCGTCGCACCCGGTTGTAGGGACCACCACTACTTGAACTTTGAAGAGTACCATGATGCTGCTGCTGATGATTCCCACCACTTCCGGACGGTTGTTGGTTATTACTGTTGTTTCCGTCGTCCATTTTCAAAATATAGTATATTTTTCCTTCTTCTGTACTTGCACGAGTAGCGTCGTGGAGGAGGAGGTGTGTGTGTGTATGTGTGAAGATGAAGTGATCCCTTGCCTCACCTCTCTTTCGATTTGTACTAAATGACTCAAAAATCAGTCTGCAACCAACAGAAAGAACCAAGAATTCAATGGACAAGTAAAAAAGTATAAGCATTTATGTATGTACATAATATCAAAATATGTAAGAGCTGCAGAGAGCATGCAGCAGGTCTGACTTTCCAATCCAATATTCCAATGCCAAAGTCAAGGTAAATTACTACATTTTATTAACCTATTAGACTATTCTCAAGGTTGGTTTGCTTTGAAGTTGTAGTAGTAGTAGTAGCTCAGCAGCATAAGAGAATCGTCGCACAATATTATATGCATGTTATCCTCTACACCCAGAGTCCACCATAACTTTACTACTATCAAAAACTTACAAAGTTGGTCTCTTCTTTCACACTTGCACAGCATGCTTTTATCATCATCCACTTCTAGGTAAAGCTAAAGTAGCTAAAGGTGAGTGCCAGCAGAGCTACATGTAAAACGCAAGAGTACAAAAGAAAAGAGGATAACCCTGACTAACCTAATTTCGTATGTATTCCTCTATTAAGCAGACTCCTAGTTTAACTCATTCACAACCATTCTTATGTTGCCTTGCTCTCCAAGCGAGTGAATGTTAAGGTATTCACCTTCCACCGTATTACACGATTGAATACTATTATTATTACTCAAGCAGATTTGTCCTCAAACTTTGCTAGCCCAGCAGAGCAGCTCAAGTTCAACCCTGGCAAAAGTTGGAAACTCAATGAAACGCGGAAAGAGAGGGTAAAGGTTACTTTACCACCGATGAGATGAGCGAAGCCGATGATGATGAATTATTATACAACTTTCCTGCTAGATGAGAAGCTCTATTTTTCTCAACCGCACGTGGAAGATCATAATAATACGCATAACAAGATTAGGTAAATCAGTGACTAGAATTTATACAGCTTGTCATCAATTCTATGTACGTACACAATATTGATTACTAGATAAACATTTTTGCCGTGATCTCTCCCCTCTTCTTATGTAATCTCGGCAAAAAAAACTTTAATATTTTTAAATTAAAAGACAGAAAGATCAAGTATAATTCATTGGAGAGCTTTAAAAATCAGAGTTTTACTGCCTCAATCAAGTGCAGTATATAAATTCGCCTGCCTGACTGACTCAGGAATCTTTCCACTTTACGTGTCCTTGCCCTTGAATAATTCCAGCGAGCGGTACATATATAACAACCTTTCGTATTCACGACCACGATATATACATAAATGCCACCATGACCATGCCAGGATGGCTAGCTGGCTATTTAACAAAGCAATACTTACTTACTACCAAATAGGCTGAGTAAGCAAGCAATTTTTATTTGTATTGTGTTTTGTTACCTAACCTTACTTCACACATAAGCAATGATTTCCACATCATAATGCAATATGCCAATACCATGTCATAACCTTCTCCTTCCCTCCATTCTGTCATTCAGAATCATGATGCCTTTCAGTGTCAACTTCACAGGAATGATCATCATCCTACTCAACTCAGTGCTACGTAAACCCTGATCTGATCTGATGATAGCACACTTATTGTTGTACGATGAGGAAAGTCGTATATCACATGTAGTCGTTGTCGTATGTATGCAGTGGTGTCGTGTCCTGTGTGCCGAATAATATTTTGAGCGAGTTGTAGTACAGGAGTATTATTGGCTTAATCTGGAAGGTCATTTGTTCCTGTTCACTCATAAACGCAATGATATGTACATTGGAACGAGCACAGCAGTGTGTGGTTCGTATAAGTATAGCAAATGGCAGAGCTGGGAAGTGAGACTCGACCGTCGACACTGACCTTGCCGTCGAGTCGATAATTGTTCAGTTATAGGGTAAGGTAAGCTGACGAAATGCATAAGCGTGCTCCTCATTCCAGTCAGTATCTCGCTACCTCTCTACCCACTAGATACATGATGACGGGACATGGCAGGTTTAAAACTGAACTCATTAATGCACAATCATATCCCGGTTCAGTTCAACCAGCGTCACACAAAGTACGCAATACTTTGTCCGTAACCTTTACAAAATGATGTGAATCATCAATGTCAAGATGGTACATACACATGAAGAATTATACAACTGACTGAATAAAATATATTTTTAGCTTATAATTGCAAGTAAATAAGAAACTGTTGCAAATTCGGAAATAGTTTGTTCCCAATTTACGAAAGTAATATAAACCCATCATCGATTGTTACTTTTTGATGCATCATATATCCATGTAATATTGGAGTCATAAAAATAAACCTCCTGTTCAACTATTCATTAATGACCTTCTTCCAAGTCTGTCTGCCATGTTGCGTCGCATCCCTCCGAAAAGCCATATTACAACATTTAAGCTGTTGTCCAACCGAGTATCATGAAGGTCGCAGGCTGTAATTGTGGTGTAATTGAGAAACATAATTACTAAATAAAGTTGGACTCTGCTGTGCTCATTGGATACAATATGCCGACAAGTTATGTGCATCCCCTCCCCCCTCCCGTGACATTTACAATAGGATATGCAAGTATGATACCGACAAACTGACATCAATCTAACCCTGAGACTTGTTCAAAATTGGTAATAATGCATAAGCGTGTATGCAGAGAGGTAGATAGATACATAACAAGTATCAAATTGAGGTCTTTCCATTTGTTTTAGATTTTGCAAGATTGCTTGTACATTAGTACGTACGCTACTTTAGCTCAAGGTCCTCTCCCCACCATTCTCTAAATTCCTGCTGGCCGGCTTCCCGAATTTTTCATTTGGTTTTAACCCATTTCACATTTAACCAACTTTTCATTGTTATTGAGTAATCCGCGAGTTATGAGTCAGTCCTACGATAGTTTCATAAATATTGCCAAAAATGAAAACCATGCTTGCAAACAAGGTGAAATATGACCTCGATAAATATTAAACTGACACCAATTTCTCTCCCACCCCATCAACGAACCAGCCACGCTTGCCTCCTACTCTTACTGAACCGAGGTTAATAAGCAAATGCAGGCAAATTACTGACTACGAGACGAGAAGACAGTAAATAAACACTTAAAGTCCAATTTCATATTAGTATATCGCCCTTCGTCATCTCTAGTAACCAAGTCGCGTCACAAAAACACAATAAATATACCACTCACTACTTTCTACTACTAAAAATTCATCCCTGAATTTCTCTCCCCTTTATTTTCACCACCACCACCACCACGCCAGGCAGAATAATAAAATATATGCATGCAGACCTTCAAACCGAACATCATCATGGCCTTCAAGTGTCTACTGCTCTGGTTTCGTGTGGTGGCTTACTTCATTTCACCTTATCCGTCCTCTACTTCATTTTGTAGATATCTCTATGCCAAATTTATGATAGACCAAGAACATGCACAAGTGACGACGAAATTAATGAAAAGTTGCTCTATAATACGTAATAACACCGTGCCGTGTGCCTATCCAGAAGGAAAATGTTACTCTCTGGCTTGTCATGAAGTGATTTAATGAAGGATAAGGATAACTGCACACACATAATAAACAGAAAACCACCACAACATTTTAGAGAGTCTTGGTGGTCCAGCCAGACAAATGATGATGGTGATGATGGCTGGATTCATGGGATTGGAAAATGTGGAAAACAACCTTGCAATTTAATTACCTTGAAAATGAATTCTCAATGTTCACTCTGAATACAACAACCAAGTTCGAATTGAATATGCAAATAAAAATAAAAATTGCAAACATGCTACATGTAAGTGACACAAAAGACTGGGATATGACGATGACGAGGGTGAAAAGCACTTGGTGCAAAACTTGAGTATTTCACATTCCAATAATTCATACGCAAATGAATCCAATCCACTACTTGGTTTATCATTTTTATCAATTCATCAAATTCAGTTTTGCAATATTTTTATGGTATCATCATTCACTTGTTGTGCAGCAAGTGCTTAAATTTAAATGATCCTGATGAGGAATTGATTTGTGTGGCGGCGTTATCTTCTGGTAAAGCAAGTATTATTGTTAAGTTTGGTAATAATAATAATAAATTATGAAGGTGACAAGCGGCTCTTAAAACAGACTCTTTAAGAATTGCTAACCTCATTATTAAGAAAAAAAATCAAGTAAACCACGATTTAAACAAAGTGCAGCAGTATCCATCAATCATAAATTTGATTAATTCATAGACTTATGCTAATTTAACAACCAACTAAATATTGACCCTTTTTCCTAAATACTATTATTACTTGTTAACATTATGTCTTTCTATAATTACTTCTTGCTCCTTGACTCGTGTCAGGTTTATACACCTTCATTTTTTATAAAAGGAAACAAACAATCTTAACCATGTAATGTAATGTAACCTTCTTTTTCGTTCTTTCCTACCGCTCTGTGCTGTTAAAAAACTCGATTCGCAAAACGCACATTTGTGTCACCTTCCTTTCCTCCAACTCTTTTAACTAAGCGTTACTCAAAAAAACCAACAATTTATTTAACTTTGACTATGGTTAATTGTGCCGTTATCGCACAATTCCTTAGGAAAGTATTTCGAACGTGATCTCAACTTAAATATGAGGTGATTATATAGCAAAAAATTAGGAGATTGCTGACTAGGCCGCATATTATCCTAGCAAATGTCTCGCCTCACTCCCCAGTGTACATAAATACTTCATGCATAATTAATCATTGTTGTATAAACCACGGAATCAATTGACGTCAACGGTTCGAGAAAAAAAACAGCAACCGGACTTGGACTTGACAATCACCTTACATTATCACCTCTGGATCATACTGTTTATTTTTAATTGGGCATAAAAAATGGATAGTAAAAAATACCTTTATTTGAAAGGACAAAGGAAGTAAGCGATTTATTTCATTATTTACAAATATCTCAAGATTTTACAGAGGAAAATGAATATCAAGATCAAAAGTTGAAGAATGCACAATACCAACAAGAACAATAAAATACAATAATATGGAGCGATGGGTGGCTGAGAAAACTTTGATGTAAATGACTGTCGAGATGAGAAAAAGAAGAAGGAAAGCAAAGAACGGATGAATTTATTCCACTACTCGTTTGTTCGTATGTAGTATGGCGATACACTAACCTGTTTCTGAATCCTCAATTCAAATTTTCAATGCAGTTCATGCTACATACTTCAATTCATGCAATTGATAACAACTTTGCTTTCGTTTTATAAACAATTCAAATCTTATTCAAAATATGAATTCTGTCAAAATCATAATAAAAACAAATCAAGTGGTGCACGCAGTTATATTTCCTACATGTCGCCCTACTACTGACAAGTGACAAGAATGATCTCAAAATTATTTATTTTAATGGGAGTTTTTATGTTGCATGATAAAAGCAGAAAAAAATAAGAGCATCACATAATAATATTTCTTGGAAAGAAAGTTTCTGTAAATGTTTGCAAATACGGTTGGCTTTTTTTACATTCCAAAACTTTTCCAGACTGCACATGAAATGCGATACGTTTGAACTACTTTACTTCCTACATTACATTTATCTATAATACCTTTTGCCGTAATGCTTCATTTTTTTAATGAGAACTGTTTAACGACTTTTTGCCCCTTTGTTCTCATATATGTGGATTAAGATTACAATTATTGTTATTATTATTATTTTCTGCATATGTACGTAAGTTTTTCACATTTGTTTTTGTTACATTTTTATTTATAGACAAAAAAGCAAACCCTTTTATTAAAAAATCTCTTTATTTTTTAACTATCTTCCTGTCATATGTCATACTTAAAATGTCTGCATTATCATCAAAAAATGCCAAAAGTAATCCGTATACATGCAAATTCTAAACCGTCATTCCACCTTTAACCATCTTATTATTTAATGCTTTGCTTCTTATACTTAGCAAACTGTTGACTTGCCATTTTCTTTCTTCTTAACCCAAAAACCAGATCAGACCAGGTTCTCACCCCAAAACCACCTAAGCGTCAAGCCACACCACATTGATAGGCAAAAACTTTGCATACTTCACGCCATCCGTGGTACAAAACTTAAATATAGAATAATAATTTTAATTTGACTATTATTTCAGAGCTAATAATATTGGTAACAAACACATTATAAATGTCTCTGCATGGTAAAAGAGATATGTAGAGAGACCAGTATTACATTTGGTGTAGGTATAAGATGGATGGTGTGGCCTGCCCTGGGGAGCGTTGTAGAAGTGCGGTGGTTGGTTAGAGCAATGGCCGAATGACTTTGAGAGGAGAGACGAACTTTTTACAAAGTGATTGCACTTTCCGTCCATTGCATCCTCAGCAAGTGGTAAGCAACTTTAGCATAGGCATTTATCCGTTTTACATTATACACAGCCTGCGTATATGTACGTATTATTGGTGGTGGCCAAATCTAATCCAACTTGTTTCACTTTATTCGCATTTCATTTTCTATCCGAATGATCGACCTGATCCAGTAGGTCGTCTACACTTATAACTATCACACATCAAAATGAAAACGACTATTATACTGCTGCTCCTCCTGCTGCTTGTAAAACCAGATATATAGGCTTATTACTTTCGATTCTTTATTTTATCAAAACATTAAGGTACATATATGTTTGCATACGAGTTGTTCAGTTTACATTATTTTTTTTATTTTGTCCACTGGATTTACTTGTTTTGAAAATAATGTATTTACAAATAAAAGAGTTTTGAATTTCAATTCGAAGCAGAAAGCGCATAAATATTCACAGGGTTTTATGAAGCAACTTGTTTTTACGAAGAGAAAGGTATCTTGTTTTCAGACGTTTTAAACTCTAGGATGGATAGATTTACAAATTGCAAGCACAGTTTAAAAAATCGTGTCGCCTCCAGCTTGTGCCAAATGGCATTTTGTTTTTTAAATAGGAGAAACAAAACAATGTAATCAGATTCCTCCATTTTATGTGTATCGGTTGACTGTTTCGTCGTCGTCGTCGTCATTTTTAGTTTGTTGTTGTGATATCTAACTAACTAACGCCATTATGACGCCCATTCTTATTCCTCGCCTTGAATGAGACTACTGGTGGTCGCTGCTCCCGAGTAGAAATAATCATAAAAATTCTCCGTTTCGTACCGCATCATGATTGTTATGCGACATGACATGATGCACGAGGGGAATAAATGTTGGAAGTATTCCAATTGATTTATTTAGTGCTATACTTATATTTTGTCCAACAAATTAGAATAGTCTCCTTCCTTCTAATCAAGCTGGACATATGCATATATTATTATGCCGACCCACACATCAAACACCAAAAACCAATGACTTACTTAGGATGACCTCAGTTTGATCGATGTGAACAATATAGTATCGCATTTGTCGGTTGTTGGGTGGTGAAAACAATGTATCTGATTGTACTGGGAAAATTACTAATGTAGGTCTTGGATACTAACTATAGTCTGACTCACTTCATATGACAATGTACATATATAAAAATCAACATTTAAGCAAAAGGTTCATGTTCATTAAGGAGGACACTGCTTTTATAAACTGGATCTTGCGCAGGAAAATTAAACCTTGTTATCAGTTGGAAATTATATTGATACTGTTGTGTACTGGTCTCTTTTTTTGTGATTTCGGTTATCATAATATGATGGAAACGAAGTTTTATGTAGGTATTTAATGTTAAAATGTAAAAAGTAGCCCGTCATTTGTGCTGCTACATTTCTATAATAGTACTTTGTAAAAAAAAACATCGTAAAAACGACGTTCTAATATAACAATTGTGAATTTACACTAAAATAATTAAAATCTGAAATGACAGCTAATAATTCATCTTTAAAGCGCAATATAAAGTCTTAAATAACATTTATTGGCACTTTACTTCTCAAATTTCTAATAGTTCCGCCGTCAACACTAAAACTTTCGTCAAACCTAACCATCAAATTTTGAATGAGCATCGCGCATTACTCTTTCCAATTTATTGTTTCAACTTTCTTTTTACCATAATTGTCTAACAAACTAAAATCCAATACAAATATATAATTTGTATTAATGTCCATCCACAATTTTTCCCTTGTGTTTAACATTTCCTGCTCATAATATTCCTTTAACAAAATATTTAAAACATTTAATTACTCACCTTAATCAGAACTTTTCACCAGCAACAAATTAATTCTTCTTTTTAGTACAATCCGCCTCAAAATTTCCATTAATAATCGGCCTTGACCCGACCTGTCCAGCCCAACTTTTCTTTAAACTTCCAAATCCGCACCTCCCACAACAAATAACTCACTCGCACACACACCTAGTCCACCTCCCTAAAACGTAAACGCGGTCACATTTTCACCCCCATTTTTTCGTTTATTTTTCGAAATTGTTAAATATCAATACAAAAATTTTGTAGCTCTTGTATTTCCTAGATTTTCCTCTCTCTCTCTCTCTCCACTCTCTTTTGTTGTTTTCCTTTATTTTGCTTTACAGAACAGCAGACTCTAAGCGGAGCAACCTCCCGAGTCGACCACAAGAGAGAATATAAGAGGAAATTGTGAGCTCCAACACACTCCTCAGGTCCCCTTCATTTGGTAAGCCATTTTGGTGGCGCTGTGTTGGTTAAACACGTACCGTGTGTAGTATATAGTCTAACAGAATCTAATGCAGCAATTACTCACTCACTTTACTTTCTGTTATGTAGTATGGGCAACAAAGTAGCATAAAAAGTATTTAGATTTAAGATGCATAACTCGCAATGAGACCATGCAGCACACTTTTTTACACTTTTTTTCGAAACTCATGCTAGTCTAAAATTGTAATAAGTGATTTCACTGAAATTTTGGAATGAGAATTTTTTCAAATTAATTTAATATCTGCTAAGTGTGGCGTGTATATGTCGAATGTTATTGTGTGTAGCTTTTGGACCTGGTGTGAACCCGAGCCCGACAAAATGTGAAATGCATCTCTGTTTTAAAAAGAGAGAGAGCAAATTGTTTAGTATCATCATCGTCGTCTCGGCGTGGTGTGGTGTGGCGTAGCGTGTTTTTAGTTAGCTGGCCCAGGCTCGATGTCGGAGAGGAATGGCCTTCAAATGATGAGATCTGTATGTATGCATGTATGTACATATGTGCATTGCATAGTAGTGGGTTCGGTAAAGCAATAAGGATGCATAGGGCACGCTTATTATGTGATGTGATGACGGTGACTATGTGAGTATGTACGATGTGAGAAAATTCTTGAGAAAATTCGGTGGTGAATCATGATTGCATAATAATGGGAGGATTATACAAGGGTGGAATTTGGATGATAAGATTGAGGACAGTTTCTGAGACGAAACACGAAATGAGGAATATATAGGCTAAAAAAATCGAATTTCAAATTCCCAACCGCAAGTTTACTTTACAGTTCAAGTTATGTATGTATCAGTATTGATTTTTAGAGCGTATAGTAAGAACCCAGTGAAAGCAGACGGGCGGATATGAGGAACAATGTGACCCTTTGCCGCGTGTTGGCCTTGTCACGTACTTATATGTGCTCTGAGTAATTTTTGTTTTCTACTTTCCCCGAAGAAATTGACAGTACGATGGATTAAATACATACATACGACACCAGTTATAGGGCTTTTGACGCTTCCGAGTATTGTGTCAAGCGGATGGATGACACGGTTAAACGTATGTAATTTTAAACCGATCAAGGCAGCCCGACCTTGAGATTAAACCGCTATCAATTTCAGCCTGTGAGGTAATTTTATTTAATATGTGCGCTGTTGTAAAGTGAGAGAAACTCTGGGCTTAAGGAAGAATAATTATGTATGCCAATGCCACACAATAAATAAAATAAAGTGCCCACTACTGCCCACGTCTCATCATGACCGATTAATATAAAATATGCATTCTTTCACTAACTAAACCTCGTATCGTCTTTCATTATGCAACTGCTGCACTGAAAATGGCAGGCAGGCAGCAATTTGATGCTCCGTTTCTGTCCCGAACTTCGCATCTCGTCCTCCTATGACGATGATTATGAGACGAGTTAAGTATAGAGTTTGACTGCATGTATTTCTGCTCGAGTGGTGGTTTTGGATTAGCAAATGATAAGAGCAACCTTGTCAGAAGCAGAGCAGTTTAATTTACTGAAATGAAACGCTTTTGATACAGCAGATGGGCGACCACACCAGGGCTAATTAGGAAAGAAATAGATATGTGAAGGACACCGAAAAAGGTTTATCCTTAGATAGTTAGGTATTTATGTGGTGCAACCAACCAATAATTTTATCACTAGAACAAACCCTAAACTTATTGGCGAATTCATAAACAATAACAAAATAATTAATAAGAGTTTGGTTGGTAGATATTTATTTTTCTCTTTCCCGATTTCCAGTTATATGCCAAGGTCGATGGAAAAGGAGCTCTAATTTCAGTCTTGATAACACAAGCTCTTCAAAAATTCATTGGCTTCCTCAAAACAACGTGCATACATATTCTTATGCAAGTCTATATCTAAATACAAGTTGGGATGCTAAGTAATAATCCTTCAGTCAAGTATACAAATTAGAGTCAATCTTCCATTATGCATCATTCAATATGTAATGTTACGTATCATGAATTATGGCGACATTTCCGGTACAACGAATATTATACAGATTTCCTTCCATTAGACTGATTTCAAAGCTCAAATCTCTCCTATAATACATAAAATCCCATTAGTTTGAGTCGTTGACAAATAATATATGTAATTCCTCTGCATACATAATAATTTAAGCCTTTAATACCAGCTATTATTACAGCAAATCTGTCACCAACCACTACTCCGACTGCATTATTGCTATGCTATAAATATAGGCACACTACATTTCATTTTGATAAAATGGCCCTTTGATATTTTGAATAAAGTCGAGGTTAGGAGAAATTGCTCTACTTTCGTTTCAATTTAATGTAGAGTAGAAGTGGTAGCATGTGCAGAATTGTGTCGCGGATCGGATTCAGAGTGACTGCATTAGCCGAAATTCGAGAGAATATAATTGAGGATTGAATTGAATCGAGTCACGTGGCGAAATTGGATAACTTTCACCGTCACGTTGCACCAGCAGCGCACAATTATTGGCTGCTTTGATGTGCATGCGACTATTATGGGGATGGCCGGAGAGAGAGAGAACATAATACAATATGGGACGAGGCCGAGACAGTTCTTCAGCTCAGGGTCCTCCTAATAACCTCTAGTCGAATTCATGCCAGCCAACAACTATATCATTAATTTCGCCAATTGTGTATGACCAGCAGCTGCCCGACCGAACCAGGTAACAAGAATTTGCATACCTGAAAAAGCTATGTCCATGAAAAGAAAGATACAATGTAAGTATTCCGCCATCACGATGTTCTCCATCCTTCTGACATTTCATTGACATTTTTATTTTATTATTCGGTCACTCGTTCCACTTTTACCGAGTCCGATACCGCTTTCATTGACCGACCGGTGCAGTATAATTAGGCCAATTTTAACCAGTTGTTAATATTCTAGAGTTTATAATCGATAGAGCAATTAGAATTCGTGCTTAAATTGTCATTCATTTCAGTATGTGTAGCAAGTATGTAGTCCATATCCTACTTAACAAAATAAAATGTGTAAAACCTATCCTTTCCTTTACCCATTTAAAAAAAAGGTAGTATATAATTAATTCGAAATAATATGCACATTCGTCTCCGTCTCCTCAGTGTTAATGAAATCTATTTATAACTGAATTTGGCATTCAGATGCAACTAATAAATCAGCCAAAGATGCGTTAAAGGTCGAAAGACACACTACCACCTTGTATTCAACATTGTGTGTGCACAAATTTTGTGTCGTTTGCTTACAATACAATGTGCCGCAAAATGAACATGAACTCAATTTGCAATGAAATGAACATTGAACAAGACCAACCCTGTGCCAACTTATCATCAACCCACCACCCACCCTCGAAATAAAATAACACTGCAATAATGCAACTTGTCTCAATGATTCTCCACTCAATTCATGGTTATACATACGCCACCATCACTATTAAAACTTTTGCATGCCAACATGCAATACAAATAGTCATAAAAAAGAGCGTATATTAGCGAGAACTTGGCTGTGGGAGCCTTGCTTACCATTGCCATCCGTTAAGAGTGTGTGTGTGTAACTTACATATGCACAAGTAGTTTAGTTTAGTGTGATGATTGCAGCTGCAGTTAAGTTACAGTAACAGAATTTCATTGAGGAACTGAAATTGTCGTTTAATTCAATGTAATGCAACTGACTAGCACGGTTGCTAATGTCAAATCAAACACGAATTGGTTACTGGTATGGTACTACTGATGCTGCTGGGCCACGCTCTCAGGAGGGGAGCTTGCGAGGTTGATAATAACAGATCCTGATGCCCTTTGGATATGTGGTAGGGTCCTATGTGTGTACTAAAACCCTGAAGTGGTTTAACTCCATGGCCACATTTGCGCCCGCCACACCCACTCAAAAATACCCAAAAAACGCTTTCACTCCAGTTTTCACTCACTCAAAACCTCGCCAAAAATCCAATTTTACTCGGATTTTGAAATTTCTTTCACCATTACACTCCCAGATAGTTGCTTTCTTCAATCCAATATCAAACTCAATTTTGCTGATGATTATTTCGCAGGGATAATTTGCGTTGTTAATTACTACAACAATGCTCATTCAGAATTTTAAATTTTAAAAATACTAAAAATTTCGAAAATATTGAGTTTGATATTGGATTGAAGAAAGCAACTATCTGGGAGTGTAATGGTGAAAGAAATTGCAAAATCTGAGTAAAATTGGATTTTTGGCGTGGATTTGAGTGAGTGAAAACTGGTGTGAAAGCGTTTTTTGGGCATTTTTGAGTGGGTGTGGCGGGCGCAAATGTGGCCATGGAGTCAAACCACTTCAGGGTTCTAGTACACTCATGGGACCCTACCACATATCCAAAGGGCATCAGGATCTGTTATTATCAACCTCGCAAGCTCCCCCACTCAGAGAACAAACGAGCCCTTTATTCGTCATGTAGTAATTCTGCATGTAACGCTATGTGCAGGAAAATAACGTATGTAAACTATTCTAAATATGAAGGAAGTTGTCATTACAAAGTTAAAATGTGTCATTGAACAAGAGTCACTTTGAGCTTAATTAATAAATTTAGGTTGTCCAACGCGACACTGGTAATTCATTAAATATATGTATTTTAAACCCAGTTTTCCTATTCTACATATATAGAATTCTCATCATCATCTGTACATAATCACACATGTCGTAAGTAAGCGGAGCGAGCGAGTGCCAAAAGTCAATATATTGGAAATTATTTAATATTATTTACTCGAAAGATATTTGATACATTGCCCAATGTCAGAGCGTGTATGGTCTTGAATTCATGTTCTCCACATGTGCGCTGTACTTCAGTTTATATGTTAATATAAACTTGTGTAACGTAATGTAATGTACTTTCTGTCTTGAGGACATACATAGTTTATTTTTTTATGTATAATTCTCTCTACCCATGCACATAAACCAAATGTCCCAGAGCGCATTGGATGTAAAATTCCGTCGGGTCAAGGTCCCCATTCGTTCACATACATACGTATTGCATATGTGTGTCTGAATGCCGCCTCGGATCCGAGAATATATAATGCATTAGCATAAAATCCGGGTGACGTAAATTCGCAAATACATACCTCGGAGCAAAAGCAAGGCGTGTACATATGCACATGCTTTTATTCAGCACAAAGCGGGTAGACCATGGCCACCACTTCTTTCCCGTCATTTTTTTCAATAAGTAAGTAAGTGCACCCCTTCACGCCACATGAGTTTGGTAACTATTCTCTTATACTACTCCCAGTTTCATGTCTTGTATTTATTGCAATGTTTTCCTATGATAATGGGAATTTGGTTTTTTTTCTGCGTCGTATATATTCACTTAAATATTA